TGTGTTCACAAACAGGCCTTGTTCTCACCTGCTTGAAAATCCCGGGGTTTGAACAGCTGCTGGTAAGTGTTATTTTCCAGTTTGGTTTGGTGCTCAGGGGCTAAAAATCCTGACCACGAGACGCAGACGTTGCCCCGGCACAGAATGAAGATCCCTTCGTGGTTACTGGCCACCATGATGCCTTTTACCAAATCGTTGAGGAGAGACTGGACTGCCTTCTGCTTTGCGGAATTGGCCATTTTAACCGGGTCCGGCAGAATGACACGTTTCATGCAATTGACCACGCCGTTCATCGGAGCCGGGACCGACGTAATCAGAAAATCACCTTCCGGTAGCAAATACTCGCAGATCACAACTCCCGCATAGGCGATGGATAAGGAAAGAAAATAATCCTCTAAAAAAAAAAAAAAAATCAAGGATCGACGATATTAATTGAATCGACACTGGTTTTGCCTGACCTGATCCTAGAGGTCCTCGATTTATGACCGTAATTTGGGCTGGGATTTTCGACATCAGTCACTGGGGTAGGAAGTCGAGTTGTTCGCACAACCGGACCAAATAATAATAATAATAATAGTAATAGAGAAGATAGCAACAGACAGTTAAGTGCCACCTATGCAAAGAAGCTGAAGAAACAGTGGGCCACCTGGTAAGCTGGTTTAAAAAAAAGTCACAAATGACCACAGTCGGGACTGCAATTTCCATCGTTAAGCTGTCGCGGTTGTACGCTGAGTTACATCATATGACCAGACTCAATTTTACAACTATTTTTACAGCAGTCATAAGTTGGGTCACTGCAGCCTTTAAGTCAGTGGTTCTCAGCCTTTTTAATGCCGCAACCCCAACCGGTCGTAAGTCGAAGACCACTCAACCGGTTGTAAGTCGAGGACTACTCAACTGGTCGTAAGTCGAGGACTACTCGACTGGTGCAGCACCGTTTGCAGAATGGGACTTTTGGTGGGCTCAGCAGGGCAGAGACAGCCTGGACAATTCCTATTGGCTTTTGAAAGCCAATAGAATTAGACTCTATTCAAGAGAGTCTATTCTATTGGCTTCCAAAAGCCAATAGAATAAAAGGGAATAGCACAGCTAAGGAAAAGGGGGAAAAAATGGCGGACTGCATTGTTTGGCGACCCCCGTGAAATGGTCGTTCGACCCCAAATGGGGTCCCGACCCACAGGTTGAGAACCACTGCTTTAAAGCATGCTGGTTGGGAAATTCTGGGAGTTGAAGTCCATCTGCCTTAAAGTGACCAAGGTTAGGAAACTGTGTTTCAGAGGATCTCACCTGTTGGTCCAGTAGTAGCCCTCACCACAGGGTTGGGATCTGTACTCAAGCTGAAGCTGATCTCGGTCACTTCCGGCGCTGCAGGGATCAAAGAAACGCAGAACAGTAAACCCAAATGATCTACCCTTCCTCATGACCCAGCGATCCTCACCTAATTTGCCGCAAACGCCATCTTTCTCCTGTGCTACGAGATGTTCCAGTGTCTCATGAGCGTCAGTTATCTACTAGGGGTGATCTATTCGGCTAGAATCCATTTCAGGCAGGAATCTGGTCTGAGTCTCAAAGGTGCTTTTTCAAGAGGCAGGTGGACTTCCTTGTTTTCCTTTGAAGACGTTTTGCTTCTCATCCCAGGAGCTTCCTCGGCTCTGACTGGATGGTGGGGAATGGAAGGATTGATACTCCTTTGCAGTCATCTGGTCATTTGCCTTCTTTTAGAGGACTGTTGAGGCCACTTGGAGGTTTACCTGTGTTGTCAGGATCACCTGAGTAGCGCAAATGGGTGTGGAGCAGGGGTCTTCCAACTTGGCCCTTTGAGGACTTGTGGACTTCAACACCCAGAATTCCTCAGCCAGGCACGCTGGCTGAGGAATTCTGGGAGTCGAAGTCCACAAGTCATCAAAGGCCCAAGATGGAAGGCTCCTGTTTGTGGACTTCAACTCCCAGAATTCCTCAGCCAGCGTGAGGGAACTATGTCTCTTTTATTACTTGTGGACTTCAACTCCCAGAATTCCTCTGCCAGGCACGCTGGCTGAGGAATTCTGGGAGTCGAAGTCCACAAGTCATCAAAGGGCCAGGTTTGAAGACCCCTGCTTGTGGACTTCAATTCCCAGAATTCCTCAAACAATGTGAGGGAACTATGTCCCTTTTATTACTTGTGGACTTCAACTCCCAGAATTCCTCTGCCAGGCATGAGGGAACTATGTCCCTTTTATTACTTGTGGACTTCAACTCCCAGAATTCCTCTGCCAGGCATGAGGGAACTATGTCCCTTTTATTACTTGTGGACTTCAACTCCCAGAATTCCTCTGCCAGGCACGCTGGCTGAGGGATTCTGGGAGTCAAAGTCCACAAGTCATAAAAGGGCCAAGTTGGAAGAGCCCTGCTTGTGGAGCCTTCTTGGAACTGCTGAAAGGACTGTGTGGTAGACTGGAGATAGATGGTGTTGTATCCCTCCCCCTCGGTTGAGAGAGGGCTGTTCAATTTTGATATTGTACGCTGGGGAAACAAAACCACCACTTCACAAACACAGGGCACACCACAGGGGAACAAACCCATCAGGACCAGATTCAACCGTCCATCTGCCTTTAGAAGACGAAGGCCGCTCTTTCGAAGACAGCAATGTCCACATTCTGAAGAGAGAGGACCGCTGGCTTGAAAGAGGGGTCAAAGAGGCCATCTAGGTCAAAATTGTACAGCCCTCTCACAAGGGGGGGGGGAACACGATAACATCTATCTCCAATCTATCACACAGTCCTTTCAGCAGTTCTAAGAAGGCTCCATGCCCATTTGCACAACTCAGGAGATCTTGAGGACGCAGATAAACCTCCAAGTGGCCTCCACAATCCTCTAAAACAGGGCTTTTCAACCTTTTCACCCATTGTACCGCTTTTAGGATATAGCAACATCCGAGTACCCCCCGTCGCCTAGCAAGGTGTCAAAAACTTGATGACCAAATATATATATACATATATAAATAAAGGAAAAAAGCGATAAAGTACAGGTAGTCCTCGACTTACAACAGTTCTCTTACTGACTGTTCGAAGTTACAATGGCCCTGAAAAAAGTGCCCCCCAAGCCACAGCCGAGCAAGACACCTGCCTGCCTGCCCGGCCGCGCTCTTCCTCCTGTCCGAGGTTTTCATTGTTGTGAGCATTTCTTTGAGGATTGGCAATGGGGGTGGGTGGGTGGGGTGTTTGGTTTTTATTCCCCGTCTGCTGGGTGGTTGCAGCAGGTTTTGGTCACTTCACATGACCCTGGGACACTGTGACCGTCATAAATATGAATCGGTTGCCAGGCATCTGAATGTCAATCACAAGACCCTGGAGAGGCTGCAACATTACAGCTGATCGGCGCTTCTTCAGGGTTCAGCAGAAGCACCAGGATCAGTGCTGCTTTCCAGCTGACTGGTGCTTCTTCTGGGCTCAGCAGAAGCACCAGGATCAGTGCCGCTTTCAGCTGATCGGTGCTTCTTCTGGGCTCAGCAGAAGCGACAGGATCAGTGCCACTTTCCAGCTGACTGGTGCTTCTTCAGGGCTCAGCAGAAGCACCAGGATCAGCGCCGAGCTCCAGCTGGATCCTGGCGCTGATCCTGGCGCTTCCACTGAGCCCTGACAGCCCTGCAACTCCAGCTGTCTCTCGCTCAGGCTTGTGCGGTGCTGCCCCCGATTCAGCTCATTCCCCTCCCCTGCTACCCCTTTTCTAGGATGGTCGCGTCCCACCTGCCAGGTGCCCATGTACCACCGGTGGTACCCGTACCACTGGTTGAAAAGCCCTGCTCTAAAAGGAGGCAAATGACCAGATGACTGCCAAGGCGTATAAATCTTTCCATTCCCCACCGTCCAGTCGAGCCAAAGAAGCTTCTGGGATGAAAAGAGAAACGTCTTCAAAGAAAAACAATGAAATCCAGGTGCCTCCTGAAAAAAAGAAGCTTTGGGACAACCACGTCCTGGACGACGGAGAACATCCCTAGACAATCTACTCTGAGTAGCTTCGAGGTGGCTATTCAACCTCCATTTCTAAACAGGCGACGCAGCTCGCTCCCCAACCATAGGCCCCACATAGAGGTAGTCCTCGACTTACGATCCAAAATTTCCATTGCTAAGTGAAAAGGTTGACCTCTTTTTGACCCCCTTGCTCGCCACCATCCTTAAGCGAATCACTGCAGTTGTTAGTCACACGGTTGTTAAGTGAATCTGGCTTCCCCCCGTTGACTTGGCTGGTCAGACGGTCGCTAAAGGGGACACCTGGGACACTGCAACCGTCCTAAGTGTGAGCCAGGTGCCAAGTGTCTGAATGTGGATCGCGTGGCGCTGCAACGGTCGTTAAGTGTGAAAACGACCACGAGTCGCTTTTTCCAGGGCCGTCCTAACTTCGAACGGTCGCTAAACGAACTGTTGTAAGTCAAGGACTTTACCTCACTACACACTGTTGTAAGGCGAGGACTTTACCTCACTAAACAGTTGTAAGTCGAGGACTTTACAAAGCTGTTGTAAGTCGAGGACTTTACCTCACTAAACAGTTGTAAGTCGAGGACTTTGCCTCACTACACAAAACTGTTGTAAGTTGAGGACTTTACCTGTATTCAGAATCCCTTTGAATTTTGTTCTCACGCACAGGTAATTTCTCAATCAACGACCTGTGCAGGTAGTCCTTGATTTACGACAGTTTCTTTAGTGACGGTCCAAAGTTACGACGGCATGGAAAAAAGGGACTCACAGCCGTTTTTCACACTTACAACCGACCGTTGTAGCATCCCCAAAGTCACAGGATCGAAATTCGGCCAACTGGTTCATATTTACGACGGGTCGCAACGTCCCAGGGGGTCACGTGATCCCCCTCTTTGGCGACCTTCTGACCATGGGTAAGCCGAATTCGCTGAACAGCCGTGTTGCTAACTTAACGACTGCAAGGATTCGCTTGAACGACGGTGGCGAGAGACGTTGTAAAATGGGGCAAAACTCACTTGACAACGGTTTCACTGGGGCTCAACCGTGGTCGTAAGCCGAGGACCACCTGTACGAAGTCTCCTCTTGGGGCCGTCTGGCCTCGCAGAAGCCCTCCATGGACCCCCCCCAAAGCTACAACTTACAGGGGCCCTGGGTATTCCCCCACCTGGTTCAGCGGCCTGAGGACTGACTTCCCCGCTCTGGTAGTTGGGCGGGTTGAAAGCGCTGGAGGCAAGGCTCACGGTGGTTTCTGGGGTGGGGGTCTCCGCCTGGGGAAGCAAGAGAGAGAGATTGGGGGGGGGGTCTTCACACGTTTCCTAGATCCAGACCTTCCCGCTTTCGTTCACAGTGAGGCCGAGGGAGGAATAGCTTCAAAACCCTCAGAATTGGGGGAGGGGGAGAAGGAGGAGGAGGTGATGATGAAGAAAGAAAAGGAGGAGGAAAAGAGAAGAGGAGGAATGGAGGAGGAGGAGGAGAAGGAAAAGGTAGAGGAGAGGAGGAGAGGAAGAGAGGAGAGGAGAAGGAGGAGGAGAAGGAGGAGAGGAGGAGGAGAAGGGGGCAAGGAGGAGGAGGAGAGGAGGAGGAGGAGAAGAAGGAGAGGAGGAGAAGGAGGAGGAGAAGGAGGAGAAGAGGAGGAGAAGGAAAAGGAGGAGGAGAGAAGGAGAAGAAAAAGGAGGACAGGAGAAGGAGAGGAAGAGGAGGAGAGGAGGAGAAGGAGAAGAAAAAGGAGGACAGGAGAAGGAGAGGAAGAGGAGGAGAAGGAGAAGAAAAAGGAGGACAGGCGAAGGAGAGGAAGAGGAGGAGAGGAGGAGAAGGAGAAGAAAAAGGAGGACAGGAGAAGGAGAGAAAGAGGAGGAGTAGTACCAGAAGAAAAGGAGGAGGAGGAGAAAGAAAAGGAGGAGATGAAGGAGGAGAAGAAAGGAGGAGGAGGGAAAGGAGAAGGAGCAGGAGGAGGAGAGCAGGAGAGGAGTACCAGAAGAAAAGGAGGAGAAAGAAAAGGAGATGAAGGAGGAGGAGATGAATGAAAAGAGAAGGAGGAGCAGAAGAAAGAAAAGGAGAAGGAGGAGGAGGAGGAAAGAAGAAGGAGGGGGAGAGGAAGAGGAGGAGGAGGAGGAGAGGAGGAGTACTAGAAGAAAAGGAGGAGAAAGAAAAGGAGATGAAGGAGGAGGAGATGAATGAAAAGAGAAGGAGGAGCAGAACAAGAAGAAAGAAAAGGAGGAAGAGGAGGAGGGATAGAGGAGAAGCTAAAACAAACCAAGGCAAGTCATGTCCACAAAGATCACATCAGCAGTTCTCAACCTCGGCCCCTTTAAGATGCGTAGACTTCAACTCCCAGAATTCCCCATCCAGTTGAAAGCCACGCTGCTCAGAGCTGTCTCCCTAATCTGGATGTCCTTTCTCCAAGAGCGTGGCATGGGGACAGAGTAAGCCCCCCCTCCTCCATCTTGGCCCCATCCAGGCCAGGCCTCCCTCCCTCCCCTCCGGGGTCTCAACCAGCTCCGTCTTCACCCCTTACCCTCTGCAGCTGCAAAAGGGAATCTGCTGGTGGCTGGATCACCTCCCTGGGACTCGCCGACGCCTCGGGGCTGCTGGCATCGCCCATTCTCTCCCGCTTGGTCTTCCGTAGTTTGGCCTTCTTGCCTTGAAAGAAAGAGAGAAAAGCCCAATTTAAGCCATATCCTGTTTCCCCTCAACAGCCCTGCAAGGTAGGCCAGGTCAGAAAAAGACAGCAAGGATTACAGGGCTCCCGTTTCTCAACTCAGCTGCTGGAAGAGGTGAGGACTTCAACTCCCAGAATTCCCTAGCCAGCTTGGAAGTGGAAGTCCACCCATCTCGAAGCACGCTGGAGTAGGGAATTCTGGGAAATGATGTCCACCCATTTTAAAGGATGTTGCCTGGAGAATTCTGGGAGTTGAACTACACACCTCTTAAAGCAGGGGACTTCAAACTTGGCCCTTTCATAACTTGTGGACTTCAACTCCCAGAATTCCTCAGCCACGCACACTGGCTGAGGAATTCTGGGAGATGAAGTCCACAAGTCATAAAAAGGGCCAAGTTTGAAGAACCCCGTCTTAAAGCATGCTGGCTAGGGAATTCTGGGAGTTGAAGTCCACCCATCTTGAAGCATGCTGCCTGGAGAATTCTGGGAGTTGAACTACACACCTCTTAAAGCAGGGGTCTTCAACCTTGGCCCTTTTATGATTTGTGGACTTCAACTCCCAGAATTCCTTAGCCACGCACGCTGGCTGAGGAATTCCGGGAGATGAAGTCCACAAGTCATAAAACGGCCAAGTTTGAAGACCCCTATCTTAAAACATGCTGGCTGGGGAATCCTGGGAGTTGAAGTCCACACCTCTTAAAAGCAAAATGGCTGGGGCAGGGGTAGGCAACCTTGGCTCTTTTATGACTCGTGGACTTCAACTCCCAGAATTCCTGAGCCAGCCACGCTGAGGGGAAAGGGAGAGGTTTCCAAGCTGAGCCGTACTGGCTCAGGAATTCTGGGAGTTGAAGTCCACCAGTCATAAAAGAGCCAAGGTTGCCTAGCCCTGGGCTGGGGAATTCTAGGAACTGAGGGCCTCGGAGGATGGCTTTTGCAATACTTGAAACGTGGTTTTTGTAGTACTGTAATTAACGTGGGTTTTCTTGCATTTTAGAGTTGCTTTTTCAATTGTTTTGCCGATAATCTCCCATAAATCTTAACCTTCCAGAAAAAGGCCTCTCTTTCAGCAACTGGGCTTGGCAGGAGAGCATTCAGTACATTGTAGATAACAATTTTGTGTTTATCTTTTCGCAAGTCTCTGCCCACAAAGGAAACAGTCAAGCCCAACCTTGGGAAGCTCCCAGAATGTATCTTTAGTACCCAAACCCATTTTGAGGTTTTTTTTTTTCCTTTAGCAAATGTTTCTTTTGCTTTTATTCCGAATACAAGGCCCTTTTCTAGGGTTACGCTGCAATTCTTGTGAGGTAACTTAACAGATGACAACTTCTAAACCAATCGACCTTTGCTTCGAAATTCTTTGTCGTGCTAACTATAAAAGTAAATGTAATCCATTTTGGGGGGTTCCCCCTTTTCATAGGGAGACCGTACTTTGTCAGAATATATTCTAATAAATCGCTTTTAAATGATTTTCCGACTTGGTTGCTTATTGGAAAAGGTAAACCAAAGTAGAACCTAGAACCAGATTTGGCCATCAAAGCTAAAATCTTCCTATCTTAAAGCATGCTGGCTGGGGAATTCTGGGAGTTGAAGTCCACGCATCTTAAAGCATGGCTGGCTGGGAATTCTGGGAGTGGAAGTCCACCCATCTTAAAGCACGCTGGCTTGGGAATTCTGGGAGTCAAAGCCCACCCATCTTAAAGCATGCTGGCTTGGGAATTCTGGGAGTCGAAGTCCACGCATCTTAAAGCATGGCTGGCTGGGGAATTCTGGGAGTTGAAGTCCACCCAACTTAAAACAGGCTGGCTGGGGAATTCTGGGAGTCAAAGCCCATCCATATTAAAGCACGCTGGCTTGGGAATTCTGGGAGTTGAAGTCCACACATCTTAAAGCAGGCTGGCTGGGGACTTCTGGGAGTTGAAGTCCATGCATCTTACAGCATGCTGGGTGAAGATTTCTGGGAATCGAAGCCCATCCATTTGAGGCAATGGTGGTTAGGGAATTCTGGGAGTTGAGTTCCGCCCATCTTAAAGCTGCCTGCTTTTAATATCTGTTTCCCCAAAATGGCCGCTACTCGTCGAATGCAGCTTGTGACACGTTGCACCAAGCTTGTGCAGGCCTTGAACCAGCTAAGGTACAGAAATCCAGAGTATCTGGGCTGGTGTTCGGAGACCTGGGTTCAAATCTTCCTTCCTGCTGCTTTCTTTCCTGGCCTTGCCTACCTGGAAGGTGGTTTGGAAAGCAAAAAGTAACAAACTTTGATGGGAGCCAGCTAAACAATGTAGGAGAAAAGTGAGATACCGGATGGGATTAATAATGTGCAAATTCTGGAATTCCTATAAAGGGGATCGATTGGTGAAAAATATCCACTCTCCCCCCCCCCCCAAGACATGTTCCTGGGCCAGACTGCTCACCATCCAAGACACATATCCCCCAGGCCCATAATGGCTGGGGCTGATGGTAATTGGAGTCCCCCGTAGCTCCACAAGGCACAGGAAGACTCTGCAAAGAAAACCCAGAGCATTTCCTCACCCAGCACCTGCTCCAGGATCGGCACCAAGCGATACACTTTGTAAGGCTCCGTGATGTCCAGCCGGGAACGGGACTGCACTTCCTCGAACTCGGGACTTTTGCTCAAAGCGCAGCGGACCCGGGTCTTCCAAGTTGCCGGGTTGCTTTCTCCGGGGTTATACTTTCCTTTATAGATAGCCCAAGCCTAGAAAAGGAACATTTATTTATCTATCATCCATCCATCTATCCATCCAATCTCTCTCTCTCACACACACACACAAACCCACACAGTCTCCATCCATCCATCCATCCATCCTAGAACTAAGGAGTAACGTCCTGACAGTTAGAACAATTAACCAGTGGAACAACCTGCCTCCAGAAGCTGTGAATGCTCCAACACTGGAAGTTTTTAAGAGACTAGACAGCCATTTGTCTCAAATGGTATAGGGTTTCCTGCCTGAGCAGGGGGTTGGACTAGATGACCTCCAAGGTCCCTTCCAACTTTATTATTATTACTATAACGACTACCGCTTCTGACTAGGATGTAGCCACCAATTCCCGGCCTCCCCTTTCCACCCCATCTACCAACTCAGCACCTTGAAGAAGCCGGCGTCTTCATCCTGGCGGAATTCGTGCTTCCCGGCGTGTTTCCACGGGATACGGAACATGGTCTTGGCCGGAGGGTCATCCCAAACCAAACCTGGGAATTTCCCGCTCTCCACCTGCTCCACGGTCCAGTCGCGGAGTTTCCGGGTGGATCGTATCCCTCGCTTGGAAGTCGCCATCTACCAGGAGAGAGAAAAAAAAATGATAATGCAGTTGGTCCTCAACTTACAACGGTTCACTTAACGTCTGTTCAAAGTTACAATGGTGTGGGGGAAAAAAAAGTGACCGGAGAGAGGGGTTGATAGTTCAGCAAGTTCTTTTTTTTTAGAGTATTTATTTATTTGTTTACTTATGTATTCATTCTTTTTTATAATAATGATAGATAGATAGATAGATAGATAGATAGATAGGTAGATAGATAGATAGATAGATAGATAGATATAGATGTCTATCTATATCTATCTATCTAGACCAAGGGTAGGCAATCTTGGCTCTTTTATGACTGGTGGACTTCAACTCCCAGAATTCCCGAGCCAGCACGGCTCAGCTTGGAAACCTCTCCCTTTCCCCTCAGCGTGGCTGGCTCAGGAATTCTGGGAGTTGAAGTCCACGAATCATAAAAGAGCCAAAATGGCCTACCCCTGCTCTAGACAGACAGATAGAAATATCTATCTATCTAATCTATCTATCTATCTATCTATCTATCTATCTATCTATCTATCTATCTATCAATCTATCAATCTATCTATCTATCATCTATCTATCTACACACAATAAAATAATAATAAAAAATAAAATAAAAATAAAATAAAATAAAAGCCTGAGAGAAAAATAGATGAAAAGCTCATTCTTAAAAAGAATAACAATCCAGATTTGGAAAGAACTTCAAGCAGACAAGGGCTAGCAAAAAAGACCTCAAGGAAGTTTCAGTGAGAAAACACATCGCACACCACCCACACAAAGGTTTCTTTGTTGAACTTCAAATAACCTCAGAAAATCAGAGATATGAGAGAGCAGCTCTTGGGCAGCTGTACAAAGAGAGGAAGAAAGATATTAAATAAATAAATAAACAAGAGAGAGGGGGTGGAATTCGGATTATTATTATTATTATTTATTAAAACCTAAAGCAGAGGGAAAATAAAGTAATGATCAAAAAAGACCATGTGGAGGAAGGAAAAAATAAAATACCGTAAGGAATGGTTCAAACCAGAAAGATGGGTAACTTTAGAAATCAACTACTGTTAAGTCAAGCAATACAATCTCTTCCATAGAAATCAAGATGAATGAATCAATGAATCAATTAATCAATTAACTAATCAAATCTCTTCTAAATAACCAGGTTAACAAATAAATAAAAATAAAATATCTTCTAAAGAGATAGATAGATCGATAGATAGATCGATAGATAGATCGATAGATAGGAGATAGATAATAACAATAATAAAGTTGGAAGGGATCTTGGAGGTCATCTAGTCCAACCCCCTGCTCAGGCAGGAAACCCTATGGACTAGGTGTTCACTGATTCGTTGATTATCTTTTCCAGAATCTTCCCAGGTATTGAGGTCAGGATGATAGGTCTGTAATTTCCTGGATCCATTCCCCCCCCCCCGCTTTTTTCTGAAGATGGGAACTACATCAGCTCTTTTCCAGTCATGTGGTAGATCCAGGATCTTTGAAAGATATAATTCAGTGGTTCTGAGATCACAACTGGCAGTTCCTTGAGAACCTTGGGGTGTAATCCGTCTGGTCCTGGTGATTTGAACTCGTCTAGGCTGGACATTTTCTTGCCTATCTTAACTTGTGTTTCTAATCTGTTTTTTATGGTACTGTTTTTGATAGGTTGGACCAGTGGTGGCGAACCTATGGCACGGGTGCCAGAGGCAGGACTCAGAGCCCTTTCTGTGGGCACGCGCACCATGCCCTGGAGATGGCAACCGTCTCTCTTCAACCAGCTGCCCACTAACTCACCGAGCTCCCATGTGGCCGGATGCATCCCAGCATGGCTGGTTTCCCTCCCCCCTCATCCCATCCCTCCTGGCCTCGCATGGCCTCACATGCTACTACATGCTGCTGTTGACGGACAGTGTCGGCCCCCAGGCGCTCGCTGGCCTCTGTCTGCGGGGGCCAATGGTGTCAGGCAGCAGCCACTCTGGCCCCTGCACTGCCTTTCCCTGCAACAATGGCACCCCTGCCCTGCTCGCCTCCCCTCACCCCGCAGGACGAGTCTCCTGCCCACTGTCCCACCCACCAGAGACCCCCTGGATCTCCCCCAACCCTGTCCGGCCCTCACAGGAGTCAGCCACGCCCACCTAGTGGGCCATGCCCACCTGGCATCTGGCGATAAATAAGTGGGTTTTGGGGTGCAGTTTGGGCACTTGGATCTCTAAAAGGTTCGCCATCACTGGGTTGGACTGTTTCCTCCCTTTGTGTAAAGAAGATGCAAAAAACGAGTTAAATGGTTCTGCTTTCTCCCTGTTGCTTGTCACCTTCTTGCCACTTTCCCCCACTAATGGACCAATCATTGCCTTCATTTTTTTCTTGTTTTTTTACACGTTGAAAGAAGCGTTTTTTGTTATTTTTGACTTTGGTCGCAAGCCTTAGTTCATTTTGAGCCTTAGCTTTCCTCACTTCATCTTTGCAGGCTCGGGCTATTTGCTGATATTCTGCCTTAGTTATGTGCCCCTCTTTCCACTTTTTATACTTGTCCTTTTTATCTTTCAATTGATCAGAGAGTTCTTTATGCAGCCATGCTGGTTTCTTTTGAGAGCTGTTATTTTTCTTTCTTTGTTGGTATTGTGCTAGACTGGGCTTTTATTATCTCACTTTTCAAAATTTCCCAAGCTTCTTGAGTTGTTTTCCCCTTGAGGATACTCATCCATGGAATCCTTTCCAAGCCCTCTCTAGGTTTATTAAAATTAGCTCTCTTAAAGTCCAAGACTCTATGACTGTGTTCTATTGCTTGTGCTTCCAGAATGTTGAATTCCAATATTGCATGATCTCTTCCCCCCCAAGGTTCCTGTGGCTTCAACACCTTCTATCATTTCATCTCTGTTAGTGAGGATTAGATCCAATATGGCTAATCCCCTAGTTCCCTTCTCTACTTTTTGGGAGACAAAGTTGTCTGCTAGGTTTGTCAGGAATCTGTTTGATCTTCCAGTTGGTGGAAGATGATACAGATTAGATAGATAGATGTAGATGATATAGATAGATGATAAAAGATAGATAGATAGATAGATAGATAGATAGATAGATAGATAGATAGGAAGATGTTTTATTTATCTATATCTATCTAAGAATGAAAGAAACAGTTGTTGTTGTTAATTGTTAATAGCGAAGTCGTGTCCGACCCATCGGGACCCCATGGACAACGTTCCTCCAGGCCTTCCTGTCCTCTACCATCTTCTGGAGTCCATTTAAGCTCATGCCTACTGCTTCAGTGACTCCATCCAGCCATCTCATTCTCTGTCGTCCCCTTTTTCTATTGCCCTCCATCTTTCCCAGCATTAGGCCCTTCTCCAGTGAGTCCTTCCTTCTCATTAGGTGGCCAAAGTATTTGAGTTTCAACTTCAGGATCTGGCCTTCTAAAGAGCAGTCGGGGTTGATCTCTTCTAGGACTGACCAGTTTGAACGCCTTGCAGTCCAAGGGACTCGCAAAATAAAATCTCTTCTACAGAAATCCAAGAAACAGACAGACAGACAAATAAATGAAACTTCTTCTGCAGAAAGCAAATAAACAACAACAGCCAAAACATTATTGATTTAAAAGAAGTTACAGGTGGACAATTTACTGCTTGCCTTTCCCCTAACTGGGGATGGCTACCAATCAACCATCTTCCACCATCCCCAAAAATGAAACATATAAAATGACTTCAAAACTCAACGGATTTTCGCTCTTCTGCAAAACCCTGTTTTAACTTGGGATGCCTCTCCCTCCCACCCGTCCCTTGACCCAAACTAAGGAAGCAAATAACAACAACAACAATTGTTGATAAGAAAGACAAAAAAGTCTGGATAGTGGATGTGGCAGTGCCTGGAGACAGCAGAATAGACGAGAAAGAACTGGAGAATATAACATAATACAAAGACCTACAAATAGAAATAGAAAGACTATGGCAAAGGCAAGCAAGGGTGGCACCAATAGTGATAGGCACCTTGGATGCAATCCCAAAACAACTGGAGCACCACTTGGACACCATCATCAGCATTGACAAATTCACCATCAGTCAATTGCAAAAGGCGGCCTTACTAGGAACTGCTTCCATCCTGCGACGAGATCAGTGATACCATCATACATCCACATTTGCCTATCCCAGGTCCTTGGTAAGGACTCGATAGGTAGACAAAAATGCCAAATCCAGTCTGAACATCTGGCTGACTGACTAATCATCATCAACAACAACAATAATAATAATCCACATCTGCCTATCCCAGGTCTTTGGTAAAGAGTACTCGATGGCCGACTGTGATGATGATGATGATGATGATGATGATGATAATAATAATAATAATAATAATCCACATCTGCCTATCTCAGGTCCTTGAAAAGGATTCGATAGGTAGACAAAAATGCCAAACCCAGTCTGAACATCTGGCTGACTGTGCGATGAATATTATTATTATTATTATTAATAATAATAATAATAATAATGAGATACATGGAAATTTTGAACTTATCAGACCTAAATATTCTGACTTTGCAAACCCCAAACCCCTCCTTACTTGGAACTGCCTATATATACTCAGACGCTCCCTTAAAAGCCTTTAGGTCCTGGATTAGGACTTGAACTCTTAAGTTTTTACCAGTCCCAGACTTTGAGTCAAACGAAAGATTAAATCAATAACAACAATAATGATAATAATAGGAGCTCCGGACGGGTGGGATCACAGTCCCCATCACCCCCAGCCAACCGAGGAGGATGGTTTTGCCCGTTCACTGCCACACCTTTGAGGGAAGATCAAAGGAAGAAAGAAAGGAAGAAAGAAAGAGAAAGAAAGAGAAAGAAAGAAAGAAAGAAAGAGAAAGAAAGAAGGAAAGAAGGAAAGAAAGAAAGAAAGAAAGAAAGAAGGAAGGAAAGAAAGAAAGAAAGAAAGAAAGAAAGAAAGAAAGAAAGAAAGAAAGAAAGAAAGAAAGAAAGGCTAGCCACATTTATTTTTTTTTAAAAAAAAAAGTCGCAGGAGACATTCAACCCCTTAATGCCTTTTCAGCAGCAGCGCCTGGTTTACTAGTATGCTGGGTTTTGGGTTTTTTTAAACAACGACAATAATAACAACAACTAGAGTCCGATGCAACCTATCCCGTAGATAGATAGATAGATAGATAGATAGATAGATAGATAGATAGATAGATAGATAGATAGATAGATAGATAGATAGATGAGAGAGAGAAGGAGGGGAGAGGGAGCGAGCGAGCGCGTGGCGCAATAGTTGCATTTAAAAATAAAAATAAAAAATCAAAGCATACCCCGTTTGCAAAAAAGAACTTAAAAGTTAGCCAGGCATCTTTGCCTAAAAAAACAAATGCAAACGGCTCGCGCCCGTTTGCATAGAAGCCAGCAAACCAATGAAGAAACAAACAAAGAAAGAAATAAATCGGGCACGTTTGCATAAAAAGTAAATAAACTTTTTTTTTCCAAGGGAGTTTAAGACGGTTGGGGGGGGGGAAGAAGAGGAGGAGGAGGAGGAGGAAAGTCCTACCTGTACCCCCTCCCTGGGCTTCTCCTTTTCCTTTTCTATCTCCTTCCCTTCTTCTTCCTCCCTTCCGATGCTCAGCCCGGTCAAAGCGGCGGCGGCGGCGGCGGCGACTCCCGGGCTGCCAGCTGACGCCCGGCCCCGCCTGTTCTCCCTCCGGTCCGCCCCCTGGGCCCCGCCCCAATCCGTTTCTTCGTCCCTTTCGCCTCCTTCCCAGAAATCACGTGCTGCGCCTGCCCACGCTGCGCCGACCACCAGAGGGCGACAGAGAGCAGGCGCTTTTCCTTTTTTCTTTCTTTTAAAAAGCGGAATATTGTATTCTGTATATCTAGCCATCCTCTCTTTTATCTCTTTCATCCGTCTGTCATTTCTGTCATCTATTTTGTCATCTCTGTCTCTATCAACAACGGCAACGGATGGAAACTCATCAAGGGGAGAAGCAACCTAGAACTAAGGAGAAACTTCCAGGCAGTTAGAACAATTAACCAGTGGAACCACCTGCCTCCAGAAGCGGTGAATGCTCCAAACACTGGAAGTTTTTCAGAAGAGACTGGACTGGTCCGAAATGGTATAGGGTTTTCTGTCTGAGCAGGGGGTTGGACTAGGTGACCTCCAAGGTCCCTTCCAACTTTATTATTGATCATCGCACAGTCAGCCAGATGTTCAGACTGGATTTGGCATTTTGTCTACCTATCGAGTCCTTACCCAGGACCTGGGATAGGCAGATGTGGATGTTTGATGGTATTACAGGTATCGTCGCAGGATGGAAGCAGTTCCTAGTAAGGCCGCCTTTTGCAATTGACTAATAGCGAATTTGTCAATGCCAATGGTGTTCAAGTGGTGCTCCAGTTGTTTTGGGATTGCACCCAAGGAGCCTATGACTATTGGTACTACCCTTGCTTGCTTTTGCCACAGTCTTTCTATTTCTATTTGTAGGTCTTTGCATTTTGTTATCTTCTCCAGTTCTTTCTCTTCTATTCTGCTATCTCCAGGCACTGCCACGTCCACTATCCAGACTTTTTTGTCTTTCTTATCGACAATTGTTAAGTCTGGGGTGTTATGTTGCAGGTGCTTGTCTGTTTGAATTCTGAAGTCCCAGAGCAGTTTAATTTTATCATTTTCTATGACTTTCTCTATTTTATGATCCCACCAGTTTTTGCTTACAGGCAAATGATATTTTTTGCAGATCTTCCAATGCACCATTGTTGCTACTTTGTCATGCCGCTGCTTGTAATCAGTCTGTGCAATCTTCTTGCAACAGCTTACCAAGTGGTCCACTGTTTCTTCAGCTTCTTTGCATAGGCAGCACTTACTGTCTGTTGCTGTCTTCTCAATTTTGACTTTGTATGCATTTGTCCTTAAGGCTTGGTCTTGTGCAGCCAGAATTAGTCCCTCGGTCTCTTTCTTCAATTTTCCTGCTCTTAGCCATTGCCAGGTTTTATTATTATCTGCTTTCCCAGCTATTTTTTTAATGTATTGGCCATGTAGTGCTTTGTCTTCCCATGCCTCTATTCTGTTCTTCATTTGGTCTTTCTTGTAGGCCAGTTTGGTCTCTCCAGTAGTTAGTAAGCCTTCCTGATATACTAATTTCAGTGCATCTTCATCATTGTTCTTCAGATATTCTTCCAAAGCCATTTTTTCTTCTTCAACCATCTGATGTACTTGTAGCATTCCACGCCCACCTATTTGCCTTGGTAGATAAAGTCTATCAATGTCACTGCGTGGATGAAGGGCATGATTCATTGTCATTATTTTTCTGGTCTGCCTATCCATTGCTTTTAGTTCTGCTTGAGTCCAGTCCACTATTCCAGCTGTGTACCTAATGACTGGGATTGCCCAGGTGTTGATTGCCTTTATGGTATTTCCTCCATTGAGTTTGGATTATTATTATTATTATTATTATCTCTCATCTTTTTATCATCTATCATTCATCAGTCTATCTATCCTATAATCTATTATCTATCAATATATCCATCGTTTATCTATTTATCCATCTATCATCTATCTATTATCTATCTTATCTGTCCATCTATTCTATGCCTGTGTCTCTATTATCTCTTATCTATCCATATATTCTGTCTCTATCCATCCATCCATCATCTTATCTGTCCATCTAGTCCAGTGGTGGCGAACCTATGGCACGCGTGTGTGGGCACGCGCGCCGTCGCCTCAGTCCTGGGCCTTCAGCTGGATTTTATAAAACCTTTTCGCTTTAGGCCTCCGCCGCCATGTGCAAAAAAAAAAAAAAAAAAAAAGGGAGGGGGGTTCAGTCAATTTTAACTTCTTGCGGGGAAAAAAAATCTTGCAAAGTTGGAATTGATAGATTTAACTTTTTTAGTCCCCACCCAGCATCCGACGATGCGTAAGTGGGTTTTGGGTTGCAGTTTGAGCACTGTCTCTAAAAGGTTCGCCATCACTGGTCTATTCTGTCTGCCTGCCTGCCTATCTCTATCTACCCATCTATCCACTATCTATCTTATCTATCCATTTATCTTGTCTGTCTCTATTTATCCATCATCTATCCATCTATTATCTTTTATTGTCTCTAGCCATCTATCCATTATCTATCTTATCTATCCATCTATTCTATATCTGCCCATCTATCCATTATCTTATCTGTCCATCTAGCTTGTCTCTACCCATCATCTATTCATATATTATCTAGCTTATCTGTCCATTTTGTCTGTCTGTCTGTATCCATCCATCCACCAATATCTATCTATCTATCTATCTATCTATCTATCTATCTATCTATCTATCTATCTATCTATCTATCTATCTATCTATCTAATCTTTATCTTATCTTTCTCATTTATCTGCCTGCCTATCTATCATCTATTTCTATCTCTACCTCTACCTATCATCTATTTATTTTTCTTTCTATCATCTATTTCTGTCTGTCTGTGTACCTATCATCTATTTCTCTATCTATCTATCTATCTATCTATCTATCTATCTATCTATCTATCTATCTATCTATCTATCTATCATCTATTTTTATCTGTACCTCTACCTATTTCTCTATCTATCTATCTATCTATCTATCTATCTATCTATCTATCTATCTACCTACCTACCTACCTACCTACCTACCTACCTACCATCTTCCTTGTCTATAATCTATCACACATCTATTATGCTTCTTTCTCATCTCTCTTTCTATTTATCTTCTTGAAGTCCACACATTTTAAACTGGCCCAGGTTGAGAAAAACACTGCCTCAAAGACTTAAATACTGAAAAATGGAGAATGCTCTTGGAAGAAAACTGAATTACCATTTTTGGGCAAGCAGAATTTCTACAGCGATGCCAATATCCCATTCAATAACGGTGTAAGGAAGAACCTTGGGGGAAAATTGCCGTTCTTTGGACAACTGACGTCCTAGAGGTATAAAACATTCAAATCATACAGAAATCCTCCCACTATTTAGGAAGAAATAGGAAAATGATCCGAAGCCGCCTGTAAGACATTGCACGTTTCATTTTATTATATAAATAAGATGGTGCCATTTAGAATTTCTCTGCGATGTAATTGCATCGGGACACGGTTCCTAAGAACCCGTATCGACGAATTCTGAATTCGCAAAAGGTTTTCCACAAATTTGGGAGAAAAGGAAAAAACACCACCCAGAAATTTTTTGGGGTGACGCCTATTTTTGGTCCATGAAAAAAAAAAAATCTAAATGCTAGGACCTGGGGATCATATTAACCACAAAGCAAAAAGAGAGTCTTGTTTTATCAAAATAACTTTTATTCAGACCAATGCATTTCCCAGGAGATATGCAGGCTGAAAGAACAAATGGAATTAAAAATATTGGATCAATCTAAAACCGGAACAAGAAATTTTCAATTGAAGCCAAGCTTCCGTTCCACCCACCAGTACATTTTTTTCCCACCCCATAAAACCTGAACACAGTACTCAAAAACTTGTTAAAGAGAGTTAGGGCGAAACAAATTCTTTGTTTTCTCCATCATCACCTTCTCTGTCAGAGATGTCCAATTGTGGTGACTTTAAGACTTGTGGACTTCGACTCCCAGAATTCCCCAGCCAGACTTGTGGACTTCAATTCCCAGAATTCCTCTGCCAGAAGCCTGCCTAGAGAAATCTGGGAGTTGAAGTCCGCAAGCCTGGCTGGGGAATTCTGGGAGTTGAAGTCCGCAAGTCTTCAAGTCGCCACAACTGGACATCCCTCTTCTAAAGGGTCACAAGGAGAAGACCTCTGGATGTATCTCACACAAGAGAGAAGAAATAGGCTGTAGAACAACACAACCCTTAAATTCAACCTAGTGGTTAGAGCAGGGAGGGCTGCTCTTTAGGAGCCCCCCCCCCCGTAAATCATCGACCGGAAAGGACAATTCTCAAAACACAACATCTCTTCTCTTCTCCATCCCTTTGGAAGAATATCACCGCTTCTCTTCCTCCTCGTATGGGTGATGATCTCGGTCTACTTCCGTCTCCGTGGGATCTCCAAGCCAAGAGGAACTTGGTCTCTTAGAACCTACAGGAGAATAACAGAATAACAGAGCTGGAAGGGATCTCAAAGGTCATCTAGTCCAGCCCCCTGCTCAAGCAGGAGACCCTATCCCATTTCAGACAAATGGCTGTCCAGTCTCTTCTTAAAAAGGAGGAAGAGGAATAATAAAGCTGGAAGGGACCCTGGAGGTCATCTAGCCCAACCCCCTGCTCAAGCAGGAGACCCTATCCCATTTCAGACAAATGGCTGTCCAGTCTCTTCTTAAAAAGGAGGAGGAGGAGGGGGAGGAATAATAAAGCTGGAAGGGACCTTGGAGGTCTTCTAGTCCAACCCCCTGCTCAATCAAAAGGCCTCCGAGAGATTGGAGAAGGAATCCAGGTGAGAGAAGAGCTCCAAACCAACAGGAGAGGAGAAGCTTCACCTGGATCAGACGCCTGCGATACGCTTCCTCGTCCTCCGTCGGTCCCTTGGGGAGCAGCTGGGGGGCGGTGAGGTGTCTCCGGCACACGATCTCCACCTCCTGCAAGGTGTAGAAGACGGCGGGATCCAGAGTGTGGCTGTTGATCAGACTGACTAGGTATTCCTTGTAGTGCGCCCTGGGGGGAGAGTGTGTGTGTCAAGAAATATGTTTTGGTTAGAAAAGATATTTTAAACTGGTATCACCGATACGATTAGAAAACTGATATTCAACCGTATATCTTTTAATAACAATAAGAATTGCATTTGCTTAATTTGCGGGAAAAAAGGGTACTGGATGGTATAATATTGGATTTAGTTTTTTTTTTTTAAAACGTTTTATTGATTTTCTAATTTTACATTTAAGTATTTGAAAAGCCACGTGGCGGCTGGGTTAATCAAAAATTCAGTAACACACAAACATCTTTAGTGCCAGTCTCAAACGACCGCCTTAAATGTTTCCTCTCTTTTCCCCTTGGTATTTACTGTCTCATGTTTAAACTAATGCCATTCTTATTATATGAATGAAATAAAAATAACATTCTTACCTTTATCAACCATTTTTAGCTTATACATATGCCGATTATTTTAACATTCGGTCTTTATATAGACAATCAATGTCCTAATTAGTTTTCCCCATTTTTTTTAGTTTCCCATTAGTATTTAAATTTAACGTTTAATATTTGTAATTTCCAAGTTTTAAGCGACCAAAGTTCCCTTGATCACAATTCATCACAAAGTCTAGTACTCAGGATACACATCTTATCTATTTGAAGAAGCTTATATGCACCACGGAATTACTAATGGATCCATTCAACACGTTGTTTATTAAGAACTTTTTGGTAAAAATAGAAAATTCATAATATATATATTCCATCAGTGAGGGGCAACTTTTAAGATTTGTGGACTTCAACTCCCAGAATTCCTTATGCTGGCTGGTGAATTCTGGGAGTTGAAGTCCACGAGTTTTAAAGCTGCTAAGTTTGGAGACCCCTGGCCTGGTTGAAATCTTGCTGGTCCCTCCGGGATCATAGAGATGGGAGTCCAGAAAGGTCATCAAGTCTAACTCCCTTGAGAGTGCAGGATGGGCCTACACACTGTTGGGGGGGGGGACGCAATCTATTCTGTTTGAAAACCTCTAAAGGGAAGAAACACCACCATGTGGCAAACTGTTCAACTCCCAGAGTTCCTCATGCTGGCTGGTGAATTCTGGGAGTTGAAGTCCACGAGTCTTAAAGCTGCCAAGTTGGAAGACCCCTGGCCTAGTTGAGACCTTGCTGGTCCCTCCAGGATCATAGAGATGGGAATCCAGAGAGGTCATAAACTAACTCCCTTGAGAGTGCAGGATGGGCCTACACATTGTTTGGGGGGGTGCGATCTAGTTTGTTTGAAAAACTCCAAAGAAGAGGAAGAAACCCCTCAAGGCGGTAACCCAGGGGTCTTCAAACTTGGCTCTTTTATGACTTGTGGGCTTCAACTCCCAGAATTCCTGAGCCAGCGTTCCAGGCTGAGGAATTCTGGGAGCTGGTCCACAAGCAGGCATCTTCAAACTTGTCCTTTTATGACTTGTGGACTTCAACTCCCAGAATTCCTCAGCCAGCATGAGGGAACTAGGACCCTTTTATGACTTGTGGACTTCAACTCCCAGAATTCCTCAGCCAGCATGAGGGAACTACAACCCTTTTATAACTTGTGGACTTCAACTCCCAGAATTCCTCAGCCAGCGTGCCTGACTTGTGGACTTCAACACCCAGAATTCCTCAGCCAGCATTCCAGGCTGAGGAATTCTGGGAGTTGAAGTCCACAAACAGGGATCTTCAAACTCGGCCCTTTGATGACTTGTGAACTTCAACTCCCAGAATTCCTCAGCCAGGCATGCTGGCTGAGGAATTCTGGGAGTTGAAGTCCATAAAAGGGCCAAGTTTGAAGACCCCTGCGGTAACCCCTTCAGCACTTCCTGTCAAGAACTCCTTCCTGATGTTCGCCCTGCTGGCTGGGGAATTGTGGGAGTTGAAGTCCCCACAAGTTGAAGTCTTGCCCAAGATTTGAAACTCCAGCTTCCGCCTGTGTCTCTCAAAATATTCTTGGCTTCCCTCCTCTACAAATGGACCAATGTTGCTTTTTTCCCCCAACCTACAGGCAGTCCTCGGCTTACGACCATTTGTTTGGCGGCTGCTCCAAGTTACAACGGCGCTGGGGGGAAAAAAAGTGACTTTACGACCAATCCTCGCACTTATGACCTAATTGCAACTCCAGGCGGCAGTGGGTGGGGGCAACTCAGCAGCCAAATGTTATTTACCACAATTGCGAGCGTCCCTGGGTGGGAGGGAAAGGTTGTAAAATCGGGGCCTGTCATGTGGTGATTCACTTAGCGACGGGAGCACTGGTCGACGTAGGTCGAGGACTTTCGGTATCATGTTTCAGCTCTGCTGGATCACAGCTAGAAATTCTGGGAAAGGGCCACGATTTCCCGACTCCTCATAGAAGGGTTTTACTCACTCGCAAAGGCCAGCATATTCAGCCGGGGTCTCTTTGCCGCACGGTTCGTCCTTTAAACCATCCAGCATTTCTTTCTGCTCCATAACCCGGCATCCCCCTGCAGGCAGAGGAAGAACCCCGACATTTAAAGCGTGCCCCTTCCTTCCTTGGACTGGCGGTCCTCGAGTTACGACAATTCAGCCCCAAATTTCCGTTGCTAAGCGAGACGTTGGTTAAGCAAGTTTTTTTCCCCAACTTTTCTTGCCACAGTTCTTAAGTAAACCACTGCGGTTGTTAAATTAGTAACATCGTTGTTAAGTGAGTCAGAAAGCTGACCCCGGGATGGTGCCACCTTCATAAAATGTGAGCCGGTTGTCAATCATCTGAATTTCAGTCCTGTTGTAACTTGGAACGGTCACTAAATGAGCTGTTCTAGGTTGTGGACTAGCCGCGTGGTTATTTTATTTGGTTATTTTAAGGAGGTGAGCGGCCCAGGTTCACGAACGTAAAGTTGGGTGGCTATATATAAATGGAAATAAAATTAAAAAATTGAAGTGAAGAGGTTAAAAAGTAAAGCAGTGATAGTCCCCGATTTACAACAGTTCATTTAGTGACCGTTCAAAGTTACAATAGCACTGAAAAAGCGACGCGTGACTGCTTTTCACACTTATGACGGCTGCAACACCCCCCAGGGTCATGCGCTCAAAATTCGGACACTTGGCATTTGGTTCCTATTTATGACGGTTTGCAGCGTCCCGGAGTCACACATTCCCCTTTTGCGACCTTCTGACAAACAGAGTCAAGGGGGGGGGGGGAAAACCGGATTCACTTAACAACCGTGCTGTTAATTAACAAATACAAGTGATTTGCTGAACGACTCTGGCAAAAATCATCGTAAACCGGGGCAAAACCTGCTTAACAAATATTTCACTTAGCAACAAAACTTTGGGGTCAATTGTGGTCATACACTGAGGACGGCCTGTGAAGGCGGAAGTGAAGTGAAGTAAAAGTAAAGTAAAGTAAAGTTAAAGTGAAGTAAAAATGAAGTTAAAGTGAAGTAAGGTAAAAATAAAATTAAAGTGAAGTGAAGTAAAAATAAAGTTAAAGTGAAGTTAAAATGAAGAATTAAAGTAAAGTAAAATAGCAACAAAGTTTGGGCTCCATTGTGGTCATACTTTGAAGACTGCCAGTGAAGGCTGAAGTGAAGTGAGGTAAAAGTAAAGTAAAGTTAAAGTAAAATAAAAGTGAAATTAAAGTGAAGTAAAGTAAAAATAAAGTTAAAGTGAAGTTAAAGTGGTGAGGTGAAGCGAAGTGAAGTGAAATAAAGTAAAGTAAAGTAAAATAACAACAAAGTTGGGGCTCCATTGTGGTCATACTTTGAAGACTGCCTGTGAAGGGAGAAGTGAAGTGAGGTAAAAGTAAAGTAAAGTAAAAATAAAGTTAAAGTGAAGTGAAGTTAAAATGAAGTGAAGTAAAAATAAAGTGAAATTAAAGTGAAGTGAAGTAAAAATAAAGTTAAAGTGAAGTTAAAATGAAGTAAAAATGAAGTTAAAGTGAAGTAAGGTAAAAATAAAGTTAAAGTGAAGTGAAGTAAAAATAAAGTAAAATTAAAGTGAAATTAAAGTGAAGTAAAATAAAAATAAAGTTAAAGTGAAGTAAAAATGAAGTTAAAGTGAAGTAAGGTAAAAATAAAGTTAAAGTGAAGTGAAGTAAAAATGAAGTGAAGTAAAAATAAAGTAAAATTAAAGTGAAGTAAAGTAAAAATAAAGTTAAAGTGAAGTTAAAATGAAGTGAAGTAAAAATAAAGTAAAATTAAAGTGAAATTAAAATGAAGTGAAGTAAAAATAAAGTTAAAGTGAAGTTAAAGTGGTGAGGTCAAGTCAAGTCAAGTCAAATAAAGGTAAATTAAATTAATGTAATAAAATAAAGTAAAACAAAATAAAATAAAGGTCAAGTCAAATCAAGTCAAAAAGCGCAAAATATTTGAAAGTGCAATCTTTCATTCCGGACTTAAAATGAAGCCATCCCAGGACAGTTGGACTTCCCAGGATTTTGGGGGGGGGGGTCACGCACCTCCAGGGGTAGCCCGGGTGCCCGCTGGGGGGTCCGTGTTGAAGGCAACGTTGTTATCCTGGGATGGAGAGAAGGGAAACGAGAGAGAATCAGTCTCCCAAGAAGCCTTTTCCTTAAACACCCTGGGCTTCCACGTCCCCCCACCCCACATCCCCCCCTCCCCGGTCCTGAAGCCCCCCCACCCCACATCCCCCCCCGACCGCCCCCCCTGACCTGGAGGAGCTGCTGCAGGCGCGGCACGGCCCAATCCCGCAGGTAGAAGAGGCAGTCGCGTGGATGGTGGCCGTGGAGGGAACGGCGGATCGGGCAGTGAGGGATCGGGCATTTCTGGAAGGGAACAAAGTGTAGGATGGGAAAATGGCTGAGCTGCCCACCCAAGTGAAAATATAGGCGAGTCCTCGCCTTACGACCGCGACTTCCAAACTTCCAGGGTAGGAAAATGGCTGAGCTGCCCACCCAAGTGAAAATACAGGCAAGTCCTCGCCTTACAACCGCAACTTCCAAACTTCCAGGGTAAGAAAATGGCTGAGCTTCCCACCCAAGTGAAAATACAGGCAAGTCCTCGCCTTACGACCGTGACTTCCAGGGTAGGAAAATGGCTGAGCTGCCCACCCAAGTGAAAATACAGGCGAGCCCTCGCCTTACGACCACCAGCTGAGCTCCAAATTTCCAGGGTAGGAAAATGGCTGAGCTGCCCACCCACTCCTCCAAAGGGAAATACAAGCGAGTCCTCAACTTTACGACCGCAACTGAGCCAAACATTTGCGTTGCTAAGGTGAGAAACTGGTTAAGTGAGTTTTACCCCGTTTTACGACTCTCCTGGCCACGTTTGTTAAATTAGTAAAACTATTGTGAGGTGAATCTGGCTTGACTCGGCTTGTCAGGTCGCAAAATGGGATCAAGGCGACCCTCCCCCTGGAAGCTGCAACGGTCATAAATATGAGTCAGTTGTCACGTGTCTGAATGTAACTCACGCCATCGTGGGGAAGCTCCGACGGTCATAAGTGTGAAAAATGGTCGTAAGTCACTTTTCCCAGCGCCGTTGTAACTTTCAACAGTCACTAAGTGAACTATTGTTAAGTCAAGGTCTATTTGTAAGGACAGTCCTCGGTTTACGACGATATTTGAGCCCAATATTTCTGTTTGGGAAAACTTCCCGCCACAAATGTCTTAGGTGGGACGTTGGTTACAAAAGGTCCCTTTTACGACCTTTCCTGCCACAGTTGTTAAGTGAATCACTGCAGGTGTTACGTTCGTGAAACGGTTGTTAAGTGAAACCGGCATGGACTTTGTTAGTCAGAAGGTAGCAAAAAGGGGATCATGTGACCCCTCCCAGGATGCCGCAACCGTCATAAATATGAGGCGGTTCCCTAGCGTCCAAATTTGGATCGCCTGACCACGGGGGATGCTGCAACAGCAGCGTCACAACTTGAAACGGTCACTAAACAAATTTTATTCCCTTTAATATGGATTGCAGACAAAAGTCAGATAACCTGACTTTGTTAGCAGACGTGTGATAAATAGCAATTTATATTACTTTTTCCCAACTGCTCCCTTCCTCTCCGAAACATGGAACTGAATCATGCTCCCCTTTAAATGGGAAAAGAACAGGCAATCCTCGACTTAGAACTGTTTTGTTTCATTTAGTGACCGTTCAAACTTACAACAGCATTCACAAAAACAACTTACGATCATTTTTCACGCTTAACAACTGTTGCCGCATCCTCGTGGTTACATGGTATCAAATTCGGACGCTGGGCAAACTGGCTCATACGTACGATGGTCGCAGTGTCCCCGGGGGGGGGTCACATGATCCCGTTTTGCGACCTTCTGACAAACAAAGTCTGTGTATGTGTGTGTGTGTGTGTGTGTGTGAAAGCCGGATTTGCTTAATAACCGTCTTACCAACTTAACAACTGCAGGGATCCGCTTTGCCGTGAAGTGGAAGGAGAATGGCCATAAAACGGGGCAAAAAACTCACTGAAGCGATGTCTCATTTAGCGACGTGAAATTTCGGGCTCCCTTGTGAAGACACAGGAGGGGAACATTATCAAAGGAAAAACGGAGAGAAAGAACAGCAGAGACGGCCTTGAACAGACAGGCGAAGGCCAAAAAAAATGAATTTGGCCCAGGAAGTCAAGTTGAGAAAAAAAAATCCAAAATCCTGAATTTTCGCCCTGCCTTGACAATTTTGAATGTAAGAAAGAGGAAAGCCGAATAAATATAATCTTTCCGGATCCTCTGATTACACCCGCTATCAAAAGAGCGGAGTTCCAGCATTTTAAAGTCCGTTCCTCACACTATGGCAGTGGTTCTCAACCTTTTTAATGCCGCGACCCCCAACAAGTCGTAAGTCGAGGACTACTCAACCGGTCGTAAGTCGAGGACTACTCAACTGGTGCAGCACCGTTTGCAGAATGGGACTTTTGGCGGGCTCAGCAGGGCAGAGACAGCCTGGACAATTCCTATTGGCTTTGGAAAGCCAATAGAATAAAAGGGAGTAGCACAGCTAAGGAAAAGGGGAAAAAAATGGCGGACTGCGTTGTTTGGCGACCCCCGTGAAATGGTCGTTCGACCCCAAATGGGGTCCCGACCCACAGGTTGAAAACCACTGCACTATGGAAAGCCCTCCACTTAACAGCAGTTCAGTTAGTGACGGTTTAAAGTCACAACGGTCCTGAAAAAAGGACGGTTTTTCACGCTTAATGGCCGTTGCACCATCAATCACAGTCACCTGATCAAAATTCGGCAATTTATGATGGTTGCAGCGTCGCCCGAGGGGGGGGGGTCCCGTGATCCCCTTTTGTGACTTTCTGATAAGCAAAAACAACGGGGAAAGCCATATTCAATTAACAACCGTGCTGTTCATGAACAAACGCAGTGATCCGCTGAACGACGGTGGCGAAAATCGTCGTAAAATGGGGCAAAGCTCACTTCACTGTCCTGGAAAATTTTGGCTTCAGCATTAGGTCGCGGACTCCCTGTATCTTATATTTTCCTATGGTTTTTGTTCACCGTCTCGGCCTCCATTCTCCAAATTCACCTCTACCGAGGCCGATAAGGGGGAAATTGAATGGCAACAGCGGACCGAGTTCCAGGCTTGCATCACACACACAAACACACACACACACACACACACACACACACACAGAAATGCACAATCCCTGAGCATCCTTACGTTGGAGGCATAGAAGGTCCCGTAGCAGCCACTGCAGAAATGATGTCTACATTGGGAACACTGGAAGTGCATGCAGCCCCCTCGGGCCAGTGCATACGAGAACTTGCATTTGGGACACGCTGAAAGAAAGAAAAAAAAGAGAAATGTATTTATTGGCTTGTCAATAATAATAATAATAACAACAACAATAATTACAACAACAAAGTTGGAAGGGATCTTGGAGGTCATCTAGTCCAACCCCCTGCTCAGGCAGGAAACCTATACCATTTCGGACAAATGGCTGTCCAGTCTCTTCTTAAAAACTTCCAGTATTGGAGCATTCACCACTTCTGGAGGCAGGTAGTTCCACTGGTTAATTGTTCTCACTGTCAGGAAGTTTCTTCTTAGTTCTAGGTTGCTTCTCTCCTTGATTAGTTTCCATCTGTTCCTTCTTGTCCTGCCTTCAGGCGTCTTGGAGAGTAGCCTGACTGCCTCTTCTTTGGGGCAGCCCCTGAGATACTGGAAGACTGCCATCCTGTCCCCCCTTGTCCTTCTCTTCGTTAAACTAGACATACCCAATTCCAGCAACCGTTCCTTATATGTTTTAGCCTCCAGTCCCCTGATCATCTTTGTTGCTCTTCTCTGTACTCTTTCTAGAGTCTCAACATCTTTTTTACATCGTGGTGACCAAAACTGGATGCCGTATTCCAAGTGTGGCCTTACCAAGGCCTTGTAAAGTGGTATTAATACTTCACGTGATCTTGATTCTATCCCCCTGTTAATGCAGCCTAGCACTGTGTTGGCCTTTTTGGCAGCTGCAGCACACGGCTGGGTCCTATTTAAGGGATTGTCCACTAGGACTCCGAGGTCCCTCTCACAGTTACTACTATTGAGCAAGGTACCCCCTATACTATACCTATCCTATACCTGTACTAGAACTCACCATCTCCTGATGATTGGCCAAAGTCACCCAGCTGGCTTTCATGGCTAAGGCGGGACTAGAACTCACCGTCTCCTGGGGATTGGCCCAAAGTCACCCAGTCGGCTTTCATGGCTAAGGTGGGACTATCACTATCTTTTTCTTTCTAACCTGGTGAACTGGAAAAAATTAAAATCAAACTTCCTGCTTAGAGTAGGAAACTCGGTTGGTGTCCCAAAAGGAACCTGGGGGCGAAATCCTCACCAATGCCGTTCTCCTGGAGGTACATCGCCAAGCCCTGCGCCTGGTATTCGGGGTCGTTGGTTCGCTTCCATTCCAGGAACGCTTCACAGCTCAGACCCTGATGCTGGGGTTCCCACTGGCACCGCGGAAGAGAAAAGACACCCCAAATTCAGCAGTTAGCCTTGTTCTGTTCTGGTGTATTCTATTCTTATTTCTAATTCTATTCTTATTTCTTATTGTATTCTATTCTATTCTATTCTATTCTATTCTATTCTAATTTCTATTCTATTCCTTATTTCTATTCTATTCTATTCCGTTCTATTCTTATTTCTAATTCTATTCTATTCTTATTTCTATTCTATTCTTATTTCTTATTCTGTTACATTCTATTCTTATTTCTTATTCTGTTACATTCTATTCTTATTTCTTATTCTATTCTATTCTTATTTCTATTCTATTATTTCTTATTCTATTCTTATTCTATTCTATTCTTATTCCTATTCTATTCTATTCTTATTTCTAATTCTATTCTTATTTCTATTCTATTATTTCTTATTCTATTCTTATTTCTATTCTATTATTTCTTATTCTATTCTTATTTCTATTCTATTCTTATTTATTATTCTATTCTATTATTTCTATTCTATTCTATTCTTATTTCTATTCTATTCTTATTCTATTCTAATTTCTATTCTATTCTTATTTCTTATTCTATTACATTCTATTCTTATTTCTAATCCTATTCTATTCTTATTTCTTATTCTATTCTGTTCTTATTTCTATTCTATTCCTATTCCATTCTATTATTTCTAATTCTTTTTTATTCTTATTTCTATTCTATTCCTATTCTATTATTTCTTATTCTATTCTAATTTCTATTCTATTCTTATTTCTTATTCTATTCCATTCTTATTTCTATTCTATTCTATTCTTATTTCTATTTCTATTTCTATTCCTATTCCATTCTATTCGTATTTCTAATTCTATTTTATTCTTATTTCTTTTATTCTTATTTCTAGTCTATTATTTCTTATTCTATTCTTATTTCTATTCTATTCTAATTTCTATTCTATTCTATTCTTTATTTCTATTCTATTCTATTCGATTCTATTCTTATTTCTATTCTATTCTTATTTCTTATTCTATTCTATTCTATTCTATTCTATTCTATTCTATTCTTATTTCTATTCCTATTCCATTCAATTCTATTCTTATTTCTAATTCTTATTTCTAATTCTATTTTATTCTTATTTCTATTCTATTCTTATTTCAATTCTATTGTTATTTCTATTCTATTACTTCTATTCTGAATTTATTCTATTCTATTCTCTTCTATTATTCTCTTCTCTTCTATATTCCATTCTATTTCTTATTCCATTCCATTCCCAACCCTTCCCTTCCATTCCATTCTACTCCACTATTTCTATTCTGTTCTGTTCTGTTCTATTCTATTCCATTCCATTCCATTTGTTCTGTTCTGTTCTACTCTGTTCTGTTGTACACTGTTCTGTTCTACTCTACTCTACTCAAAATATCTTAAGAGAGAAGGTTCACCAACCTGGCGTTTGCACTGGACGCAAAAACTCTTGCGGCACTGGGGGCATTTGGCTTCCAGCTGCTCCGATTCGTAGATGAAACCGAAAGAGCACTAAGGAGAAGGAGAACAATTCCATTTTAGCCCAGGCTGCGATCGGATCTTCCTGACTCCAGGAAGTGGATGCAGAGACCGTCCTTAAAGGAAGAAAGAAATTGAACTGGACCGAGTCCGTGCACGTTCTCTCCATCAGCTGGGCATTTGGACGCTCCTAGTCCCCTCGGAAGTATTTATTTATCTATATGCCTTGATTATTTTTATAAATAACTGGCAAACTTATCTAATACTCCTCCCTCCTCTTATTTTCCCCGTAATGACAACCCTGTCAGTTGGGTTGGACTGAGAGTGATTGGCCCAAAATCATCCTTTCGTGCGTAAGTTGGGACTTGAACTCACCGTCTCCTGGTGATCGGCCTAAAGCCACCCAGCCGGCTTTCATGCCTAAGGTGGGACTAGAACTCACCGTCTCCTGGGGATTGGCCTAGAGTCACCCAGCCAGCGTTTATGCCTATGGTGGGACTAGAATTCCCAGGCTCCTGTTGATAGGCCCAAAGACACCCAGTTGGCTTTCATGCCTAAGGTGAGACTAGAACTCACCGTCTCCTAGTGATTGGCCCAAAGACATCCAGCTGACTATCATGCCTAAGGTGGGACTAGAACTCCCAGTCTCCTAGTGATTGGCTCAAAGATATCCAGCCGGCTTTCATGCCTAAGGTGGGACTAGATCTCACCGTCTCCTGGTGATTGGCCTAGAGTCACCCAGCCAGCATTTATGCCTAAAGTGAGACTAGAACTCCAGGGCTCCTGATGATTGGCCCAACGTCACCCAGTCAACTTTCACGCCTCAGGTGGGACTAGAATTCCCAGACTCCTGTTGATTGGCCCAAAGACACCCAGTTGGCTTTCGTGCCTAAGGTGAGACTAGAACTCACCGTCTCCTAGTGATTGGCCCAAAGACATCCAGCTGACTATCATCCCTAAGGTGGGACTAGAATTCCCAGGCTCCTAGTGATTGGCCCAAAGACACCCAGTTGGCTTTCGTGCCTAAGGTGGGACTAGAACTCACAGTCTCCTGTTGATTGGCCCAAAGACACCCAGTCGGCTTTCACGCCTAAGGCAGAACTAGAATTCACACTGTCCTGGCTTCTAGCCTGGTTCCTTAAGCAGTGGACCAATAATAACAATCCACAATTCTGGATCAAAGTTTCTTTAGATACCGAGCAAATTCAAACAGCCAGAGCAGGAAACCAATTTATTTCTACAGTCTCCCTAAGCGAGCAGGTTTGACTCAAATACCCCTTCCCCAGCCAGGAAACCTACTGAGATCCATGAGACCACGACTCCCCTCACCCCAACTGGGCTCATTAGTGGAATGATGGGCGTTGTAGTCCCCCGACCCACTTGGAAAGCTCCCAGTTGGGAAAAGTCAGCCATCTATCCCTGGGCGTCCCCGTTTCTTAGAAAAACGGCCTACTCGTTTTATTGACTTTTTTGAGGGGTTCCCTTCTCATTCACACGCACCCCGACTTTTGGCTCTTCTCCCCTTTCATTTGGAAACAAAAGACACCAGGGGAGGGGGCTACTCACATGCGTGCACCACTGAAACTTGGGGTCCTGCATAAGTACGTGTTCGGTCAGCTTCTTATGGAACAGGTCGTATGTCTCTTGATCCAAACAGCTGCGCAACTGTAGAGAAGCCCAATTAAAAGAATTGAGGATGGCAAATCTAGACAGCATACTAAAAGGCAGAGACGTCACCCTGCCAACAAAAGTGCGTATAGTCAAGGGTGTGGTTTTCCCAGCGGCAATGTATGGCTGTGAAAGTTGGACCATAAGAAAGGCCGAGCGCCGAAGAATGGAGGCCTTTGGACCAGTAGTTCTCAACCTGTGGGTCGGGACCCCATTTGGGGTCGAACGACCATTTCATGGGGGGTCGTCAAACAACGCAGTCCGCCATTTCCCCCCCCCCCTTTTCCTTAGCTGTCCTACTCCCTCTTGTTCTATTGGCTTTTGAAATGCTTACTTCTTTCCATGTGGATGTAGTTTACTGTTGTTATATTAAGACTGTTACCCATGCTACACCATGCTTCAAGACAAAATTTCGTTTTTTTGTAATTAAAAATAAATATTTAACAATATATAATTACATATTATTTTTGTGATTAATCACTATGCTTTAATTATGTTCAATGCAAATACATCCAGATATTTACATTGCGATTCATAACAGTAGCAACATTACAGTTATAAAATAGAAACAAAAATAATTTTATGGTTGGGGGTCACCACAACAAGAGGAACTGTATTATGGGGTTGCGGCATTAGAAAGGTTGAGAACCATTGCTTTGGACTATGGAGAAGACTCCTGCGAGTCCCCTGGACTGCAAGGCGATCCAACTGGTCAGTCCTAGAGGAGATCAACCCCGACTGCTCTTTAGAAGGCCAGATCCTGAAGTTGAAACTCAAATACTTTGGCCACCTAATGAGAAGGAAGGACTCACTGGAGAAGAGCCTAATGCTGGGAAAGATGGAGGGCAAGAGAAGAAGGGGACGACAGAGAATGAGATGGCTGGATGGAGTCACTGAAGCAGCAGGCGTGAGCTTCAATGGACTCCAGAAGATGGTAGAGGACAGGAAGACCTGGAGGAACGCTGTCCATGGGGCCGCAATGGGTCGGACACAGCTTCGCAACTAACAACAACAACCACCTAGGCAGACACCCTCCCCAAAAAAGTTTGCAAAGAACCCACCACACATCCTGGAAAAATCTGACTCGTTCTGAAAGCAGAAAATATCTTTCTTTCGGATTTGATGCACAAAGAAAGAAAACGTTGCAGCTTTGCTATGAGATCCTCAACTTACAACAGTTCTCCTTAATTCATTTAGCGACTGCAGTTACCACGGCGTTGAAAAAAATTATGATGACCCTTTTTCACACCTGTGACCGTTGCAGCATCCCCAGGGTTATCAAAATTCGGACACTTTGGCAATTGGCGTGTATTTATGATGAGCTGCAACGTCCTGTGGTTCACTTTTGCGACCGTCCGACAAGCAAACTCAGTGGGGAAGCCAGATCCACTTAACAACCGTGTCACTAACCGAAGCGCTGCAGTGATCCACTTCATAGCGGTGGCAAGGAAGGTCATAAAAAGGGTGGGGACTCACTTTGCAACAGTTTCGCTTAGCAACAGAAACCTGGGGTGGAATTGTGGCCGTCAAGTCGAGGACTACCCGCGTGGGGAGGACGGCGGTCATTTTGGATGCGCCGGGATGGGAGGAACACATAAGTTCACCTCAGGGATGGCAAAATGGATTGTTTTAATTGTTCTTTTTTTAAAGGGTTTTTTTAAAATGATATTTTGGAATTTTTTAAAAATGTTGTCAACTACCCAGAGGTCAACTAGGTTTAATAAGCTGACGTGGCTTGATAAATTCATTCAGATAAATAACTAATTAAAGACAGGAACTTTTCTAGTTTCATTTCCACTTGGAAACCGGTTTGGGGACTTTTTGCTTGAGATGGGGAAACAAACAAAAAAAAAAATATGGAACTTTGGTTTGGGGTTTTCTTGATTGAGATCGGTTCACCGTGACAGAAATGGCCAGTCTATATTATTATGTAAAAGTAAAAAAAGTTGAGGTGGTTGAGTTGAGGCTTCTTCTACTGCGCCAACTGTCAGAAAGGGTGTAGGGCAGTGGTTCTCAACCTTTCTAATGCCGTGACCCCATAATACAGTTCCCCATGTTGTGGTGACCCCCAACCACTTATACATCACCGGGTGCCAGGGGCGTGGCCAAAGAAAAGGGGGGAAAAAATGGCGGACAGCGATGTTTGGCGACCCCCGTGAAATGGTCGTTCGACCCCAAATGGGGTCCCGACCCACAGGTTGAGAACCACTGGTGTAGGGTCTCCTGCTTGGGCCGGGGGGGGGGAGGGTTGGACTAGATGACCTACAAGGTCCCTTCCAACTCTGTTATTCTAATTCGAATTCTAAAAAGGGCAGGAAGTCCAGGTTTTTCGTTTTCTTTTCTCGTTCGTCCTACACTTTTCCCTCTTCCCCTTTTTTCCTCCCCTATTTTCCCGTTGTTTTCATTTTTTTATATTTTATATTTTAAAATATTATAATAATGATAGTAATAATAGTAATAATAATAATAATAATAAATAAAGTTGGAAGGGCCCTTGGAGTTCATCTAGTCCAACCCGCTGCTCAGGCAGGAAACCCTGTACCATTTCAGACTAATCATCATCATCATCATCATCATCATAAATTGGAAGGGACCTTGGAGGTCATCTAGTCCAACCCCCTGCTCAGGCAGGAAACCTTATACTATTTCAGACAAATGGCTGTCCAGTCTCTTCTTAAAACGTATATATTTATTTGTGTGTGTATAATATAATAATAATAATAATAATAATATGTGTATGTACATAATACTAATGAAGTTGGAAGGGATCTTGGAGGTCATCTAGTCCAACCCCCTGCTCAGGCAGGAAACCCTATCCCATTTGAGACAAATGGCTGTCCAGTCTCTTCCTAACCTAAGACTTATGTATTTGTGTGTGTGTGTGTGTGTGTGTGTGTGTGTGTGTGTGTTTGTGTGTGTATATATGTTTATGTATATAATAGTAGTAGTAGTAGTAGTAGTAATAATAATAATAATAATAATAATAATAATAATAATAAAGTTGGAAGGGACTTTAGAGGTCATGTAGTCCAACCCCCTGCTCAGGCAGGAAACCTTATACTATTTCAGATAAATGGCTGTCCAGTCTCTTCTTAAAACTTATATATTTGTGTGTGTGTGTGTGTGTGTGTGTGTGTGTGTGTGTGTATATGTATATGTATATAATAATAATAATAGTAGTAGTAGTAATAGTAATAACAATAATAATAAAGTTGGAAGGGACCTTGGAGGTCATATAGTCCAACCCCCTGCTCAGGCAGGAAACCTTATACTATTTCAGATAAATGGCTGTAGTGTGTGTTTGTATGTATCTGAGTGAACTAATAAAAATTTGAACACTCAAAAAGAAGACTGGCACCAAAATGAAACACCCTCTCCTCCCCCCGATAGAAGCCGGGACCCCCCCGTCAAATGGGGTAACGGAGCAGGAGAAACATCACCTGAATATCAAGCGTGGAAAAATAATTAAGAAGTTCCGTCTCGTCGCTGATCTCCGGTTCAGAGCAAGCCGGACACACCAAATCGGTAATGTGTTTCTCCTTCACGGCGATGGTGAAATGAAGCTCAAAACACTCTGGACAAATTGTGCACTCGCACGACGTTAGTGACTGCATCTGAAAAACAGAGAAGGAGAGATTGGCGGGAGGGTGGGGAAGCAAAAACTGTGATCTGTTTTCTGTCCGAAAGCATCCAAGGATTCCCGAGAAATTCCCCCTGTTTACTCTTAAATACAAACAGTCCTCGGCTTACAAGCATTCGCTTAGTGACCGTGCAAAGTTAGAACAGCACTGGGGGGGGAAAAAAGTGACTCACAAATGGTTTTTCGCACTTATGACCGTTGTTGCGCACCCATGGTCACGTGATCAACATTCAGATGCAAATGGATGGTGGGGAAATGGAAGGATTTGTATTCCTTTGCAGGCAGCTGGTCATTTGCATCGTTTTAGAGCAGTGGTTCTCAACCTTTTTAATGCCGCGACTCCCAACCGGTCGTAAGTCGAGGACTACTCAACCGGTCGTAAGTCGAGGACTACTCAACTGGTGCAGCACCGTTTGCAGACTGGGGCTTTTGGCGGGCTCAGCAGGGCAGAGACAGCCTGGACAATTCCTATTGGCTTTGGAAAGCGAGTCTATTCAAGAGAGTCTCTTCTATTGGCTTTCAAAAGCCAATAGAATAAAAGGGAGGAGCACAGCTAAGGAAAAGGGGGGGGGAAAAATGGCGGACTGCGTTGTTTGGCAACCCCCGTGAAATGGTCGTTCGACCCCAAATGGGGTCCCGACCCACAGGTTGAGAACCACTGTTTTAGAGTGTAGCTGAGGCCTCTTGGAGGTTTATCTATGTCCTCAAGGTCATCTGTGGAAGGAATATCAAATCTTCCATTCCCCACCATTCAGCCACAGCTGAAGAAGCTTCTGGGATGAGAAGTGAAATGTCTTCAAAGAAAAACAAGGAAATCCAGTTGCCCTTTCAAAAAACCTTTTTGTGACAACTGAGGACACAGACAAACTTCCAAGTGGCCTCAATGGCTCTCTAAAAGAAGCCAAATGACCAGCTGTCAGCAAGAAGTATAGATCCTTCTATTCCCCACCATCCAGTCAGAGCTGAAGAACCTTCTGGAAACCTCTTCAAAGAAAAACAAGAAAGTCCAGTTGCCTCTTGGAAAAAAAAAAAAATAACACCTTTGGGACAAACGTGACCCTGGACGACTGAGAAACCCCCACCGACAATTCAGGCAAAAAGGAGGAACAATTGTCAGCGCTCAAACCAACAACGAAAAAGTGGACTTAGTTATGGATCGGAGACAATCCAATCGGCAAAAACCGCCCGTCGGTACCTTGTTCCTCGGCAAGGCCAGGCTGCAGACGGCGCACTCCCAGCTCAGCCAGTGTCTGATGAAGTCGCGGTTCGGGGAGGCCTTGACGGCTTCCACGATGTCGGCCAACTCCCAGCCTTCGTTTGGCTGTTCGAGCATCAGCGAGACCATCAACTCGGCCCGGCCCCAGCTGGGCAGAGACAGCGAGGCCAGGAGACGCCGCAGCAGCGCCTGGCGAGGAACGAGACGAGAAAGGACAAGTGGTACCTCCCGCGGCCCAGCCAGCGACGATAAGAGACTCCTGATCTTTCCTCTTCCTCTCTCGCTCACCTGTCGGTCAGCACACTTGAAGTCCACGGGAGGGTCTTCGCTCTCCCACAGCCGCTGGTGGAACGGCGCTAAGCGGGCCTGCTGCAGCTGGACCAGCGTGCGCCATAAGTCCCCGTTGTTCTCGTACAGGGCTTGCAAGACGGAGCCCCGCTCTTCGAAGCCCAGAGATTTCAACTCCTGCACCTGTTGAGCGAAGTTCAAGATCCAAAAAAAAAAAAAAAAAAAACCAGGTCCTTATTAGCATATCTGGTGGACATGCCCTAAAGCTAAATGTTGTTGGTCAAAAATACACCTATAGTTGGAGAAAATGGCTCAAAAACACGTAGATTTTAAGCCAGAATTGTTTCTGTTAGGACTAATAGGAGGAAGCTATGAGAACGATTGGATATACTTAATTTTAGATGTACTAACCGCAGCAAGAATTGTATTTGCCCAATATTGGGAAAAATGAAAACTTACCGACGGAAGAAGAACTAATTAAGAAAATTTTAGATGGTGCAGAAATGGGACAGATTGACATTAAAGACAAAAGAGAAAGAAGACTCCGTGTACTTTAGAACATGGGACAATTTTTATCAATGGCTAGAAAAATGAGTTAGAGAGAAAGGGTATTTATATTTATATTGCTTCTCTCTTTGATCAGTTTCCAACCATTGTTTCTCGTCCTGCCCTCTGGTGCTTTGGAGAATAGCTTGACTCCCTCTTCTTTGGGGCAGCCCCTCAGATGCTGGAAGATTGCTGTCATGTCACCCCTTGTCCTTCTCTTTTTAGATTAGACATACCCAGTGCAGAACAACAGAATTGGAAGGGACCTTGGAGGTCATCTAGTCCAACCCCCTGCTCAAGAAGGAGACCCGCTACCATTTCCAACAAATAGCTGTCCAATCTCTTCCTAAAAACCTCCAGTGATGGAGTACTCACAACTTCTGGTGGCAAGCAGTTCCACTGGTTAATTGTCCTCACTGTCAGGAAGTTTCTCCTTAATTCTAGGTTGCTTCTCTCTTTGGTCAGTTCCCGACCATGGTTTCTTGTCCTGCCCTCTGGTGCTTGGGTGAATAACGTGACCCCCTCTTCTTTGTGGAAGCCCCTCAAACACTGGAACTCTGCTATCATGTCTTTCTTCTTTTCTTTAGACTAGCCCAGTGGTTCTCAACCTGTGGGTCGGGACCCCATTTGGGGTCAAACGACCATTTCACGGGGGTCGCCAGACAACGCAGTCCGCCATTTTCTTTCCCCCTTTTCCTTAGCTGTGCTACTCCCTTTTATTCTATTGGCTTTTGAGAGCCAATAGAAGAGACTCTCTTGAATAGAGTCTAATTCTATTGGCTTTCCAAAGCCAATAGGAATTGTCCAGGCTGTCTCTGCCCTGCTGAGCCCGCCAAAAGTCCCATTCTGCAAATGGTGCTGCACCAGTTGAGTAGTCCTTGACTTACGACCGGTTGAGTAGTCCTCAACTTACGACCGGTTGGGGGGTCGCGGCATTAAAAAGGTTGAGAACCACTGGACTAGCCAAACGCAAGTCCCGCAGCCGTTCTTCGTATGTTTTAGTCTCCAGGCCTTGGATCCTGTTAGTTGCTCTTCTCTGAACTTTTTTTCTAAGTCTCAACATCTTTTTTGTGACACAGGGACCAAAATTGGCTAATATCTGGTTCCCTTTTCCCACGCCTCTCGTCCAGGCTCACCTTACTCCGACGGGCACTGAGGCATCGGCTGACGGCGTCGTCTACGTCCCCCCGGCTGGCCACCCAGGCGGCTTGGACTTCTTGAAGCGTGATGGCCCCCAGCCCACCGCCGGGCTCCTCCGCGCCCCGCTGAGTGGCCATCTCCGCCACACCTTCCAGGACGCAGGGCAGTTCCGATTTCAGCCAGGCCAGGGGCAGTTCAGCTCCCGAGTAGCACAAGGCGGCCGCCACCATTTCGGGGGCCACGCCCACGCCCTCCGCCTCCTGCGGGGCCAAGGGACAAAGCCAGGTCAACGGGGGCTGAGACAGGACGCCGAAGCTGGTTGGCAACTATCTCGGCCGGGAAGAAGAATAAGTTGGAGGCAGTCCTCGGCTTAACGACCGTTTAATAACCCCTTGAGGAGACGGCCACAGCTAATGAAATGGATTTGGAGATCCTTTTTTTTTTTTGCTGGGGGGATGGGTGGATCCACCTGGCATCGGTTGGGGGATTCTGGGCCAGTTGTTCTTTCTCACGTCACAGGGTTGTTGTGGGGAAAATAGGAGGAGAAAAGAGTATTGTGTATGTTCACTAACTGGAGTTGTTCGTTTTTTTAAAAAAGGATAAATATAGACACCCCCACATACAGGCAGACATACCGAGGTGTCTATCTACCAGTATAATATGTATATGTATAATTGTATCTATACATATACAAACACATACATACTATTTATGTGTGTGTGTGTGTGTGTGTGTGTGTTGGTGTGTGTATCAAATCTCTTATCTATCTATCTATCTATCTATCTATCTATCTATCTATTTATTATCTACAGTATATCTATCTATCAAACTCTATCTATCAAACTATCTATCTATCTAACTCTATTTATCTAACTATCTATCTATCAAACTATCTAATTCTATCTATCTATCTATTTATCTATCTATCTATCAAACTATCTATCTAATTCTATCTATCTATCAAACTCTATCTATCTATCAAACTCTATCTATCTATCAAACTCCATCTATCTCTATCTATCTATCTATCTATCTATCTATCTATCTATCTATCTATCTATCTATCTATCTATCTATCTATCAAACTATATCTATCTAACTCTATCTAACTGTATCTATCTATCAAACTCTATCTATCTATCTATCAAACTCTATCTATCTATCAAACTCTATCTATCTATCTATCTATCTATCTTTATCTATCTATCTATCTATCTATCTATCTATCTATCTATCAAACTCTATCAAACTATCAAACTCTATCTATCTATCTATCTATCTATCTATCTATCTATCTATCTATCCATCCATCCATCCATCCATCCATCCATCCACATCTATCTATATCTATCTATCTGTCTGTCTGTCTGTCCATCCATCTCTATCTAATCACCTGCCTCAACTACTACATAAGTAATCAAAGGCAGCAAACATTCCTAATAGCACTCCCATGTGTGTTTGTGTATACACTGACATGTACACAGACACAGTTGCATAAAAACAAGAGAAAAAAAAAAGAGTTTGGTCAGGCTTGCTCTCCAAAGGCCCCTGGACCCCCAAAAATGGCACCCCCGCTAGATGAACTACAGTTCCCATAATTCCCCAGCAGGCGTTCGATTGGAAGGAGACGCCTTTTAAGGGTTGAAAAGTGATTGTGGGGGGACTCGCTTGGCGGGTGGGTGGGGAGGGCTCACCCTGATCATGGCCACCATCTTCTGCCCGTCGTCCCGCAGCTTCGCCTGCCTCTGTTGCTCCGCCTCCTCGGGCGAGGCGGGCGGGGCTTTCCACAGGCCCTGGGGCTCCCCGGGGGCTTCCACCACCTGTCGCTTCAACCGGCCCACCTCGTCCTTCTCGGCACGGGACGGGGGCTGGGGATCACCGTGCAGGCTGGTGCAATTGCACATCTCGCAGATCCGTCGGTGGGCGCTGTTGCGGAAAGTGCAGTGTTCGCACTGCCAGCTGGGGGCCTGTGGGAAGAGAGGGGTCCGGGTTCTAGATCAGCGGCAGGGTGCAAGATCGGGCTCTGCTTAAGATCGGAGCTCGAGATTGAGCACGGGAAGATCAGACACAGATCCGGGCTTTCTGAGGTCTGATTAAAGCCGGCTGGGTAACTTTGGGCCGATCACCAGGTGCCGGTGAGTTCTAGTCCGACCTTAGGCATCAAAGCCGGGAGGGTGAGTTTGGGCCAATCACCAGGAGACAGTGAGTTCTAGTTAGGCCTTAGGAATGAAGGTTGGCTGGGTGACTTTGGGCCAATCACCAGGAGATGGTGAGTTCTAGTCCCGCCTTAAATAAGAAAGCTGGCTGGGTGACTTTGGCCCAACCACCAGGCGACGGTGAGTTCTAGTCCCGCCTTAAATAAGAAAGCTGGCTGGGTGACTTTGGACCAACCACCAGGCGACGGTGAATTGTAGTCCTGCCTTAAATACGAAAGCTGGCTGGATGACTTCGGGCCAACCACCAGGTGGTGAATTCTAGTCGTGCCTTAGATATGAAAGCTGGCTGGGTGACTTTGGGCCAACCACCAGGCGACGGCGAATTCTAGTCCCGCCTTCAATACGAAAGCAAGGGGGAGGATGACTTTGGTCCGGTCCCTCCCTCCCTCCCAGTCCAGCCCACCTCGCAAGATTGGAGAAAATCGGCAGCGGAATGGATATTGAACACGTCCACCCCCTTGAGTCGTTTGTCAGGACACAAATCAAGAAATAAAGTCAGCCATTTGCCGTACTGGCTACCCAGCTCCCGATATCCCTGGCTGGCGTTTTCCAAGGGTTAAAAAAAAACAAAAGTTTTAAAAGCAAAACTTTGAAAACTTAGGGAAGCCCCCCCACCCCCGGCACTCACATCTTCCTGCTGGGGTCCGCTCTCCTCCCCCCAGGCTATCAGGGGCTTGGCGTCACCGGTGCTCGGTTTGCCGGCCAGGCGCGGCCTCTCGCAAACGGCGCAGAGGACGGTGGCCGACTCGTTCTCAAAGGTGCAGGTCTGGCAAGACCAGCGCCCTCTGGCCAGCTGGCCTTGGTGGGTCAGCTCGTCCTCCAGGCCGAGGGTCTGGGGGGTCTTGCACCCCCGAGGCCGGTCGCAATTGATGCAAAGGACGGAGGAGGCATCGTTGTTCTTCTGACAAGCCGCGCAGCGCCAGGGCGGGCGCGGACTGGGCAGGCTGTGGGAGGCGGAGAGTGGGGGGCGGCTGTGGGGCCGTAGAGAAGCCGTCTCCGAGGGGATGCTGGAGAGGCTGCAAAAAGAGGGGAGAATTTCCATTTAAATGGAGATTTAAACGAATCACAATGGAGTGATTCATCGATAAACTAATCAACCTAACTGAATAAAGCATTTGGTGCATCCTTGGCTTACAGCAGGGGTCTTCAAACTTGGCCCCCTTTATGACTGGTGGACTCCAACTCCCAGAATTCCTCAGCCAGGAAGATGGATGAGAACAGGGGTGGGGAACTATGGCCCCTCTTATGACTGCTGGACTTCAACTCCCAGAATTCCTCAGCCAGCGTGCCTGGCTGAGGAATTCTGGGAGTTGAAGTCCTTAGATCAGGCGTCTTCAAACTTGGCCCTTTTATGACTGGTGGACTTCAACTCCCAGAATTCCTCAGCCAGCAAGGTGGATTAGAACAGGAGTGGGGAATTCTGGGAGTTGAAGTCCACTAGTCATAAAAGGGCCAAGTTTGAAGAATTCTATTCTATTCCACTCCATTCTATTCTGTATTTTATTATTCTATTCTATTCTATTCTATTCTATTTTATTCTATTCTATTCTATTCCATTCCATTCTGTATTTTATTATTATTCTATTCTATTCTATTCCTTATTTTATTATTCTATTCTATTCCATTCCATTCCATTTTGTATTTTATTATTATTCTATTCTAATTCTATTCTGTATTTTATTATTCTATTCTATTCCATTCCATTCCATATTTTCTATTCTATTCTATATTCCATTCTATTTCTTATTTTACTCTATTTTATATTCCATTTCTTATTCTATTCTGTTCTATTCTACATTCTATTATTATTCTATTCTATATTCTAATCTATTCTATTCTCATTCCATATTTCCTATTTTCCATTCCATTCCTTATTCCATTCCATTATTATTTGTACCCCGAGCCTACCTGGGGTTAGGTGGTGGTGGGGGACTCTGCCATGCTCTGCCAGGGTTTTTCATAGGCACCCGATGGTGATGCGTCCGGGAAGGATGCTTGTGAAACAGCCAATCGCAGTTAGGACACAAACTCTGATTGCAAGCCTCACAGTGCTGCGACGGAGCTTCTAAACCACAAAGCAGGCAGGTGTCTGGAGGCAGGTTCCCTGCAGGCCAGAAAAAGGGGAGGGGGGACGGGGAAAAAACCCACAACAGTCTCAAGTGTTGTTCTGCTTATGTCTGAAAAAAAACAACATTCAGTTCCATCTCTACATAGGATGCAGCTTTTATTCCACGAGTCTTCAAACTTGGTCCTTTTATGACTTGTGGACTTCAACTCCCAGAATTCCTGGCTGAGGAATTCTGGGAGTTGACGCCCGCAAGTCATCAAAGGGCCCAGTTTGAAGACCTCTGCTTGTGGACTTCAACTCCCAGAATTCCTCAGCCAGGCATGCTGGCTGAGGAATTCTGGGAGTTGAAGTCCGCAAGTCATCAAAGGGTCATAGTTCCCTCATGCTGGCTGAGGAATTCTGGGAGTTGAAGTCTACAAGTCATAAAAGGGCCCAGTTTGAAGACCCCTATTTTATTCCAAAGCTGGGCAGGAATTAATACAGGATTTACAAGTAGTCCACAACTGAGCCAAAAAATTTCGGTTGCTAAGTGAGACACTTATGAGGAGAATTTTGCCCCATTTTACAAACCTTTCCTGCCAGTTTTGTTCAGCGAATCGCCGCATTCGTTAAGTTAGTCACACGGTCGTTAAGCAAATCCGGCTTACCACCCCGTTGACTCTGCTCGTCAGAAAGTTGCAAAAGGGAATCACGTGACCCCGGGACGCTGCGACCGTCATAAATATGAATCAGTTGCCAAGCGTCAGAATTTCAATCACGTGACCACGGGGAGGCCACAACCGGTCATAAGTGTGGAAAACATTTTTTTAAAGTGGCGTCGTAACTTGGAACGGTCATTAAGTGACTAGGAAGCCTTCTAGAGCTGTGTTCCTTAACTCGCAACTGCTGGAAGATATATGGACTTCAATTCCCAGAATTCCCCAGCCAGGCTCATATTTATGACAAATTGCAGTGTCCGGGGGGGGCTGGTCACGTGATCCCCTTTTGCGACCTCTTCTGACAAGCAAAAATCAGCCAGGAAGCCAGGTTCACTTAACGACCGTGTGACTGAAGCGATTCACTTAACAACCGCAGCAGGAAAGGTCGCAAAATGGGGCAAACCCCCCTTAACCGCTGCCTCGCTTAGCAACAGAAATTTTGGGTTCCCCCGTGGTCGTAAATCGAGGCTGGCTGGGGGATTCTGGGAGTTGAAGTCCACAGCGGCCGAGGTTGGAGAAACGCAGCTCCGGATGTCCTGCCATCGGTTCAGAAGACCCTTGAAACGTCTGCCCCTGCCTCTCGTCTAAACGGCATCTCGGTTTGATGATGATCCTGGCTTGCAGGACAAAATAAGCCCCGCGAACGTGGCTGTAGCCCTAACCGCCAATCTCTTTTCTCCCGTTACCTGCGTGAGAAATGGCCAAAAGCGGATTCAGAGGTCCAGCATCGGCGGGCTTGTGGACCTGGAGAAAGACAGAAGAATGAGGACCACCGAAGGAGGAGGACCTAAAGGGGCTTTTCTTTGGCGGGCAGCTGGACTTCCTTCTTTGTCTTTGAAGACGTTTCGCTTCTCGTCCCAGAAGCTTCCTCAGGGTCTGACTGGAGGGAGGGGGGAAAAGGGAAAGATTTATACTCCTTGCAGACAGCTGGTCATTTGCCTTCTTTTACAGCAGGGGTGCCAAACTCAATTTCATTGAGGGCCGCATCAGCATTGTGGTTGCCCTGGGGTGTGGGTGTGGCCTACTGGGTGGGTGTGGCTGGAATGGGCGTGGTCTATGGGGTGGGCGTGGCCAGCTCGACAATCACTTGCTTCAGGGGTAGCTGGGCAGGACTGGGGCAAATCTGAGGGTCTGTGGCGGAGGATGGGAGAGCGCTGGGTTCGTTCCTCCCACCCTCCCTCTGTTCGTTCCTCCCTCCCTCCCTCCCACCTTCCATTCCTTCCTTCCTGTTCCTTCCTTTCTTCCCTCCCTCCATTCCTTCCTCCCTTCCTTCTTGTTCCTTCTTTCCTTTCTTCTCTCCCTCCCACCCTCCATTCCTTCCTCCCTCCGTTCCTTCCTTCCTTCCCTCCCTCCATTCCTTCCTCCCTGTTCCTTCCTCCTTCCTTCCTCTGTTCCTTCCTTTCTTCCCTCCCTCCCACCCTCCATTCCTTCCTCCCTGTTCCTTCCTCCCTCCCTCCCTCCTTCCCACCCTCTATTTATTTTTATTTTTTTTATTAAAATTTATAGATCGCCCCACTCCCGCAGGACTCCGGGCGGCTAACAATAAAAACACTTCCTCCCTCTGTTCTTTCCTTCCTGTTTTCTTTCTTCTCTCCTTCCCACTCTCCATTCCTTCCTCCCTCTGTTCCTTCCTTCCTTCCTTCCTTCCTTCCTTCCTCCCTGTTCCTTTTCTTCCCTCCCTCCTTCCCACCCCCCATTCCTTCTTCCCTGTTCCTCCCTCCCTCCCTCCTTCCTACCCTCCCTTCCTTCCTTTCTTCCCTCCCTCCCTCCCACCCTCCATTCCTTCCTTCCTGTCCCTTCTTTCCTCCCTCCCTTTTCCCCTCCTTCCCACCCTCCCTTTGTGGCTTCCAGGCTGGAGGTGCTGGTGAGGGGAGGGGGGTTGGCGCTGATCAACAACCTGGTTGCGTCCATCAACGCCAGAAGGCGCTCAGCCTAAGATCCACTGGAACCCGCCAGGAGCTCCAGAGAATAAACTTCCGGCCTCGCTCTCCCTCCTTTTGGCTCGTCCCTCCGGAAAAGAGAAAATAAAATCTCCTTTCCCCCAGTCAATCTGCTCTTCCCCTTTACAAATCCTTCCCCAAGCGCCCCCTAGCCAGCAAACGTGGAGCTCCCGGCCTCTCTGCCGAAAAAGCCTCCCCCCCCCAATTCCACTCTCCGCTACACGTCCTTCCTTCTCATCCCTTTCCTTCCTCAGCGCTCAGGAAGGGCTGATGGGGAGGGGGGAGACTGCCAGTGCTGCCATGTTGCCACCGGTCTCGCTATCCCGCATGTGGGGGGGGGTCTGTGCCGGTGAAACTATCCCACATGCAGGGGGGGGTCTGTGCGGTGAAACTATCCCGCACACGGGGGGGGGAGTCTGTGCCGGTGAAACTATCCCACACGCGGGGGGGGGGGAGTCTGTGCCGGTAAACTATCCCGCATGCGGGGGGGGGGGAGTCTGTGCCGGTGAAACTATCCCACACGCAGGGGGGGGGAGTCTGTGCCGGTGAAACTATCCCGCATGCGGGGGGGGGGGGGAGTCTATGCCGGTGAAACTATCCCGCATGCGGGGGGGGGGGGAGTCTGTGCCGATGAAAGGAAAGCCTGGTAGCTTCCAGGCTGGAGGTGCTGGTGTGTGTGTGTGGGGGGGGGGGTGGCGCTGATCTACAACCTCATTGCATCCATCTTTGAAACCATAAGGCGCTCAGCCTAAGATCCACTGGAATCAGTCAGGAGCTGCCCCGCTGTGTTCTGGCTTCGATGGGACGCAACCAAGTTGTAGATCAGCGCCCGGTCGGCCTGGGCCGGGCCGAGGTGTGGCGGGCCGGTCCTTCGCTCTGATGAGAGCTGCACACCCCCTCCCCACCCCAACGAAGGAATAATCTGGAAAAGCAGATTCAAACTCGCCAATCAGAAATGACAAATTTGGAAACCACAAAAAGGTATTAAATAAACCCTGTTTAAAGATCATTCTGTCTAGCTAGCTGGGGACTCGAGCGGAATTGTCACTCAACTTTGATCCTCGCGATTAAACCTCTCTTTCCGGTAGCTGGCTTCATGATCTATTTCTTCCACACTGCGCCGTCAAGGAGAATCCCGGCTGGAAGAACCGAACGGGGGGAGTCCCTCCCATCAGCTCTTTTCCAGAGTAGGTCCCCGGGCCGGATGGAAGCACATTTTGGGCCGCATGTGGCCCGCGGGCCTTGTGGTTGACACAGGCCTGTTTTAGAGAGTCGTTGAGGCCACTTGGAGGTTTATCTGTGTCCTAAGTTGTCCCAACAGTGGCTTTTTGAAGGGGCAACTGGACTTTGTTTGTCTTTGAAGACGTTTCGCTTCTCATCCCAGACGCTTCTTCGGGTTCTGGCTGGATGGAGGGGAATGGAAGGATTTATCCTCCTCACAGATTTGTTCTCCTCGCAGCTGGTCATTTGCATTCTTTTAGAGAGGCGTTGAGGCCACCTGGAGGTTTACCTCAGGGTCAACAGGGAAAAGACCCAGGACAGAAAACATCCTGCAGCCAAGATGGCTCCACCCCCATTTGCACCACTCAGGTGACCCCGAGGATACGGGTGGCCTCAATGGCTCTATAAAAGGCAAATGACCAGCTCTCTGCGAGGAGTATAAATCCTTCCATTTCCCCACCATCCAGTCAGAGCCGAAGAAGCTTCTGGGATGAGAAGCGAAACGTTTTCAAAGAACAACAAGGAAGTCCAGTTGCCTCAGGACTCAGATAAACCTCCAAGTGGCCTCAATGACTCCCTAAAAGAAGGCAAATGACCAGCTGTCTGTGAGGGGTATAAATCCTTCCATTTCCCCACCATTTAGTCAGAGCCGAAGAAGTTTCTGGGATGAGAAGCGAAATGTTTTCAAAGAACAACAAGGAAGTCCAGTTGCCTCAGGACTGAGATAAACCTCCAAGTGGCCTCAACGACTCCCTAAAAGAAGGCAAATGACCAGCTGTCTGTGAGGAGTATAAATCCTTCCATTTCCCCACCATTTAGTCAGAGCCGAAGAAGCTTCTGGGATGAGAAGCGAAATGTTTTCAAAGAACAACAAGGAAGTCCAGTTGCCTCAGGACTCAGATAAACCTCCAAGTGGCCTCAACGACTCCCTAAAAGAAGGCAAATGACCAGCTGTCTGCGAGGAGTATAAATCCTTCCATTTCCCCACCATCCAGTCAGAGCCGAAGAAGCTTCTGGGATGGGAAGTGAAATGTTTTCAAAGAAAAACAAGGAATCTCCCGAGACAGAAGGGAGGAGGAGAAACTTCACACAAGGTTTCATCCCTCCAAGGTCAAAGAAGCCCCTCGAAGAAAATTTGGAAGCCATCTTGAAGGGGGAAAGATCGACCCACAGACCAGATAATCCTGCTCACTCCGGAGTCCTCGATTTATGGACCACAGTTGAGCCCTTTTTGTCACTAAGTGAAACGCTCGTTCTGTGAATTTTGCCCCATTTTGCAAACCCTTCTCGCTAAATGAATCGCCACAGTCGTAAGTCAACAACGCCATTGTTAAATGAATCTGGCTCCTTCGTTTTGCTAGAAAGATCGCAAAATGGGGTCACGTGACTCCGAGACACTACAACCATAAATACGAACAGGATTGCCAAGTGTACGAATGTGGATCACGTGACCCAGGGGAATGCTGCAACGCCGTAAGTCCGAGGACCGGCTATAAGTCACTTTTTTCCCAGTGTCATCGTTAACTTGAACAGTCACTAACTGAACTGTTGCTAAGTTGAGGACCACCTGTAAGGGGAACTCTCTCCATCATCCGCAGCCAGCACGTTTGGTGGGGGATGATGGATCCCAGATGGAGAAGCTGAAGGAACACAGCTGATTTCTCCAAGGCTAGACCACTCAAAACAAAATGGGATTTAGACACTCACAACCACAATTGCAACTCACAACCCCTGCTGGTTGTTAAATAAATTGAGCCTGATTTTATGATCTTTTCTCCCCACGGTCGTTAAGTGAGTTGCCAGTCATTAAGCGAATCACATGATTGTTAAGCAAATCCACCACTGACTTTGCTTGTTGGAAGCTGGCTAGGAAGGTGGGAAATGACGATCACGTGACCCTGGGAGGCGGCCACTGTCCTAAATCCACGCCTAGCTTTGATCACAGGAACGCTGTGACGGTCGTAAGTGCGAAGCCTGGTCAACAGTCACATTTTTCAGTCCTGTGGTAACTTCGGATGGTTCCTAAATGAATGGTTGTTAAGTCGAGGACTAACTATGCCAATGTTTCTCAACCTTCAAGTCCCACAATTCCCCAGTCACTAAATAGCCATCTTTAAGATGTGTGGACTTCAACTCCCAGAATTCCACAGCCAGCCAAGCTGAAGTCCCCACGTCTTAAAGTTGGCCCTTTGGTGCCTGAGGCGTTCTGGGAGTTGAAGTCCCCACATCTTAAAGTTGGTCCTTTGGTGGCTGGGGCATTCTGGGAGTTGATGTCCCCACATCTTAAAGATCGCCATTTGCTGGCTGGGGCATTCTGGGAGTTGAAGTCCCCACATCTTAAAGTTGGCCATTTGGTGGCTGAGGAATTCTGTGAGTTGAAGTCCACATATTTTCAGGGTTGAGAAACGCTACTATAACAAAACCACACCCAGCAAGGGCCCCCATCCCACCTACTCCAAAGCCTGCACGATACACATCACCCCATTCTTTACCCCCCCCCCCAGCCTGCACCATAGCGCTACTCACCTGTAAGGCCTGGCTCCCTTGCATTAATTCTTGCAACATCCGAGGATTTGGATGCGTTTCCTATACCAGGAAAAAGAATCACAAGCCTCCTTCAACTCTTAGCAGGGACCCCCAAGAGGTTACATAGCCCCCCCGACCCAGCTTGGTCTCAGCCCCCCCCCCCAGCCCTCTATACCGAGAGGAGAAGATTCAGCTCCGCACGGAGTAGCATGACGTCCACTGTGACGGACGCCACGTGAGGAATGTCTGGTTCAGCTTGATGATCCGGGAAGTAAAGCCCATCAGCCTTTTGTTCCAAATAGCCGTACAGCCGGAGGACGTCTCGTCCACCCTGCCGGAACAGAAGGCGTTATTTTGGCGGGCAAAGGGGTGACATGTACAAAAAAGAAAGAAAGAGAAAGAGAGAGAGCGAGAGAGGAGAGAAAGAAAAAAGAGAGAGAGAAAGTAGGGGAGAAACAAAAAAGAAAGAGAAAGGGGGGGAGAGAGAAAGTATGAGAGAAAGAGAGAGAGAAAGAAAAAAGGAGAGAAAGGGGGAGAGAGAGAGAGAGAGGAGAGAAAGAAAAAAGAAAGAAAAAAGAGAGAAAGGGAGAGAGAGAAAGAGAGAGAGAGGAGAGAAAGAAAAAAGAAAGAGAGAGAGAAAGTAAGAGAGAAACAAAAAAGAAAGAAAGGGGGGAGAGAGAAAGTATGAGAGAAAGAGAGAGAAAGAAAAAGGAGAGAAAGGGAGAGAGAGAAAGAGAGAGAGGAGAGAAAGAAAAAAGAGAGAAAGGTAGAGAGAGAGAAAGGGAGAGAGAAAGAGAGAAAAGGAGAAAGAAAGTAAGAGAGAGAGAAAGAGAGAAAGGGAGAGAGAGAGAAAGAGAGAGAAGGGAGAGCGAGAAAGGGAGAGAGATAGAAAGGGAGAGTAAAGAGAAAGAAAGGAGAAAAAGAAAGAGAAAGGGAGAGAGAAAGAGAAGAAAGGGAGAGAGATAGAAAGGGAGAGTAAAGAGAAAGGAGAAAAAGAAAGATAGAAAGAGAGAGAGAGAGAGAGAAAGAGAGAGAGAGAAGAAAGAGAGAAAGAGAGAGGGAGGTAGACTCTTGCAAAATTCGATACCAACTCTTATTTAAAACGTTTGGAAATTGCTGGAAAAGAAAAGATAATTTCAGCAGATCCAGAAGGCAAGCAAAAAAGAGCGACACACCTACATATACAAACACATATACAAACAGACACACGGAGAGACAGGTGGCCTTTTGCAAAGGGTTACACGATGCCGATCCTTATTTAAATTGTTTGGAAATTGCTGGAAAAGAAAGGATAATCTCAGCAGATTCATTCATTCGTTTCCGAAGAAGCGAGGGAAAAAAAGCTGTCTTTAAAAAAATAAACCTTTGATGACTTGTGGACTTCAACTCCCAGAATTCCTCAGCCAGCGTGCCTGGGCTGAGGAATTCTGGGAGTTGAAGTCCACAAGTCATCAAAGGGCCAAGTTTGAAGACCCCTGTTCTAAAGCCAATTATTTCTCAACCTGGGCGATGTTAAGAGGGATGGACTTCAACTCCCAGAATTCCCCAGCCAGCATGGCTGGCTGGGGAATTCTGGGAGTTGAAGTCCACCCCTCTTAAAGTGGCCCAGGTTGAGACACACAATTTATCTGCAATAAACTGAGAAGTCCAGTAAAGCTTAACACACCGCTTCTGCTTATAAAATCTGGGACATTTCTTTGCTCAACATAGACAGCCCCATGGGCTTGGTGGATTCCTCAGGATTCCCAGAACGAGATTCTTTCCCTCAAGAAAGGATCCCAATTACGAAGGGCCTGCCCTGAGGCAGGAAATAGTATCCTCAACATTGTCAGTCCCTTCCCTGCAAATGCATCAGAGAGGAAAAAAGAACATCGGAATTGAAAAGTTTCCAGTTTCATTTTGGCAGCCACTGAGAAAAATATCCGTCCATCTTATTATTATTTTTTAAAGCCTCGGGAATCTTCTCCGGAAATAAAACTCAATTTAAATCCAGCGGGATCCCCATCAAGATAAGGGGATCCAGCTTGGAGATGGGGGGGGGGGCTTACCTGGATAGTGTCCACCGTATCCCGGAAGACGGGATTATTAAATTTGACCATGCGCCAGAAATAAGGTTTGCGAGGATGCAGAAGGTTGCGCCCGTATTTCTCCAGGATCTGGAAGGCGGTGGAGACCAAGCGGAGATCCACCTGGAACTGAAAGGGGATTGGCGGTTTTACGCCTTTTTTTTTAAATTTAAATACAGAAGCTGGTGCCAGGTTCGAATGCAGCCGGCTTACGAGGCGTCCCAGAAGTACGGCCCTCGACTTGCTCCTACTTGTTTAGCGACCGCTGGAACTTATAAGGGCACGGATGAAAGTGAGCTACGACCGGTCCTCGCATTTACGACGGTCGTAGCCGTCGCCCATTCCGTTGCTCGGCAACTGACGTGTTATTGAAAATGGTTACAGTGTCCCGGAGTTGCGTGATCACCGTTTGCGACCTCCCTACCTAGCTGTTTTTTTTCCGACTAGCCAAGCCAGATTCGCTTAAGAACCGTGCGATCCACTTAGCGACGGCAGTGATCCACTTCAAAAAAACGGCAAAAAAAAAAAAAAAGACGCAAAGTTGAGCGTGAGTCACAACAACCGCCTGGCCAAGCCAGGGAAATTCCGGTCGCATCTGTGCTCGTGATTCCAGGACTATCTGCAATGAGCCCTCTCAAACGGTTTTCTCTTGAGGACTAGAAGCCTTGCTTTTTTGGAAATGGAAGCTGGAGGACCGTGTCGCTAAATCGGGGTGACGCCCATCGCCACGGAAAGAGAAATGATTCGAGCAGGATCCCATCCTTCCATCCTTGAACCCCAGATCCTACCTGGCCCCTTACGCCCAGCTCCCTTAAACTCCATTCCGCTTCCAAGCTGGGTTTGATTGCATTATTTATTTATTTATTTCTATTTATTTGTTAATTTATAGGCCGCCAATCTCACTGTCAAGAGACGGGGGGGGGTGCTGGGGGAGGGCTGAAAACAATATAAAAAACATAATATAAAACAATAAATACATTTAAAAAAAGATTCGTTCACTTCTGCTTAATTGTCAGCCTTTACATCAGGGGTCTTCAAACTTGGCCCTTTGATGGCTGGTGGACTTCAACTCCCAGAATTCCTCAGCCAGGCATGCTGGCTGAGGAATTCTGGGAGTTGGAGTCCACCAGTCACCAAAGGGCCAAGTTTGAAGACCCCTGCTTGTGGACTTCAATTCCCAGAATTCCTCAGCCAGGCACACTGGCTGAGGAATTCTGGGAGTTGAAGTCCACCAGTCACCAAAGGGCCAAGTTTGAAGACCCCTGCTTGTGGACTTCAATTCCCAGAATTCCTCAGCCAGGCACGCTGTCTGAGGAATTCTGGGAGTTGGAGTCCACCAGTCATCAAAGGGCCAAGTCTGAAGACCCCTGCTTGTGGACTTCAACTCCCAATGGGAAAAAAGAGCATCGTAGCAGACATTCAACAGGTAAAGCATCCAAACCAGGATCTACCCTCCCTCTTACTCCACTCCTCACCTGCCCCTTGGCACTGAGAGTGGTTTCCTCTCCCCCAATGGGGGAAAAAAGAGCATTACAGGCAGACATTCAACAGGTAAATAATCCAACGCAGGATCTATCTTCTTTCTCATCCCATTCCTCACCTGCTCCTTGGCATTCAGGGTGGCTTCCTCTCCCCCCCCCCATGGGAAAAAAGAGCATTGCAGGCAGACATTCAACAGGTAAAACATCCAAAGCAGGATCTACCCTCCCTCTCACCCCACTCCTCACCTGCTCCTTGACATTGGCTCGCAAAATGCCCCTGGCATCAATCTCCAGATACTTCTGGGCGGGGGGCAAGGGCGCTTCCACCAGGCGCTGCAAAAATTCGGCATTCTGTTCGGAAGGATTCCGGATCAAGGTGGTGACCAGCTCCTGTCGGAGGGCCGCAAACTTGCGCGTGGCCTCCCCCATTTCTGAGCCCCCTTGCGAAAAATAAAAATAAAGTGAATCACCAAGATAAAATGGGAGATGCCAGTTTGGCGAAGAAAAAGCAAAATTTCTTTGGAAGAAGCAAAATCGTTACGACAGCCCTTGCAGGTAGGCCAAAGGCGAAGCTTCAGGCCAGGGGTTTTCAAATTGGGCCCTTTGATGACTTGTGGACTTCGACTCCCAGAATTCCTCAGCTAAGCACGCTGGCTGAGGAATTCTGGGAATTGAAGTCCACAAGTCATCAAAGGGCCCAGGTTGAAGACCCCCTGCTTGTGGACTTGAACTCCCAGAATTCCTCAGCTAGGCATGCCGGCTGAGGAATTCTGGGAGTTGGAGTCCACCAGTCATCAAAGGACCAATTTGGGACTCCGTAGGACTACAATACTGGTGATCTACATCCGAACCAAATTCTGCAAACTGACTGGGGAGAACTTGAAGTTGGAAAAACTCAAAAATGTTTTTAGAGCCCCCCCCCCCCAAAGTTATAAATTATAAAGCCAGCTAGGATGATTTTGGGGCCAGTCTCTCTCTCTTTCTCTTTCTATCTTTTTTCTTTCTCTCTTTCTTCTTCTTCTTCTCTCTCTCTCTCTTTCTCTCTTTTTTCTTCCTTTCTGTCTCTCTCTCCCTTTCTCTTTTTCCTTTTTCTCTTTCTCCCTTTCTTTTTTCTTTCTTTCTGTCTTTTTCCTTTTTCTCTTTCTCCCTTTCTTTTTTTCTCTCCCTTTCTTTTTTCTTTCTGTCTCTCTCCTTTCTTTCTTTATTCTTTCTCTCTCCCTTTCTCTCTTTTCTTTCTCCCTTTCTCTTTTTTCTCTTCTTTCTTTCTCTCTTCCCCTTTCTTTCTCTCTCTCCCTTTCTCTTTTTTCATTCTCTCATTCTTTTTTCGTTCTCATTCTCCCTTTCTCTTTTTTCTCTCCCCTTTTTTTCTCTTTCTTTGTCTCTCTCCCTTTCTCTTTTCTTTCTCCTTCTCTTTTTTCTCTTCTTTCTTTCTCTCTCTTCCTTTCTTTTTGTCTCTCTCCCTTTCTCTCTTTTCATTCTTTCTTTTTTTTGTTCTTTCATTCTCCCTTTCTCTTTTCTCTCTCTCCCTTTCTTTTTTCTTTCTTTCTCTGTGTCTCTGTCTCCCTTTTTTTCTTTCTCCCTCTCTCCTCTTTTCTTTCTTTTTTTCTTTCTGCCTCTCTCCTCTTTTCTTTCTCTCCCCTTCTCTCTCTCCCTCTCCCTTTCTTTTTTCTTTATCTTTTTTCTTTCTCTCCCTTTCTCTCTCTTTTTCCTTTCTCTCTCTCTCTCTCTCTCTCTCTTTCTCCCCCCCACCCAGCCCACCTCACAGGATTGTTGTTGTGGAGAAAACAGGAGGAGGAAAAGAAGAATTAGGGATGTCTCCCCCCCCCTTTAAATTACTTTACAAAGTCGGGATAAACATCTAATAAAGAATAATAAATAACTCTCAGGCGGAAACGTGGGAACTCCTAAAGGGGAGGGGGGAGAACAACACGCATCTTTCGCTCTGTCATCTTTGGACCTCGCTGAAGTCACGATCGGGGAAAGGGGGGAAATTACAAAGACCCCACACCCCACCCCCACCCAAGACCTTGAGTCGGGGATGATGGGAGAGGTAGTCCAACCCGCCTAGGAAGCCCCAGCAAGTCGGAGAACCGTTACTGCCAAGAGCGAGAACCAGCCTGGGGGAAAGATCCGACTCCGGAACAAGCAGCCGTTGCTCCCAGGAGCAGTTCGATCCGGTTCCTCTGGGTCCGCCCCCCCCCCGCACTAGCCTTCCATCCGGATTCGAACCCAAGGCAGGAAAAATTGCATCGGGGGAGGGGTGTTGAATTGGGAGGGGGGGGGTCTACCTTGCAAACGGGGGGTCTTTTCTTCCCCGCCTTGCAGGAAGGCGCCGCCGGAGGGAAGAGCCGCCCGCTGGAAAACGAAACCGGAGCGAAAGCGAAGCGAAAGCGAAGCGACCTCCGGGGACGCGGAGGAAGAACTACAGGAGTCGGGAGGGGAAAAAAACCGGGCGCGCCTCTGAGCGTACGCAGAGCGCCGCCGCGGGGACCCCCCCCCACCCCACCTGCCGTGGCATAGACGCGCGCTTGCAAAACACCGTGGCGGGGATCGGAGCGCCGATGCGTGTCAAAAGGGGAACGTGGGAAAGGCGTGCACGGGGGAGGGAAAAAGAGGAGGAGGAGGAGGAGGACACGAGGTGTGGGAATGCAACCTCTCCCCTCCACCCCTCCAGGGGAGGGGAAAGGGAGGGAAGGGGAGGGGAGGGGCAAGGCCGGAACGGAACGTGGGAATGTGAAAGCGAAATCGATTTCGCGGCGAGCCGAAAGCGAGTCTTCCCTGCGGCCCAGCTCTGCACCCCGGACACCATGGCCAAATCCTGCACCGCCAACATCCGTGTCGCCAAAGAGACGCGCGAGAAGGTGAGGGGTGGGGGGGGGGAGAACGTGTGAATGGGGGAACGGGAATGGAGTCGCAAAGGAAGGCAGTTTGCAAAAAGAAAAAGAAAATGGGGGGGATCAGGCCCCAGCTACGGACCTCTTATTAGATCTTCTTTCTTTTACCTTGCCGGCCTCTGAGCACGTGCAGAGCGCGCCCCTTTCCAGTTGCAAGTACCGTGGGAAGGTCGGGATGCGGGATCGAATCGCGGTTGCGAGAAGCACTCTGCGCTGGCCCAGCGGGCTGTCAGCTGGAGGCCTGGAAAGATCCACAGGAAAAGAAAAAGATAACATTTTGTTTGTTTGTTTGTTTGTGCATTGTAACAAAACATTGCGACTTTTTGGGTTTTTCATTTTATTTTATTTTAAAAGAGGGGATCGGTTTCGTTAATTCACGTGTGAACGGGGTATGGGGTTTCTTGGACCCAACTTTTAAAAGAGTTGGGGGAAAGGAGGAGGAACAGAAACTAACTGGGGAACTTTAAACCAGTTTCTCCCCTCTCAATCTTGGCTAGTTTAAGATTGTGGACTTCAACTCCCAGCATCCCTCAGCCAGCATGACGGAACTGACCGTTTGATGACTTCTGAACTTCAACTCCCAGCATTCCTCAGCCAGCCTGAGGGAACTATGACCCTTTGATGACTTGTGGACTTCGACTCCCAGCATTCCTCAGCCAGCCTGAGGGAACTATGACCCTTTGATGACTTGTGGACTTCAACTCCCAGCATTCCTCAGCCAGCCTGAGGGAACTACGACCCTTTGATGACTTGTGGACTTCAACTCCCAGAATTCCTCAGCCAGGCACGCTAGCTAAGGAATGCTGGGAGTTGGTCCACAAGTCATAAAAGGGCCAAGTTTGAAGACCCCTGTTGTAACCCCTTCAGCATTTCCTGTCAAGAACTCCTTCCTGATGTTCACCCTGCTGGCTGGGGAATTCTGGGAGTTGAAGTCCACAGATCTTAAACAGACCGAAGTTGAGAAACGGTGCCTTAAATACTGAATATTACTTGCCTGGAAATGAAGAAGAATTTGAATAAAAGGCAGAAGCCAAAGTTTAGGCAAATTTCTTAGCTGGAAAAAGCACTGCCAAATTCTTGTTTTCTAGCCACGATTGATTAGCTACGCCCTGACTTTTGTTCTTTGAGAATAAACCCGGGGGCATTTCTGAAGCAATCCAGAATTGCAGTGTCAGTGTGACAGGTCACTCTGCTCGTAAAATTTTTTTTCTTTTCCCTCCCTAGTCACGCAAACCAATTTCAAGAATACTATAGTATATTTCTTCTGCAAACTATTAACCCTGTTTGCAAGAACCGCCTTTGGAAACGAAAGGAAAACTTATCCCACCCTTTTGAGATCAAGCAATATTTCCAGACTGTTTAAAAGCATTTCAGTTGTTATTCTCTCGATCTAAATTATATTTTCCGGAAAGCGCTTTATTGCTAGCATTAAACTTCCAAAGGAAATTTTGCTGTTCAATGCAAGCAATGCTGTGCTTGCATTTTGGGGGGGGGGGGGGGTTATAAAACAAAGGCCAGAAGTCAATTTTTCTAATTCTATTTGGGATTTTTTTAAAAAAAAAAACCAAAAACCTCCAGTAGAGGGGATTTTAAAAATTCCCAGTACGAGGAGAAGACTATCCACTTCTGTTAATTACGTAGAACAAACAGGGAAATCCCAAAAGCCAAACTGCACCCTTTGCAATCACGTCCTCGACTTATGACGACAGTTGAGCATTTATGTTGCTAAGCAAAACATTTGTTAAGTGCCCCATTCCTTGCCACTGTTGTTAAATGAATCACTGCAATTGTTAAGTTAGTTAACACGGTTGATAAGTGAATCTGGCTTCGCCTATTGACTTAGCTTGTCACAAGGTCACAAAAGCGGATCCTGCGACCGTCATAAGTATGAAACAGTGGCCAAAAGCTTCTGAATTTTGATCGTGTAAACCCCGGGGACACTGCGACGGCCATCGGTTGGTTTGCATTAAGGATACGAGAGGCAATGTGGTATCCCGCAAATATTCTTTAGGGAATTCCTGCGCTGGACAGGGGGTTGGCCTAGATGCGCTGGACAGGGGGTTGGCCTAGATGACCTCAAAGATCCCTTCCAAGTATGAGTTTCGCCTAGTCCCCAAATGTTCTTGGTGGGGCTGTGGATCAGCAGGATTCCAATACAGCTCTAAACCTAAAGTTTAAATTGAAAACAAGTTTGATTGCTTTGTTCTATAGCTCGGGTTTCTCGTGTGTTTCCAGTTTCAATTTCATTGGGTTTGTTTGTTTTTTTTCCCCCCTGCAAAACTCTCTTTGCATTTGGGGAATTAGTGAGAATTTTCAGCATGGGAAGTAAAGACCTTGTGTGATCTTTCTGGGTTGCTCCAACGTTGGTTACAATTTGTCTCATAATTTCCTTTTATTGTTTTAGATGGCTCTCTTCAGAGAATCGCTGTTGAAAGAGGTAAGTCTCCATTGCATGTCAAATGTTACTTGTTCACCAATTACTGGATATTTTCCCCTTTCCAAGATCCCTCTTCCCTCCCTTCTTTCCTCAACTCAATCCCTCTTCCCTCCCTTCTTCTTTCCTTCCTTCCTTCCTTCCTTCCTTCCTTCCTTCCTTCCTTCCTTTCTTCCTTCCTCAATCCCTCTTCCCTCCCTTCTTTCCTCAATCCCTTCCTTCCTTCCTTCCTTCCTTCCTTCCTTCCTTTCTTTCTTCCTTCCTCAATCCCTCTTCCCTCCCTTCTTCTTTCCTCAATCCCTTCCTTCCTTCCTTCCTTCCTTCCTTTCTTCCCTCTTCCCTTCTTTCCTTCTCTCTCTCTCTTTCTCTGTCTTTATTTCTTTCTCTCTCTCTCTCTCTCTCTCTCTCTCTCTTTCCCTGCAGGGTGAAGAGTTTCTTTGCACATTTTTACCTGCAAAGATATTTCAGTTGGATAAGTTTCTTAAGGTAAGTGAACGTCTAAAAACAAAGTTTCACGGGCAGAAGATCTCTGCGTGTTTTTTTTTTTTTAAAGTGTAGCTCCTTCTCTGCCCGTCTAGGAAAATTCACTGAACGTTCAAGATCTGACCACTCTGAAAGCTCCTTTGGATATCCCTATTCCAGACCCCCCTCCCAAAGAAGACGAGGTGAGTTTTGGGGGTACCTCTTTCCTTGCCGCCCCCCCCCATATTTGGTGCAACTTGTAAGGGGGTGGAAAATGATATTTATGCATCAGTGTATTTTTATTCCTTGCAGATGGATACAGAAAAAGAGGAAAAGGAAGGTAAGGAAGAGAGGGAGGGAGGGAGGGAGGAAGAAGGGAAGAAGGGAGGGGGGAGAGAAGGAGGGAGAGAGGAAAGGAAGGAAGGAGGGAGGGAGGGAAGGAAGGAGAGAGAAGCAGAGAGTGAAGGAGAGATAGGAAAGGAAGGAGGGAAAGGGAGGGAAGGAAAGAGGGAGGGGGGAAGGAAAGAAAGGGAGAGAGGGAAGGAGGGAGGGAAGAAAAAGAGAAAGGAGGGAGGAAGGAAGGAGAGAGGAAAGAAAGGAGGAAAGGAAGAAAGGGAGGGAAGGAAGGAGAGAGGGAGGCAGAGAGTGAAGGAGAGAGGGAGAGACAGAGGGAAGGAAAGAAAGAGGGAAGGAAGGAAGGAGGGAGGGAGGGAAGGAAGGAGAGAAAGGGAGGGAAGAAGGAAGGAGAGAGGAAAGAAAGGAGGGAGGGAGGTAAGGAAGAAAGGGAGGGAAGGAAGGAGAGAGGGAGGCAGAGAGTGAAGGAGAAATAGGGAAGGAAGAAAGGAGGGAGAGAGGGAGGGAAGGAAGGAGGAAGGGAAGGAAGAAAGGGAGGGAAGGAAAGACAGGGAGGCAGAGAGTGAAGAAGAGATAGGGAGGGAAGGAAGGAGGGGAAGGAGGGAAGGAAAGAAAGGGAGGGAGGGAAGAAAAAGAAAGAAAGAAGGAGGGAAGAAAGAGGGAGGGAGAGGAAGGAGGGGAGGGAGGAAAGGAGGGAAGGGAGGGAGGCAGAGAGTGAAGGAGAGATAGGGAGGGAAGAAAGGCGGGAGAGAGAGGGAGGGAAGGAAGGAAAGAGGGAGGGAAGGAGGGAGGGAGGGAAGAAAGAAAAGGAAAGAAAAAGAAAGAGAGAGAGAGAGAGAGAAAGAAAGAAAAGGGGAATGAATTTTAAAGCATTTCCCAGCATTTGATGGACTTAATTTCTCTTCTCCTTCAATTCCCCAGCACCAAAATGTGGTTTTCTCAAAGGCAACGAGGTTCTCATTTCACTTCTGGATCGCGTGAAACCTGAAGTTCGTGAGTTTAAAGAAAAATGCATTTTGGTAAGTTGGCAACGGGGGGGGGGGGAAGAGAAGGTCTCTTCCCTCCCCCAGTTGTGATTGGCCGGGGATTTCCTTGCGGTGGTTGTGTATCTGGTGGAAAAAAAAAAAAAACACCTACGTGAATATTTTTGTTTTTTTTCTTCCTGCAAAGTAACTTCTTTCTCCTGATTTCCCCCCACCCCCCTCAGGTCACCACCTGGATCCAGTTCATGATCCCCAAAATTGAGGACGGCAACGACTTCGGGGTTGCAGTTCAGGTAAAAAAAGAATCGGGGAACAACGGAGGCTTTTTGCCGTCCCCAACATTTTTATTTCTCCTTGTGAGTTGCGAAGCTGTGTCCGACCCATCGCGGCCCCATGGACCACGTTCCTCCAGGCCTTCCTGCCCTCTACCATCTTCTGGAGTCCATTGAAGCTCACGCCTGCTGCTTCAGTGACTCCATCCAGCCACCTCCTTCTCCGTCGTCCCCTTCTCCTCTTGTCCTCCATCTTTCCCAGCATTAGGCTCTTCTCCAGTGAGTCCTTCCTTCTCATTAGGTGGCCAAAGTCCTTGAGTTTCAACTTCAGGATCTGGCCTTCTAAAGAGCAGTCGGGGTTGATCTCCTCTAGGACCGACCGGTTGGATCACCTTGCAGTCCAAGGGACTCGCAGGAGTCTTCTCCAGCACCAGAGTCCAAAGGCCTCCATTCTTTGGCGCTCAGCCTTTCTTATGGTCCAGCTTTCACAGCCATACATTGCAACTGGGAAAACCATGGCCTGGACTATACGCACTTTTGTTGGCAGGGTGACGTCTCTGCTTTTTGGTGCACTGTCTAGATTTGCCGTAGCTTTCCTCCCCAGGAGCAAGCATATTTTAATTTCTCGGCTGCAGTCCCCATCTGCGGTGATCTTGGAGCCCAGGAAAATATTTCTCCTGGCTGTGGGAACTTTTCCTGTGGCCCACCAACCGTTTCCTTCCTGTGCAGGAGAAAGTGCTGGAACGCATCACGGCGCTGAAGACCAAAGCTGAAGCTTTCCAAACCACCATCGCCAAGTAAGTCGTCAAGAAGGGCCGGCAGGGAAAGGAGACAAAGCAGAGATCTTAGTGTTCCAGAGTGTCGGGCATCGTGCGCCGCACTCGGGCGCCGTTCGCTCCTGTTGGTGTTTCCCCACGCCAAAACCTCCGTCGAGCTTCATGGGGGGGGGGTCCTCTCCCGCCTTCGTAGCATAATAAATCCCAGAATCTGGGCTTGTTGGGGGTATATCATGGATGGCCCTTCCTTATTATCTGGGCTTGCTGGCATTCTGGGCAATATTTCCCTTAGCCAAGGTGCTTTCTCTGCATCGGTAACAGGCAAAGGTAGGAGAAAGAAAATCAGAATATGCATTACTGAGAAGAGAATCTTTGCAGCTCAGAATTGAATTGTGGGGGTCCTTTGGTGCTTTCTTGAGACTGGATGTCTTCTTGCAGACGTTTCATGACCCAGCTAGGTAACATTATCAGTGCTGGGAGGGAGGAGGGATTATGGAGGAGGAGGAGGAAAAAGGGAAGGGGAAGAAGGAGAAGATGTAGTAGTAGAGTGAAAAGGAGAGGGAGGTGAAAGAGGAGGAAGAGAGAAGGAAAGGGGAAGAAGAAGATAAAATAGAATGAAAAGAAGGAGGAGGAGACAGAGGTGGGAGAAGAGAAAGAAGGGGAGGAGAAAAAGGAAAAGGGAAGAAGGAAGATGAAGTAGAATGAAAAGGAGGTGAAAGGAGGAGATAGGAGAAGAGAAAGAAGAGGAAGAGGGAAAAGGAAAATGAAGTAGAATGAAGAGAAAGATGAAAGAGAAGGAGGAGATAGAGGTGGGAGAAGAGGAGGAGGAAGAGGAAAAAGGGAAAGAAGATGAAGTAGAATGAAGAGGAGAAGGAGATGAAGAGATAAAGGTGGAAGAGAAAAGGGGAGGAGGAAGAGGAAAAAGGAAGGGAAGAAGGAAGAAGTAGAATGAAAAGGAGATGAAAAAAGGAGATAAAAGGGAAAGAGGAAGAAGAGGAAAAGGAAGGGAAGAAGAAGAGGAAGTAGAATCAAGAGAAGGAGATGAAAGAAGGAAGAGGGGAGAAATGAAGAAAAAGGAAAGGGGAAGAAAGAACATGAAGTGGAATGAAAAAAGGAGGAGAAGGAGATAAAAGAAAGAGGAGGAGGAGATAAAGATGGAGGAGGAGGAGAAAAGGAATTGGGGGGGGGAGACCTTAGTGCTCTCTGAGCTTGGTGGTTGCAGACATTTCATTACCAAACTAGGTAACATCATCCGTGCACCCCATGGAATAGACATTCATAGGTCAATTCTGGCTCTCAGGAGCCATGACACAATAAACAAAGCCAAAAAAAATAAATAAATGGGAGTAGGATAAATTGATGTTGAAGTCACAAAATGTGGGTTTAATCCATCTGGAAACAGTGATGGGGGATGTAGTCCTGGAATTCTAGTACATATATAAAGGGTCCCCTATGTGCTTTTTCATCTAGGAAGTTTATGGCTTGTGTATTTTATTTTCTTTCTCTCTCTCCTTCCCTCCCTTCCTCCCTTTCTTTCTCTCCCTTTCTCTTCTTTCTCTTTCCTCTCTCTCTCTCCCTCTTTCTTTCTTTCTTTCTTTCTTTCTTTCTTTCTTTCTTTCTTTCTTTCTTTCTTTCTTTCTTTCTTTCTTTCTTTCTTTCTTTCTTTCTTTCCTGCAAAGGAAACTAGCATGGGGTGTAGTTAAGGCGCCAAGCTGGAAACTGGGAGACTGTTGACTTTTAGCTTTGCTTTAAGCATGAAGCCAGCTGGGTGGCTTTGGGCCTGTTCCTCTCTCTCTCTCTGAACCCTGGGAAGGACCCAAGGAGAAACTGCTTCCAAAAATCTTGTGAAGCATACCGAAGAGATTTGCAACACATACAAAAAAATAAAAATAAAATTCCCTAGTCCTAATGCTGTAGATTCCATATACTTTCTTGTTCTTTTAGGTACTTTTTGGAGCGTGGCGATGCAGTGGCCAAGGCTTCCAAAGAAACTCACGTGGTAAGTGATGGAGAAAGAAGGTTGCAATTATTTGTAATAGATGGCGGGTCTGGTAGGAAAATTTAGGGGGGGGGCTCCTTGTTGCTCTTCCCCCTGACTCAAGGCAAGGAGAAGACCTTCCTGGATGCCAAAATAACTTGTACTGACTACGACAAGGCCAAAAACAAAAACAAAACCCAACACAATTGCAGATGGAGTCAAGATCTTGACTAACTCATGGCAAGGTTTAACACCATAGTTCTTGGAGATGGGAAAGCCTCTGCAATAATTATTCCCCTTAATAAAGTTCCTGCCTCATATAGATTTTGAACTGAGCCAGGCAGTGTACAAATTTAAATAAGAGCACCCCCGCCAAGAATTAACGCTGACATCTCTTGAAACTGTGCTCCTGCTTAACTGCTTCCACCGCGGTATTTTAAATAAATCAAAGTCTCTGAGCTCGGAGAAGAGTTTAAGCTGTAAACTGGATTTCCGTACCAGTGGCTGGATTCACATGACGTACCAAGTAAAGCCAGGCAAACTAAGTTGTGTCTAAAACTGTCCTGGAAACTTAACCTGGTTGTAATTTGTGGGGTCCTTGGTGCTCTCTGAGCTTGGTGGTTTTCATGACCCAGCTAGGGAACATCAACAGTGCTTGAAAGGGGTGTGGGAGGAAGACGACTGTGGGGTCATTGGTGCTCTCTGAGCTTGGTTGTTTTCTTGTAGACGTTTCATTACCCAACTAGTTAACACCATCAGTGCTAGAAGGGGTTGAGGGGGGAGGAGGAGGAGGACTGTGGGGTCCTTGGTTCTATTCTATTCTATTCTATTCTATTCTATTCTATTCTATTCTATTCTATTCTAATTCATATTCTATTCTATTGTTCTATTCTATTCTATTGTTCTATTCTAATTCCTATTCTATTCTATTCTATTATTTTATTCTAATTCCTATTCTATTCTATTCTATTCTATTGTTGTTGTTGTTAATTGTGAAGTCATGTCCGACCCATCGCGACCCCATGGACAACGTTCCTCTAGGTCTTCCTGTCCTCTACCATCTTCTGGAGTCCATTTAAGTTCACACCTACTGCTTCAGTGACTCCATCCAGCTATTTCATTCTCTGTCGTCCCTTTCTTCTATTGCCCTCAATCTTTCCCAGCATTAGGCCCTTCTCCAGTGAGTCCTTCCTTCTCATTAGGTGGCCGAAGTATTTGAGTTTCAACTTCAGGATCTGGCCTTCTAAAGAGCAGTTGGGGTTGATCTCTTCTAGGACTGACCGGTTTGAACGCCTTGCAGTCCAAGGGACTCGCAGGAGTCTTCTCCAGCACCATAGTTCAAAGGCCTATTCTATTCTATTATTCTATTCTAATTCCTATTCTATTCTATTCTATTCTATTATTCTATTCTATTCTATTCTATTCTATTCTATTTCCTATTCTATTATTCTATTCTATTCTATTCTATTCTATTCTATTTTCTATTCTATTATTATGAGGTAACTTCCCTCAGGGCTAGCCAGTTGTAATTTCCTTCTTTGTTCCTGCAGATGGATTACCGGTGTTTGGTTCACGAACGTGACGAAGCCATTTACCGAGAAATGCAGATCATGGTGCTTGATATCCGTGGATTTTATGTAAGCGAGCTGAATCAATTGTGGTGAATTTCTATTAGGGGAAGATTAAGAGGGCGGGAATAAAGGAACAGGGGCAGATTTCTTTTGGTGTTTAATCCTTTCTCGTTTCTCTTCACCACAGGCTGAGCTGTACCACATCCTAAGCAAAAACCTGGAGAAAGTGACCAATCCCAAGGGCGAAGAGAAGCCGTCCATGTACTGACAGGAAAAATGCATTTAAGGGCAAACAGGCAAGGGCTGTTATGCGGGTGATGGTATCCTTGTGCAGATAACACAATTGGCCAGAATCTGTGACCGCCTGTCTTTTTGGAGGGTGTTGGGCCAACATAAAAATACAGGGTTAGAAAGAGACCTGAGATATTTAGAACCCAGGAAGGAGGGAGGTGGCTGGGAAAGAAGCAAATAGTGTAACAAAATAAAATGTTTGAATCAATTTGGTTGTGTCTTTTTATGAGAAAGCCATCAAATGCACCTTGCCAAACCAGGAGAAAATCTTTTTTTCTCAGCTAGAATTTCTACCATTTTTCCAAATAGCTTTCACGGTAAGAATATGTAACCTTCGTACTTAAGGATACTTAATACCGTCCCTAGAAGATTGTTCTAATCACGTTCATAGAGGTTATCTCTGCCTGTGTCCGGTGTAAAAATCAATAGAAAGAAAGCTGAAATTCAAGCCTGAAACAAGATCACTTTAAAGTCTGAATTAGCATATCTGATAAACGTGCTGTTTTAAATAAATAGCTAGATGATCTAGTTAATTTTCCCTTAACTAGAGCCGACCTCTTGTTTGTTTGTTTGTTTTTCCTTGATCTTTCCTGATGGATATTAAAATATAAATACCTATGTATTTTCTCACCCACTAAAAAGTAATAGCAACTGTCTGTGAATAGTTTAGAATAGAAAAATAAGGAAGTAGCTTATGGGTGGATTAAAGTAGCAGTAGTTAGCTGTTGGGGTCTTTCAGGAGGTGAAAATGCCAATTTCTTGAGGGAGTCATCTGGCTTTTCACTAGTCCAATTTCCAAATCATAACAATGTCTTTAAATAAAAATGAGGTTGTAACCTGAAATAGTCTTGACCAACATCTTGACCAACAAAAGAAAAATGGGAATATAGGATATAAGGCTATAGAAATTGTCTTCAGTTTTTGTTCTTTGAAAAGTGAAATAGTTTTACTGCTATTAGGATATCTATTGTATAGTGGAAGAAGAAATAAATGAGATTGGTGATAAAATGAGGGGTGTGAGAGATTAATAATTAGAATTGGTAATTTTTTGTTTTAAATTTAAACTATTGTAATTGTAAACTGATAAAAGTTATAATACAGGTTTAATAGTGATAGAAATTTAAAACAGAAATGGAATATCTTAATGTGTCATGTTAATTGAGGGGAATAGAGAGGGGATAGTGAAGTTTATTGAGTTGTGTTGTTGATGTATATTTTTACTTTTGAATGTTTGACCATCCAACCACCACGGTGGGTCCTGAGTACTTTTTCTTAAGAATTTAAAAAACCCAATAAAATGTGTTAAAAAGAAAAAAGAAAAGTGAAATAGTTCTTAGAAATCGTATAAAATCATCATTCTAAATCAAGTGTTTTTCAAGCTGGGCAACTTTTAAGATGGAGAGACTGCAACTCCCAGAATTCCCCAGCCAGTCCCTCCATCTTAAAAAGTCGCCCAGCTTGAAAAACATTTAAATGAAATGGTTGATACTGCAAGGAAGCAAACGCTTCATTTTTACTTCATAGGCAACTGGATTAAGCCATTTTCAAGCTTTGCACCATACATTAAATGCACTAGACATATATTAAATGTCTAAATAATTAAAAAGAGGGACTTAAACTCATTTTGTGGAAACTTTTGGCCTTAAATGTAGCCTAAAGCTCAACAGGTGCAGCTTTTCTAGATATGACAATATGCTTTCAAAAGCTCCATTTGTTAACATTATATAACCCCAAACTGGCACTTCGGAAAACTCTGGGTTGACTACAAATCCCATCATTTCAGACCTGCCAGTGATTGATGGGTTTGGGGGGGGGGCATGTTTAAGGGCTGTCAAACTCTATCGTTTTGGGGGGGGTTGCCCACGGAAGCCACTCTGGTAGCTTACTCTATGGTTCCGGGACGGCGAAGAGACATTGAAAGGAAGTGGGAACATCAGCACAGATAGTACTTCCGGTAATACAGTCCTTCTAGACATTTTACCTCTATGGTCGATCCTCTTTCTGTATGGGAAATTCCGAGTGAGATAATCAGATTCTCCACGAACAAATAGAGCGGAGGCTGTTTTCCTGTCTGTATTTGGAGAGGAGGAAGGAGAGGGAGAGGTCAATTCAAGACCCGGAAATGATGATGATGTGGCGCCTCGTGTTGTCACATGGTAGAGCCAAAAAACCGTTAAGCACGTCAGTTAAAAAAAATCAACAACTTCCGACCAATCAGATTGCGGGCTGAGTGCGCCCAATGAGCGAAGAGAAACAAACAAAAAAAAAAGGGCTGCCGCGAAAGCTGTGCTCGGATTGGATCGTTGCTGACCAATCCGTAGGCGCTTAGTGAAACATTCTACAGAAGGCGGAGCTTGTGGCGGCAGTCGGTACCTGCGCAGGGACGGCGAGGAGGAGGGGGAGGGGGTAAGTGTGCGTGGGACTACCGTACCCATCATCCTCGGGTGGGCTGTGAGTGATGGGCATTGTAGTCTATGAAGATCCGGGGTGTGTGTGGAGGGATTTCAGTGGATTGTTGGGGCTCACACTGGAAGTTACCCAATCCTGGTTATCATATCATATTACATTGCTATTAGATTATTACATTATATTGTATTAGAGTGTATTGTATTTGTATTGTATTGATTATATATATTATCATTACATAATACTCTACAGGTAGTCCTCGACTTATGACTACAATTGATCCCAAGACTTATGTTGTTAAGCAGGGGTTTTCAAACTTGGCCCTTTGATGACTTGTGGACTTCAACTCCCAGAAGTCCCCAGCCAGCGTGCCTGGCTGAGGAATTCTGGGAGTTGAAGTCCACAAGTCATCAAAGGGTCATAATTCCCTCACCCTGGCTGAGGAATTCTGGGAGTTGAAGTCCACAAGTCATCAAAGGGCCAAGTTTGAAGGACCCCTGTTGTTAAGCCAGACATTTGTTAAGTGAGTTTTGCCCTGTTTCACCGCTCAGTTGCTAAGGGACTCACTTCAGTTGTTAAGCAAGTCACACGGTTGTTAAGTGAATCTGATCCCCCCCCTTGACTTTGCTTGTCGGAAGGATGCCAAAGGGGATTGATCATATGATCCCGGGACAGTGTAACCGTGATAAATATGAATCAGTTGCCAAGCGTCAGTCTGAATTTTGATCCTGTGGCCTTCAGTGGTCGTAAGAGTGAATAGCGGTCCTAGGTCATTTTTTTTCAGTGCCGTTGTAACTTTGAACAGTCACTGAACAAACAGTTGTAAGTTGAAAACTAACTTGGATGTAAGGGTGTAGGTCTATACCAGTGGTTCTCAATCTTTTTAATGCCACGACCCCCCCAACCGGTTGTAAGTCGAGGACTACTCAACCGGTCGTAAGTCGAGGACTACTCAACTGGTGCAGCACCGTTTGCAGAATGGACTTTGGGGGGGCTCAGCAGGGCAGAGACAGCCTGGACAATTCCTATTGGCTTTTGAAAGCCAATAGAATTAGACTCTATTCAAGAGAGTCTATTCTATTGGCTTTCAAAAGCCAATAGAATAAAAGGGAGGAGCACAGCTAAGGAAAAGGGGGAAAAAATGGCGGACTGCGTTGTTTGGCGATCCCCGTGAAATGGTCGTTCGACCCCAAATGGGGTCCTGACCCACAGGTTGAGAATCACTGGTCTATACATATGTTGTATATAGTATATTTTAAATGTGTGTTATGTAGATAAGATAAGCTGTATTGTCATTTTTTTTACTGTGGGCACAACGGCACACATCAAAAATGAAATTTAGTGGCCCGCTCTCAAAGTGAAACACATATATGACACACACGTAAAACATACTATATACAAGTACTATATACCTGAGCAGGGGGTTGGACTAGATGACCTCCAAGGTCCCTTCCAACTTTATTATTATTATTATTAAGACACAACATATTTATAGACCCACACCCCTACATATACATAACAAATAAATATTAAATACGGTCCATCTTGAATACATAACGGAAGGAGGAAGCTTGAGAGTTCACGAGGTTAATGCTGTACGGAATGAAACTATGGCTGAATCTGGATGTTCTGCTACGGTTACCACGAAGCCTTCTTCCCCCAGAAGGGAACAAGGAAAACAGGTCGTGAAGAGGATGTGTAGCGTACACTTTGAGAGGAAGCAACTAAAATTTATTTTTAATGTGTGCCATGCCCACAGGAAAAAATGACAATAAAGGTTAGTAAATGTAAATCTAATCTGTACTATACTAATATTTCACTACACTACACCGATCGTATATTATGTTCATTGCACAGTCATCCAGGTATTCAGACTGGATCTGGCACTTTTGTTATATCATATATTGTATTGTTATTATATTTTAATTTTATATATCACCGGATGTTGTCCTTACCATCCCAGGTTTCCCCATTCGGACATCCAAGGCGCCTTTGGAACAGGTGGAAGAGAGGAACCTCTGAGGAACTCAGGTGAGGCGGTCCTATCCAGCTGGGGCCAACTACAACTCCTATCAGCCCCAGCCAAGGGGGCATTGAATGGGGGAGACTTTGGAGGCCCAGGGCTTGGGGTGTGTTAGGATAACCTCCTGAAGCAGCATCACAGCAAGGCTTCTGTGCTCGGCAGGATGGGCGAAGTGGAGATCTCGCCTCGGGCGTACGTCAAGATGTGCCTCCATGCGGCTCGGTATCCCCACGTGGGGGTGAACGGACTCCTCCTGGCTCACAAGCGCCGGCCCACAGCTGGGCCCGCAGAATGCCTCTACATCATGGACTGCGTCCCCCTTTTCCACAGCAACCTGTTGCTCACCGTGATGCTGGAGGTGGCCCTCAACCAGGTGTGTCATTTCAACATGAATAGACTAGAAAATAATAATAGAATAGAATAGAATAGAATAGAATAGAATAGAATAGAATAGAAAATATGGAGTGAAGTGGAGTGGAATGGAATGGAATAGAATAGAATAGAAAACATGGAGTGGAGTGGAATGGAATGGAATAGAATAGAATAGAATAATAAAATAGGATAGGATAGGATAGAATAATAGAATAGGATAGGATAGAATGGAATAGAATGGAATGGAATAGAAATAAGGACTAGAATAGAATAGAGTCGAATAGAATAGAATAGAATAGAATAGTGGAATGAAGACTAGGACAGAACAGAGTAAAGTAGAGTAGAATAGAATAGGGGAATGAAGAATAGGATAGGACAGGACAAAACAACAGAATAGTGACTTAAGACTGTTTTTCGCACTTAATGACCGTTGCAGCCTCTCCGACGCTCAACAGGAACAAAATTCAGATGCTTGGCAAGTGATTCCTATTTATGATGTTTATTTATCACTTAGCCCTGGGATTAAGGGATCCCCTTTTGCGATCAGCAGACAAACCAGAGTCAAGCCAGATTTGCTTAACGACTGTGTTACAAACTTAACAACTGCAGGGATTCACAGAACAACTGTGGCAAGGAAGGGCCGTAAAACGGGGCAAAATTCACTGAAACGCTTTGTCTTGCTTAGCAACGGAAATGTTGGAATACGGCATTCCAGTTTTGGTCACCACAATGTAAAAAAAGATGTTGAGACTCTAGAAAGAGTGCAGAGAAGAGCAACAGAGATGTTCAGGGGACTGGAGGCTGAAACATACAAAGAACGGTTGCAGGAATTGGGTATGTCCAGTTTAATGAAGAGAAGGACGAGGGGGGACATGATAGCAGTCTTCCAATCTCTCAGGGGCTGCCCCAAAGAAGAGGGAGTCAAGCTATTCTCCAAAGCACCTGAAGGCAGGACAAGAAGCAACGGGTGGAAACTCATCAAGGAGAGAAGCAACCTAGAACTAAGGAGAAACTTCCTGATAGTTAGAACCATTAACCAGTGGAACAACCTGCCTCCAGAAGCGGTGAATGCTCCAACACTGGAAGTTTTTAACAAGAGATTGTACAACCAATTAGTCTGAAATGGTGTAGGGTTTCCTGCCTGAGCAGGGGGTTGGACTCAATGACCTCCAAGGTCCCTTCCAACATTATTATTATTATTATTATTATTATTATTATTATTATTATTATATCAAGGACTACTTTTTATTGAGCAGCCAAAGTAAAGTAAAGGGCGAAGAGAAGCTTTATTTTTAATTTAAGAAACCTTGGCATAACAGGATGGGTAAACCTGGCCACTTATTTACAGGAACACAGTCTTAACAATATCTCTTTTGCAGTTTGCAAACAGTCAGGACTGTGTTTTTTTTTTTTTTAACCTTGGCCACTTGAAGACGGGACTTCAACTCCCAGAATTCCCCAGCCGGTTTTGGCCCATTTTAACGACTTGTCTTGCCATCATCGTAAAGAGAATCCCTGCAGTTCTTAAGTGAGTCGTGTCGTTGTTCTGGATTCCCCACTGCCTTTGCTGGTCTGTCAGGGCCCCCTTCAAAACCTCATCCTAAGAAAGCAGCACTCGTGGAAGCCGTTTCTTCCAAAAGGAACTTTTATTAGGAGAAGCTGATGGCAGGCATAATAGACAAGATCTGAGAGTTTCCTGCTCAGATCAATAGGTTAAAAGTGTCCCAAGCAAAAAAACCCACCCGGTTTTCATCCGGTCAGTTCACATGGGCCAATCCCCAGGTGTTAAGACTGTTGTAGGAAAGACTAGATGATGATGCCATGCTGTCTTAGGGTTGCAGCGATGCTTTGTCGGCTCTTCACACCTTCCCTTCCCAGCACGGAGATAAACCATTTGCGGGAGGCACATTCCTTTCTCTTTCCCCCCATCCCTTTTACTAGCTGACATCAAGAGGAGAGATAGTTCACAGAGGAAGTATGCAGAAACAGCGAAGCGTTTCAATGCCGCGACAGAGGAAAATAAAGCAATAGCCCACAGTGCTATCCCCCCCTTCCCTCTAGGAGCATGGCAGAACCCAAAAGTATAGAGAGAACAGAGTTTGAGTTTAAAGCAAGAAAGGGTCCACTTAGTATATTGGTTCTGACATCCTGCCTCCCTTAAAAAAAAGAGAGATCCACCTATGGAAACATAGAGAGAAATGTAGGCATAGGATCCACCTGTGGAGACAGAGGGAGAAATATATGCCTAGGTTAATCAGGTTTGTTTGGGTATTCGGCGCGGAATTTTCTTAGCAATTTAGGAGCTTTCATATGGCCTTTGTGGACCCACTCGTTTTGGGAGGATGGGAGGTGTTTCCATGCCACTAGATCAGTGGTTCTCAACCTGTGGGTCGGGACCCCATTTGGGGTCGAACGACCATTTCACGGGGGTCGCCAAACAACGCCGTCCGCCATTTCCCCCCCCCTTTTCCTTAGCTGTGCTACTCCCTTTTCTTCTATTGGCGTTTGAAAGCCAATAGAATAGATTCTCTTGAAGAGAGTCTAGTTCTATTGGCTTTCCAAAGCCAATAGGAATTGTCCAGGCTGTCTCTGCCCTGCTGAGCCCGCCAAAAGTCCCATTCTGCAAACGGGGCTGCACCAGTTGAGTAGCCCTCGACTTACGACCAGTTGAGTAGTCCTCGACTTACGACCGGTTGGGGGGTCGCGGCATTAAAAAGGTTGAGAACCGTTGCACTAGATATTGAGTGGAGCCAGGGTATTTCCCAGAGTCCAGAATTTCTTTGATTTCGGAATGTTGTTCCCCTTCAACCATAATAGGAGGAGGGGCATCCCCCCCCTCGCTATGGACCCATCTAATTCACCAAATGAAACCGGTTTCTTCGGCCTGATAAGGCAGCGGGTGCACCCGGAGTCAATTAATGCCCTAACTTCTACAGCTTTGGCCAGGGTCGGAGCTAGTAAAGTCACTGTCCTGGTGAGGGGCGCAGTGGGTCCACTTACCAGGGGTTCATCCTCGGAATCGTCGTCGGATGAGTTGGACGCTCCCGCTGTGTAGGCTCCTCGCCGGGCTGAGGCAGGGAACTCAACGGTATCCGTGTCTTTCGTGGCCGTCTCCTTCAGCTTCGCTGGCGCCTTTCCGGACTTCCCAGCCAGGGTCCGGTCTGGTTTTCCAGTTGGGGTGCGGGAACGGCACACGGCGGCGCGGTGCCCTTCCTTGCCACATTTGAAGCACCCGATGGTTCTTTTGGAGGTTGACGGCTGCTTTGCTGGCACGCGGACCGATTCCGGCGGCCATTTTCCCCACGGTCTTCTCCCTCTGCGCTGCCTCTTGGCTAAGTCGATCTCGGCTTCCTCGGCTAGGACGTACCAGTCCTGCAGCCGGTGGGGATCCCCCCGAGGGAGGCAAGCATCGTAGAGGTCGTAGTTTAGGCCATCCTTGAAGTAGCTAAGCAAGATGTCTTCTGGCCAATTTAGTTTGGTGGCTAGCGTCCGGAACTCTTGAGCGTATTCGGCCACCGGTCGCCTGCCTTGCTTCACCGTCTTTATCCGCTCTCGGGCCTTCCGCTCTGCCAACGGGTCCCCGAACCGGCGCCTCAGGGAGAGCATGAATTGGTTGAAATTCAGCAGCTCTGGAGCGTCGGCCTCGTACAGGCCCACGACCCAGTCGGCTGCGACGCCGTCCAGGGCGGCTTGCACGACGCGGATTCTGGCGCGGTCGGTGGGGATGTCCTGGCCGTACTCCGCCATGTAGTTTAGCACCTGGGTTAGGAAGACTCCCAGGCGCTGTGGCTCTCCACGGAATTTCACGTCTAGCGGAGGGAACGTCTGGATGGAGCGTGTCCTCTGTTTGTGTCGTCTCCCCCCTCTCGCTGCGGCTTCCACGCGACGTGGGGTGGCCGCAGCGGTGGCGACGGCGGCGGGCTCGTTGGTTCCTTCGGCTGGGTCCAAAATGTCAGGTTTAGGCCCTGCTCCGTTTTCCAGGCGGAAGGTGTCCCGGTAGGGTTCATCTTTCTCCTTGATGGAGTCCAGGGCTATCTTGATCATGCCCATTGCCTGTTCCAACAGCCGGGTGGAATGCCTCCGCCGATCCTCCTCGCTGAGATGGAGAGACCGTTCCATCTCCTCCTTCCAGCCTGGTTGATGACTGAGTGTCATCTTCCTGGCTTTCTTCTCCCAGTCGTCCTTCTTCCCAACGCCCATCGACCACCTGGGCTCCACCGTGGGGCCGCGCTCTCTCATCGCCTCCTCTTCCGACGAACTGGGGGATCCGGAACTGGATTATTTACAAGGGTCTGCCCTGCAGGAGGGTTCCCCCGCTGCTGCAGGTTCCTCTTTCTCCGCTCTGTTGTTCCACATGGTTTGCTAAGTCCCCCACTCAGGGTTTTCCTTCCAGGCTGACTATTGCTGCAGATCCTGTCTAATGGCAGACCCCCCCCCCTTCAAAACCTCATCCTAAGAAAGCAAAACTGGTGGAAGCCGTTTCTTCCAAAAGAAACTTTGATTAGGAGAAGCTGACGGCAGCGATAATAGGAGGGTTTCCCCGCTCAGATCAATAGGTTAAAAGTGTCCCAAGCAAAACTCCACCCCATAGTTTATCCGGTCAGTTCACATGGGCCAATCCCCAGGTGTTAAGCCTGTTGTGGGAAAGAGTAGATGATGATGCCAGCGATGCTTTGTCGGCTCTTCACACCTTCCCTTCCGAGCGGCGGAGATAAACCATTTGCTGGAGGCACATTCCTTTCTCTCCCCCCCTCCTTTTACTAGCTGACCCCCCCTCCCTTTTACTAGCAAAGTGTTACAATGCAGCAACAGAGGAAAATAAAGCAATAAAGCAATAGCCCGCAGTGCTTTCCCCCCCCCCTTCCCTCCAGGAGCATGGCAGAAACCAGAAGAATAGAGAGAAGAAAGTTTAAAGCGAGAAGGGGTGGGTACCGTTGTGTATCCCATATCAAGGACTGCTTTTTATTGAGCAGCCAAAGTAAAGTCTGAATTCCTACACAGGGCGAAGAGAAGCTTTATTTTTAATTCAAGAAACCTTGGCTTAACCCAGTGGTTCTCAACCTTTTTAATGCCACGACCCCCCCTAACCAGTCGTAAGTGGAGGACTACTCAACCGGTCGTAAGTCGAGGACTACTCAACTGGTGCAGCACCCTTTGCAGACTGGGACTTTTGGCGGGCTCAGCAGGGCAGAGACAGCCTGGACCATTCCTATTGGCTTTGGAAAGCCAATAGAATTAGACTCTATGCAAGAGAGTCTATTCTATGGGCTTTCAAAAGCCAATAGAATAAAAGGGAGGAGCACAGCTAAGGAAAAGTGGGAAAAAAATGGCGGACTGCGTTGTTTGGCGACCCCCGTGAAATGGTCGTTCGACCCCAAATGGGGTCCCGACCCACAGGTTGAGAACCACTGGCTTAACCGGATAAACCTGGCCAATTATTTCCAAGAACACAGCCTTAACAATATCTCTTGTGCAGTTTGCAAACTGTCAGGACTTTGTTTGTGTGTGTGTGTTTTTTTTAAACCTTGGCCACGTGAAGACGGTGGGACTTCAACTCCCAGAATTCCGCAGCCGGTTTCGCCCCATTTGAACCATTTTTCTTGCCATCGTGGTGAAGAGAATCCCTGCAGTTCTTGTGAGTTGTTTTCGTCGTTCAGGATTCCCCACTGACTTTGCCGGTCGTAAGGTCGCAAAAGGGTATCTTGCAGGATCCCGGGACAGTGCAGTCATTGTAAATGTGGGTCAGTTGCCAAGCGTCTGAATTGTCCCCGCATGAGCACACGGGAAAGCCGCAATGGCCGTATGTGCAAAAACGGTCATAGGTCACTTGTTATCTGTGCCGTCGTAACTACGAACGGTCACTAAATGAATGTATGTCGAGGAGTAAGTTAAACGTAAGTCAGGACTCTTACGATACCACGTCAAGGACTACTTGTGTGGCTGGATTACCTTTGTCACTTTTTTTGATAGGGTAACTTTCTTAACAGATGATAGGAATGCGGTAGATGTAATATATTACAGGGCTCTTCCCACTTGGCCCTTTGATGACTTGTGGACTTCTGGGAGTTGAAGTCCACAAGTCATCAAAAGATCATAGTTCCCTTGCGCCAGCTGAGGAATTCTGGGAGTTGAAGTCCACAAGTCATCAAAGGGCCAAGTTGGAAGACCCCTGTAATATATCTTGACTTCAGCAAAGTGAAAACATAACCTGCCAAAAGCTAGATCAGTGGTTCTCAACCTGTGGGTTGGGACCCCATTTGGGGTCGAACGACCATTTCACGGGGGTCGCCAAACAACGCAGTCCGCCATTTCCCCCCCCCCCTTTTCCTTAGCTGTGCTACTCCCTTTTCTTCTATTGGCTTTTGAAAGCCAATAGAATAGACTCTCTTGAATAGAGTCTAATTCTATTGGCTTTCAAAAGCCAATAGGAATTGTCCAGGCTGTCTCTGCCCTGCTGAGCCCGCCAAAAATCCCATTCTGCAAACGGTGCTGCACCAGTTGAGTAGTCCTCGACTTAACGACCAGTGGAGTAGTCCTCGACTTACGACCGGTTGGGTGTCGCGGCATTAAAAAGGTTGAGAACCACTGAGCTAGATTAGTAAATGAATTAAAGGTGGGCTGGATGACAGGACAATTAAATGGGAAACTGAAGTGCTGGCTGGGGAATTCTGGGAGTGGAAGTCCACCCCTCTTAAAGCATGGCTGGCTGGGGGATTCTGGGACTTGAAGTCCACCCCTCTTAAAGCAGGCTGGCTGGGGGATTCTGGGAGTTGAAGTCCACCCCTCTTAAAGCATGGCTGGCTGGGGGATTCTGGGAGTTGAAGTCCACCCCTCTTAGAGCAGGCTGGCTGGGGAATTCTGGGACTTGAAGTCCACCCCTCTTAAAGCAGGCTGGCTGGGGAATTCTGGGACTTGAAGTCCACCCCTCTTAAAGGATGCTGGCTGGGGAATTCTGGGACTTGAAGTCCACCCCTCTTAAAGCATGCTGGCTGGGGGATTCTGGGAGTGGAAGTCCACCCCTCTTAAAAGTGGGCCAGGTGGAAAAACGCTATCCTAACCCTCCTCCTGAATCTAACAGACTGCCAACACGGGCATTCCTGCTTTTGACAGGTGGATTCCTGGAGCTCCGAGTCCGATTTGTTCCTGGCTGGCTATTACCAGGCAAACTCTGGGATGGATGACAAAAGGTGAATTTGATGAGGGAGGAAAACGTTGGGCGAAGGGGTAGGTGTCTTGCCTGACCAAAGTTTCTCTGACTCCTTCCCTTCTTCCCCCCCCCCCCCAGCCCTACCTCCCTGGCAGAAAAGACTGCAGCGCGGATTGCCGATCTTTGTGGCGAGGCCGTGCTGATCATGGTGAGGATCTCCCTGGATTTGGAAGTGCTGGGTGGACCCATCTTTGGGATAGCGATAGAAGACAATATTTGCACGAAGGAAGGCAACTGTACGTGTCTCAGGATAACGTAGCGGGATCCAAGATGTCCTCCAGACACCACACCAATAGCAGCAAAGGACAGCCCAGTGCATGCACCCATGTCTAGGGATAGAGAAGGGGACGTGCCCTGAGGATGGGCTCCAGCATTAAGTCGGAAAGCCTGGAAGGTTAAACCTCTGGCCCCGTGACCGACTCAGATTGGATGCTGCAGAATATTTATAGCTCAGGGTTGAACTGTGGGGTCCCTGGGGCTCTCTGAGCTTGGTGGTTTTCTTGCAGACGTTTTACAACCCAGCTAGGGAACATCATCAGTGCTGGGAGGAGTCAGGTTTGCGAGGAGGAGGAGGAGGAGGATAGGAAAAGGGCTGTGGGGTCCTTGGTGTTTTCTAAGCTTGGTGGTTTTCTTGCAGACATTTCACGACCCAGCTAGGTAGCATCATCAGTGCTAGGAGGAGTCAGGTTTGCAAGGAGGAGGAAGAGGAGGGGGGAGGAGGAGGAGGAAGAGGGGGGAGGAGGAGGATAGGAAAAGGGCTGTGGGGTCCTTGATGCTTTCTGAGCTTGGTGGTTTTCTTGCAGACATTTCACGACCCAACTAGGTAACATCATCAGTGCTAGAAGGAGTCAGGTTTGCAAAGAGGAGGGGGAGGAGAAGGAGGAGGAGGAGGATTGGGGGGTCCTTGGTGCTCTCTGAGCTTGGTGGTTTCCTTGCAGACATTTCACGACCCAACTAGGGAACGTCATCGGTGCTAGAAGTTTACTCAAACCTCCCTCCCTTCTAGCACCGATGACGTTCCCTAGTTGGGTCACGAAACGTCTGCAACCGAAGCACCCAACTCCGTGATTCCCAAGGACCTCCCCCCCCCAGTCCAGCCTTGAGCGACAGACATTCTTCCCTGCTCACGCTGCCTCCTGCCACGGGATTGCTCCAGAGAAAAAAAGAGGCCATGATTTGCTTTCTCCTACCTTAATTCCTTCCCCAGTTGGATAACCGGAAGTTCACGATAAACCCTCGGCTACCTCCCCTCACCGTCTTGGAGCAGAGAGATCGCCAGTGGGTTCCTAAAGACAAAAACCTGTGAGTTGCAGCTACCGATGGCTTACACAACACTTACTTACAAGTGGTCTTGCAGTAGTATTCTCTCTCTCTCTCACACACACACACACACACACACAGACACAAGATCCTCATACGGTTTCCTTTAAGCAACGTTAATACAGAGCGCAAACGAGGTGGAAGAAACGACAAGGGTAAAACAATAAAAAAGGCCCGAGATAAAAAGGAAAATATAAAAATAAAAATGACCCCAACGCCATTCGCGCGGGGGGGGGGGAATGTCTTTTATTTCCATACCATTTCACACACTCCTCGACTTTACGGCCACAGGGCAGCTGGAAATGTCTGTCGCTTGGCTGTCCAAAGTGGGTTTTGTCCCGTTTTACGACCTGCCTTCTCACGGTCGTTAAGCAAATCTGGCTTCCCCCCCCCCGCTGAGTTCGCTTGCTCGGAAGGTCGCAAAAAGGGGAATCATATGACATACACATGCACTTCCCCCGGGAAGCTGCGACCGTCGTAAATAGGAGTCGGTTGGCCAGGGATACGAGTTTGGATCACGCGACCGTAGGGGAATGCTGCAGTACTTGTGTGAAAAATAGTCATAAGTCATTTTTTTTTGCAGTCACTAGGCCAGTGGTTCTCAACCTGTGGGTCGGGACCCCATTTGGGGTCGAACGACCATTTCATGGGGGTCGCCAAACAACGCAGTCCGCCATTTTTTTCCCCCTTTTCCTTAGCTGTGCTACTCCCTTTTATTCTATTGGCTTTTGAAAGCCAATAGAATAGACTCTCTTGAATAGAGTCTAATTCTATTGGCTTTCAAAAGCCAATAGGAATTGTCCAGGCTGTCTCTGCCCTGCTGAGCCCGCCAAAAGTCCCATTCTGCAAACCGTGCTGCACCAGTTGAGTAGTCCTCGACTTACGACCGGTTGGGGGTCGCGGCATTAAAAAGGTTGAGAACCACTGCACTAGGCAAATGCTTGTAAACTGAGGAGTATCTGGATTGGTATTCCATGCCCAAGGATTATCTAGTCCAGGGGTAGTCAACCTTGGCTCTTTTATGACTTGTGGACTTCAACTCCCAGAATTCCTGAGCCAGCCACGCTGGAGGAGAAATAGAGAGGTTTCCATGCTGAGCCATGCTGGCTGGGGAATTCTGGGAGTTGAAGTCCACGAGTCATAAAAGAGCCAAAGTTTCTCTCATGCTGGCTCAGGAATTCTGGGAGTTGAAGTCCACGAGTCATAAAAGAGCCAAAGTTTCCCTCATGCTGGCTCAGGAATTCTGGGAGTTGAAGTCCACCAGTCATAAAAGAGCCAAAGTTTCCCTCATGCTGGCTCAGGAATTCTGGGAGTTGAAATCCACGAGTCATAAAAGAGCCAAAGTTGCCTACCCCTAATCTAGGGGTATTGTGCTTTATCCAGCCCTATAGATTCACCTCTCATCTTAGGGCAGGGGTAGGCAGCCTTGGCTCTTTTATGACTCGTGGACTTCAATTCCCAGAATTCCTCAGCCAACATGGCTCAGCATGGAAACCTCTCCATTTCTCCTCAGCATGGCTGGCTCAGGAATTCTGGGAGTTGAAGTCCACGAGTCATAAAAGAGCCAAGGTTGACTACCCCTGTCTTAGGAGTTCGTGTCTCCCCAGTTTATAAGCCCTCAGGGGCTCCCTAGGCTTCCAATGATTGTGTATTATGAACCAAGCCCTTAAAATGGGTGAAAATATCCTTTGCAGGCAAGTCCCATGTCAGCTCAGCCAACTCTGGTTTAGAATAGGATAGACTAACAGAGTTGGGACCTTGGAGGTCTTCTAGTCCAACCCCGTGCTCAGGCAGGAAACCCTATACCAGGGGTCTTCAAACTTGGCCATTTTACGACCTGTGGACTTCGACTCCCAGAATTCCTCAGCCAGCGTGCCTGCCTCAGGAATTCTGGGAGTTGAAGTCCACAACCTGGGGTCTTGGCCCTTTCATGACTTGTGGACTTCAACTCCCAGAATCCCTCAGTCAGTGTGCCTACCTCAGGAATTCTGGGAGTTGAATTCCACAAGTCATGAAAGGGCCAAATTTGAAGACCCCGTGTCCTATACCTTTTCAGACAAATGGCTGTCCAGTCTCTTCTTAAAACGTCCAGTGTTGGAGCATTCACAACTTCTGGTGGCAAGTCGTTCCACTAGTTAATTGTTCTGTCAGGAAATTTCTCCTCAGTTCCGGGTTGCTTCTCTCCTTGATTAGTTTCCATCCGTTGGTTCTTGTTCTGCTTTCAGGTGCTTTGGAGAAGAAGTTGACTCCCTCTTCTTTGAGGCAGCCCCTCACATATTGGAAGACTGCTATCATATCACCCCTGGCCCTTCCCTTCATTAAACTAGACATACCCAATTCCAGCAATCGTTCTTTGCTTAATAAGAGAGTTAAAAGTCAGTTATGTCTTAACCAAGAGGCAATCTGGCAGAAGGAGGGAATTATCCCTGCCCCACCAGGTTAAAATTCAAGTCCCCTTTTACAGAAATCCGGAAGAACAAATTGGAAGGGACCCTTGAGGTCCTCTAGCCTGACCCCCCCCCCGCTCAAGTAGAAAATCCTATCCCCATTCAGGACCAATCGCTCTTCGATCTCTTCTTGATGGATCTTTTTGACGTTTTTCAGGGTCATGTGGACCGACTGGGAAGCCTCTCGCCACATTTGCAAGTCCCTACTGGAGGCCAAAGTGTATTCCCGATTGGTCGACTTCGACAGCCACCTGGATGACATCAGACAAGACTGGACCAATCAGCAGCTGAACGTGGAAATCGCCCAGTTGGTATCGGTAGCCAATGGCAGTGCTTGAAGGAGGAGCCGGGCCAATTTGTAAGGATCTTTAAACCAGCTTCGTTAGGAGCATCCGGGATGTCGGATTAGCCCAGATAGAAGCCAGGATCACGTGATCGAGGCCCCGCCCCTTTCTAACGGCAAGGCTGCCATCTTGACTGTCTTATCTCCTCCCGCCCCAACGAGACGCCTCTCTTGAAGAAGGATGAATTTGCTTCGAAATTTGTGTTGTTTTTAATTTATTCCATCTTTGCAAAAGCAATTTGCCCCAACCAAATTCTTGTTTTTTAAAAAAGGAGGGATTTAACCCCCTCCCCGTTTTATCCAGGTAGTCCTCGAACTTACGACCACACTTGAACCCAAAATTTCTGTTGCTAAGCGAGACATTGGCTAAAGTTAAGTTTTGCCCCATTTTAACACCTTTCTTGAATCACTGTTATTTGATAAGTTAGTAACCTGGTCGTTAAGTGAGGCCGCAAAAGGGGATCCCGTGACGCGGCGACCATCGTAAATATGGACCCTCTGAATTTCGAGCGTGGGGAGGCTGCAACGATCGTTAAGTCTAGAAAAAAGTTGTACGTCCCTTTTTTTCAGCGTGGTTGTTAACTCTGAGTGGTCGCTAAACGAAATGTTGTAAATCGGGGACAACCTGGAATTTCAGAAGATTTTATTTCATCGGCGCGGTTTAAGATTTTATATGTATAAAACCCGTCGGATTCCAGAGAGAGAAGCCCAACTGCAATTCTTCGCCTAGGGCCCGAATTAAACGTTTCCTCTCACCAGGTTTTAAAAATCTGTTTATTGAAAGAGGATCAAGTTGATCAGGGAAGGAAAAAAGGGTCTGGGAGGTGACCTGATCGCTGGCTGAACCCTTTAGTAGATCATCCCTTTGTTTTCATCCCGGGGCTTCTTAATCTTGTCAAAATTCTTCAGGATGCTGTCGTAGGTCACAGCCTGGCAAGAGAGAGGAGAGGGGAAATCACAGGGGGTCTGGCCAGAAGGATAATATAGAATTAGAATAGAGCAGTGGTTCTCAACCTTTTTAATGCCGTGACCCCCAACCGGTCGTAAGTCGAGGACTACTCAACCGGTCGTAAGTCGAGGACTACTCAACTGGTACAGCACCGTTTGCAGAATGGGACTTTTGGCGGGCTCAGCAGGGCAGAGACAGCCTGGACAATTCCTATTGGCTTTTGAAAGCCAATAGAATTAGACTCTATTCAAGAGAGTCTATTCTATTGGCTTTCAAAAGCCAATAGAATAAAAGGGAGTAGCACAGCTAAGGAAAAGGGGGAAAAAATGGCGGACTGCGTTGTTTGGCAACCCCCGTGAAATGGTCGTTTGACCCCAAATGGGGTCCCGACCCACAGGTTGAGAACCACTGGAATAGAGAATAGAATAGAATAGAACAGAATAAGAATAGAACAGAATAGAACAGAACAGAATACAATATTAGAATAGAATAATATTAGGATAGGATAGGATATGATAATATTAGAATAGAATAGAATAGAATAGAATAGAATAGAATAGAATAGAATAGAATAGAATACAATTACAATAGAAGAACAACAGAAAATATGGAATGGAATGGAATAGAATAAAATTAGAATAGAGAACCATGGAAAGAATGGAAAGGAATAGAAAATATGGAATATAATAGAATAAAATTAGACTAGAGAACAGAACAGAAAATACGGAATGGAATGGAACATGGCAATTTTAAAAGGCGTGGTGGACTTCAAATCTTGAGATTATTTTTCTCCTGTATCCACCGTAACAGAATAACGGAGCTGGAAGGGACCTTGGAGGTCTTCTAGTCCAGCCCCCTGCTTAGGCAGGAGACCCTATATACCATTTCAGACAAAGGGCTGTCCAGTCTCATCTTAAAATCTTCCACTGTTGGAGGAGGGAGGGGAAAAAAAAATAACAGAATAACAGACTCGGAAGGGACCTTGGAGGTCATTTAGTCCAGCCCCCTGCTCAGGTAGGAGAACCTATAGCAGGAGTAGGCAACCTTGGCTCTTTTTATGACTTGTGGACTTCAACTCCCAGAATTCCTGAGGCAGCATGAGGGAAACTTTGGCCCCTTCATGACTCGTGGACTTCCAACTCCCAGAATTTCTGAGCCAGCATGGCTCAGCTTGGAAACCTCTCCCTTTCCCCTCAGCAGTTGGGAGTTGAAGTCCACGAGTCATCAAAGGGCCAAGTTTGAAGACCCCCAGCCTTACGTGTGAAAAACGGTCATTAAGTCACTTTTTTCAGTGCCGTTGTGACTTCGAACGGTCACTAAACAAACTGTCGTAAGTTGGGGACTAGAGTCATTAATAAGAAATAAATTAATTCATTAAAAAAAACAAGAACAAATTAAAAAAAAAAAAGCCAAGGGCTGTCTTGATGGACCACCGGGTCTTTTTCGGCCGTTCGGTTTTCTCTCTTTCTAAATTTCCCCGAAGTTTCTCGGCCGATGGATCAAGGGGAGGATTAAGAGAGGAACGCTTATCTCTCCGTGACATCCTTGGATGGGACGGGGCTCCCGTTTGGCCAATTTTGGAGAGATTTGTGTGAAAGGTGGCAGGTTTTGGGGTTATTTTTTTTAATTCCTGTACAGAATTCTTCAGCTCTCGGAGGGGGGGGTGTTGAGATCATCGTTCAGGTTTTTTTGGTGGGGGGGGGAATAAAAATGTTGGGTGAAACAGCCTCAGCATTGACCTCCCCACAAGGACTCACGTAAATGTTTCTCAGTTCGTTGACCATGAATCGGATTTCGGCATATTCCGCTTCGTCGATCTCATGGACCAGCTGGCGGTAGTCGCCCTGTAAGCGACGGAGAGAAGGAACAAACAAACGTTTGAGCAATGACACCGTTTCGCGTTCGATCCCGGCTCGCAAAGATTTAATGGAAAGGGAGGGAGACGTACCACGTGGGGAGTCTTAGCAGCTTTGGCTACGGCATCGCCCCGTTCAGAATAATACCTTGAGACACGGAGAAAAGAGAATTTAAACCTCAGAGAATTAAGGGCACATTTTCACCGTGAGAGAAAGAGGGGTGAAGTCGATGGCGTCTCGGGTTCTAGTCCTCCCACAACCATAAAAGCTCCCAAGAGGGACTCCGGGCTGGTCCCTTCCTGTCAACCCAGCCTACCTTGCAAGGCTGTTGCGGGGAACAGGCTAGAAACCAGGAGTCGGTAAGTTCTAGTCTTGCCTTAAGCAAGAAAGTCGGCTGGGTGACTTTGGGCCAATCACCAGGAGGCAGTGAGTTCTAGTCCCACCTTAGGCATGAAAGCCAGCTGGACGACTGGGCCAATCACCAGGAGAGGGAAGAGTTCTATTCCCGCCTTAGGCATGAAAGCCAGCTGGACTGGGCCAATCACCAGGAGACACCGAGTTCTAGTCCCGCTTTAGGTATGAAAGCCAGCTGGGCGATTTTGGGCCAATCACCAGCAGACGGAGAGTTCTAGTCCCGCCTTAGTCATGAAAGCCAGCTGGGCGACTTTGGGCCAATCACCAGGAGACTGGGAGTTCTAGTTCCATCTTAAGCGTGAAAGCCAGCTGGACGACTGGGCCAATCACCAGGAGACGGAGAGTTTTAGTCCCGCCTTAGGCATGAAAGCCAGCTGGACTGGGCCAATCACCAGGAGACACCGAGTTCTAGTCCCGCTTTAGGTATGAGAGCCAGCTGGGTGACTTTGGGCCAATCACCAGGAGACGGAGAGTTCTAGTCCTGCCTTAGTCATGAAAGCCAGCTGGGTGACTTTAGGCCCATCACCAGAAGTCAAGTTCTAGTCTAGACCAGGAGTAGGCAACCTTGGCTCTTTTATGACTCGTGGACTTCAACTCCCAGAATTCCTGAGCCAGCATGGCTCAGCTTGGAAACCTCTCCCTTTCCCCTCAGCATGGCTGGCTCAGGAATTCTGGGAGTTGAAGTCCACGAGTCATAAAAGAGCCAAGGTTGCCTACCGCTGCTCTAGAGGATGGCGTTTCCCATCCCTGCCAGGAAAACTTTTTAAATAAATAAAAAAAAATCTGCATTTTTGCCAGCTGCAAAGCTGCAGAGAGACTGGATCCGAGCTGCAGACTGAGGCCTCGGTTCTCTCGGCATCCTGAGGCAAGAATTCATCGTTCCACCGGTCCCTCTTGTTGGGCCAGATCTGATTGTTCTATAATCTGACCGATCTCTGAGACGTGTCTCCGTTTTATCGCCGCTGGATCTTAGGGCAAGACGATTAGTGCAGTGGAAGAAGGCGGCTTCCTTGGGAGTGACTTGCAGTTGAGGCATAAAGCAAGGTCCAAGGTTGAACTACTAAAACTATTAAAATAGATTTTCACGCCTAACAAGTTCAGCTCACCAGCAGCAAAAAGTTCTATTCTTTTAAATTGGGGCAAGGCATTTTTTTTTTTTTTTTAAGCCTAGGCGCAGGCAACCTTGGCTCTTTTATGACTGGTGGACTTCAACTCCCAGAATTCCTGAGCCAGCCACGCTGAGGGGAAAGGGAAAGGTTTCCGAGCTGAGCCATGCTGGCTCAGGAATTCTGGGAGTTGAAGTCCACGAGTCATAAAAGAGCCCAGGTTGCCTACTCCTGTCTTAGGGGTTCATGTCTCCCCAGTTTATAAGCCCTCAGGGGCTCCCTAGGCTTCCAAAGATTATATTATGAACCAAGCCCTTAAGATGGGTAAAAACATCCTTTGCAGGCAAGTCCCATGTCAGCTCAGCCAACTCTGGTTTAGAATAGGATAGACTGACAGAGTTGGAAGGGACCTTGGAGGTCTTCTAGTCCAACCCCCTGCTCAGGCAGGAAACCTTATACCAGGGGTCTTCAAACTTGGCCCTTTTATGACTTGTGGACTTCAACTCCCAGAATTCCTCAGCCAGCGTGCCTGGCTAAGGAATTCTGGGAGTTGAAGTCCACCAGCAGGGGTCTTCAAACTTGGCCCTTTTATGACTCGTGGACTTCAACTCCCAGAATTCTTGAGCCAGCCACGCTGAGGGGACAGAGAGAGGTTTCCAAGCTGAGCCAGGCTGGCTCAGGAATTCTGGGAGTTGAAGTCCACATTGATTTAGCGACCGTCAAAGCTACAAAAGCACTGAAAAAAAAACCCTGACTTAGGACCGTTTTTCACGCTTACGACCGTTGTGGTATCCCCATGATCACGTGATCAAAATTCAGGGGCGGTTTTTACGACAGTTGTGGAATCCAGGGGATCAAGTGATCGCCATTTGCAACTTTTTTTTTTTTTTGCAAAATCAACGGGGGAAGCCGGATTCGCTAAACGACCGTGTGATTCACTTAACGACGGAAACATAAGGAAGTGGCCCACTTCTTGAATCTGCATTCAGGCTTACTTGGAGATGTGTGTTTGAAATCCTTCCAGCTTCGTCCGGACTGAGGTCAATAATTCATAGACTTTTTCCTAGAACAGAGAGAGAGAGAGAGAGAGAGAGAGAGAGAGATGGGGGGGAGGGAGAGAGGGAGGGAGAGGGAGAGAGAGAAGGGAAAAATAATAATTTAATTATAATTATAAGGTAAAGCAGTGTTTCTCAAACTCAGCAGCTTTAAGATGGGTGGACTTCAACTCCCAGAATTCCCCAGCCAGCATGCTTTAAGATGGGTGGACTTCAACTCCCAGAATTCCCCAACCTACATGCTTTAAGATGGGTGGACTTCCACTCCCAGAATTCCTCAGTCAGCATGCTTTAAGATTGGGTGGACTTCAACTCCCAGAATTCCCCAACCTACATGCTTTAAGATTGGGTGGACTTCAACTCCCAGAATTCCCTAGCTAACTTGCTTTAAGAGGAGTGGACTTCAACTTCCAGAATTCCTCAGCCAGCATACTTTAAGATGGGTGGACTTCAACTCCCAGAATTCCCCAGCCAGCATGCTTTAAGATGGGTGGACTTCAACTCCCAGAATTCCCCAACCTACATGCTTTAAGATGGGTGGACTTCCACTCCCAGAATTCCTCAGTCAGCATGCTTTAAGATTGGGTGATGACTTCAACTCCCAGAATTCCCCAACCACATGCTTTAAGATTGGGTGGACTTTGACTCCCAGAATTCCCTAGCTAACTTGCTTTAAGAGGAGTGGACTTCAACTCCCAGAATTCCTCAGCCAGCATACTTTAAGATGGGTGGACTTCAACATGGCTGGGGATTCTGGGAGTTGAAGTCCCGCCCATCTTAAAAGCTGCTGAACCTGAGACATATTGATGTAACGGTGGGAGAGAGTTTCTGAAGTAGAATATGAAGGAAGAAAAATGTAAATAAGAAACAACGGGGCAATAAGGATAAATATTCTAAAGAAGAATAAGGCGGGAAATGTAAATAATAGACATAATTTACTTGGACTTCAGTAATGCATTTGATAAAGTAGATCACAACCTACTACTTGACAAGATAGAAAAATGTGGGATAGACAGAACCACCACCAGATGGATCCGTAGCTGGCTGACCGGCCGTACTCAGCGAGTGGTCCTCAATGGAACTGCATCTATATGGAGGGAAGTGTGTAGTGGGGTGCCCCAGGGCTCTGTTCTGGGCCCAGTACTCTTCAATATCTTCATCAATGACTTGGATGAAGGGATAGATGGGGAACTCATCAAATTTGCAGACGACACCAAGCTGACAGGAATAGCCGACACTCCAGAAGACAGGCTTTAGATACAGAAGGATCTGGACAGACTTGAACACTGGGCACTAACTAACAAAACGAAATTCAATGGTGAAAAAAGCAAGGTTCTACGTTTAGGCAAGAAAAACCAAATGCACAAGTACAGCATAGGTGGCACCATGCTCAATAGTAGTAACTGTGAGAGGGACCTCGGAGTCCTAGTAGACAATCACTTAAATATGAGCCAGCAGTGTGCTGCAGCTGCCAAAAAGGCCAACACAGTGCTAGGCTGCATTAACAGAGGGATAGAATCAAGATCACGTGAAGTATTAATACCACTCTTTAATGCCTTGGTAAGGCCACACTTGGAATACTGCATCCAGTTTTGGTCACCACGATGTAAAAAAGATGTTGAGACTCTAGAAAGAGTACAGAGAAGAGCAACAAAGATGATTAGGGGACTGGAGGCTAAAACATATAAGGAACGGTTGCTAGAATTGGGTATGTCTAGTTTAACGAAGAGAAGGACAAGGGGGGACATGATAGCAGTGTTCCAATATCTCAGGGGCTGCCATAAAGAAGAGGGAATTAAGCTATTCTCCAAAGCACCTGAAGGCAGGACAAGAAGCAACGGGTGGAAACTAATCAAGGAGAGAAGCAACCTAGAACTAAGGAGAAACTTCCTGACAGTGAGAACAATTAATCAGTGGAACAGCCTGCCTCCAGAAGCAGTAAATGCTCCAACACTGGAAGTTTTTAAGAAGAGACTGGACAGCCATTTGTCCGAAATGGTGTAGGGTTTCCTGCCCGAGCAGGGGGTTGGACTAGATGACCTCCAAGGTCCCTTCCAACTTTACTTTACTACTACTACTACGTAATCGCTGTTAAAAAAAGAGGGGGGGAGAAGTATACACTGCGTGCGTATGTGTGTTATGTTTTGCTTTGTTTTGTTGGTTAAAAATAAAAAAAAATGGAAAAAAAAAGGAAGATAGTTTCTGAAAATCATCTGGATATTTCCAAAGAAAAGAGAACTGAGGCAGTTGGGGAACGAGGGAAACTCACCTGCACCGCAACACCAAAATTATTCCCGTCTTCAATCCGGGGAACGAGGAGCTGCAGCCAGAGAGAAATCTGGAAAAAAGAGAATAGATCCCAGCTCAGCGTCTTTCCTGCAAACTTGCCAAGACAATCAGCCAGGGATCCCCCTGCAGTTGCTCACCACGTTCAGTTTCTCCTTGGCGCCCTGGATCTCGGGTTTGACCCGGTTCAGCAGAGCCGTGATCTTGTCGTTGTGGCAAACCGGACCACACGGTGGAGCTGAGAAAGGAGGAGAGACCAGGATTGGTTTTTTTTTTTTTTTTTGCAAAGGCCGCTGGGAAAAACATGGCCGCCCTTAAACACGCGATGTGGAAAAACGGAAGAGAAAATATACTATTTCCCCGATGGAAAGGTTAGCAGAGCTTTGTTACATTTCGTTATCAGGTAGCCCTCGATTTAGAACATAGGCTAACGGAAGGGACCCTGGAGGTCTTCTAGTCCAGCCCCAGCTCAAGCAGGAAACCCTACTACGCCATTTCAGACAAAGGGTTGAAAACCTCCAGTGATCGAGCAAGGAAGATGACTAGGAAGCCGGAGGCTAAAACGTGAAGAACAGAACATGGTAACAGAATAACAGAGCTGGAAGGGACCTTGGGAGGTCATCTAGTCCAACCCGCTGCTCAGGCAGGAGTCCCTACACCAGGGGTCTTCAAACTTGGCCCTTTGATGACTTGTGGACTTCAACTCCCAGAATTCCTCAGCCAGGCACGCTGGCTTAGGAATTCTGGGAGTTGAAGTCCACAAATCCTAAAAAGGCCAAGTTTGAAGACCCCCTGCCTTAGACCATTCCACATAAGGCAACTAACGTTGTAAAACGGGGCAAAACTGTGGATTTTTTAAACACCCCAAAAACTGAGGCTCCATTTTGGTCCTCAGGTCACTAAATGAAGAGTTTTAAGTTCAGGACCCCCTGTAAACTTGCTCAGGCTGGCACCTAGCTAATAAAACTGGGATTCGCGGTCAGAAATAATAATAATGCCTCTACTAAAAAAAAAAAAAGAGATTCAGCTTAGGAACTTTGCATAGGCAGATCTTGTTAATCAAGGAGGTATTTTTTTTTTAAAATAATGGTGCAACGCTAAATTGCCTTCACGCCCTCCGCCAGAGGCCTCTTCCCGCCTCGCTAAACCCAGTTCAACTCAGCTGCTCGGCCAGAAAGCTGGTCTGCTCAGCTCCCGTCTTTTCATAAGATTGTGGTTAGTTAAAAAAATTGAAAAAAAAAAAATTAAAAAGTCTAGAGCAGCGTTTTTCAAGCTGGGCCCCTTTTAAGATGGGTGGAGTTCAACTCCCAGAATTCCCCAGCCAGCTGGGAGCTGAAGTCCACCCATCTTAAAAGGGCCCAGGTTGAAAAAACACTCTTCTAGAAGACATGCCCCTTTTTAAGTTAAAAAGGGACAGAGCTTCAGTCTTGAGCCCCATCCTAACTTTTTTGACCTTGTAAAGGGCTTCTGGGCGAGGCTCGACTTGGGAATACCGCAGATTCTCTTTTTTTCCCTAAAAAGTCCTCTCAACCCCTCTGTACCTTTTTCTTCATCCTCCGACGACTTCTTAGAACTCTTCTCTTCTTTTTTGTCCTCCTTCTCTTCTTTCTGCAGGGAGGGAGGGACGGAGGGAAGGAAAGGAGGGAAGGAGGGAAGGAAGGAGGGAGGGAGGGAAGAATGGAGGGACAGAAAGGAGGAGGAAGGGTGGGAGAGAGGGAAAGGAAGGAAGGAAGAAGAGAGGGAGGGAGAGAAGGGAGGAGGGAGGGAGGGAGAGAGGGAAGGAAGGAAGGGGTAGGGAGGGAGGGAAGGGAGAATGGAGGGAGGGAGAATGGAGGAGCAAGAGTGGGAGAGAGAGAAAGGAACGAAGGAAGGAAGAATAGAGGGAGGGAGAGAAGGGAGGAGGAAGGGAGGGAGGGAGAGAGGGAGGGAAGGAAGGGAGAATGGAGGAGCAAGAGTGGGAGAGAGAGAGAAAGGAAGGAAGAATAGAGGGAGGGAGAGAAAGGGGGAGGAAGGGAGGGAGGGAGAGAAGGAGGGAGGGAAGGGAGAATGGAGGGAGAGAATGGAGGAGCAAGAGTGGGAGAGAGAGAAAGGAAGGAAGGAAGGAAGAATAGAGGGAGGGATAGAAGGGAGGAGGAAGGGAAGGAGGTAAAGAAGGAAGGAAGGAAGGAAAGAAGGAAGGAAGGCAGGAGAGAGGGAAGGAAGGAAGAATGGAGGGAGAGAGGAGGGAGAAGGGAGGAAGGAGGGAGAGAGGGAAAGAAGGAAAGAGGGAGGGAGAAAGGAAGGAAGGAAGGAGATGAGGCGGGAGAAGAGTTACATGATCAAAATGAGATTTCGCACATTAAACTGAGATGTTCCATTTAGCCACCTAAAATCGGGCCCAGCTGTGCTCGTTCCGTGGAGGACGACCTGTGAAAATTAATTACGGGCCTGCCAGATCCTTGTGATTTAAAACGCCTTTCATCACCCTCAAAGGAACTGCCAGGGCAAAATCGGGGTGTGGAAGAATTAGGACACCCCACAGCCGTTTCCCAACAGGGCAGGGTGGATTAAATAAATAAATAAATAAAAAAACCCCAAGTCGGTGCCAAGATATTCCTTTTATCCCTCTGGGCAGAGGAGAAGGTAGAAATTAAATCGGGCTGGAATCGTAACAGGATCGACTCCTTTTCTTTGGCTGGTTGAATTCCAGCTGGAAAAAAGAGGGAGATTTTTTGCCCTTTGCAAGCTTGACTGGGTCTCTTGGGGAAAGTGGGGGGGGGGGTGAGGGAAGGAGAGATCAACCTTCCCTGCAGGGATCTCCAGAGGGGATCCGGGATGAGAATCAGCCTTTCGTTCAAGGACACAAAAGATCCAGAACTTTTAGAGTCAACAGACTTTTCTGGGATGTGAATCTGTCCTCTAGGTCTGGATGAATACACTTGGAGTGTTTGGCCACTTTAAGAGGGGTGGACTTCAACTCCCAGAATTCCTTGGCCAGCCATGAATTCTGGGAGTTGAAGTCCACCCTTTTTAAAGTGCCCAGAGAATAGAATAGAAATTAGAATAGAATAGAAATTAGAATAGAAATTAGATTAAAATATAAATTAGAATAGATTAGAAATTAGATCAGGAATTAGATTACATTAGAATAGAATAGAATATAAATTAGAATAAAATAGATCAGAAATTAGATTAGAATAGAATAAAATAGAATAGAAATTAGAATAAAATCATTCAAAATTAGATTAGAATAGAATAAAATAGAACAGAAATTAGAATAGAATAGATTAGAAATTAGAATAGAATAAGGAATAGAACACAATAGAATAGAATAGAAATTAGATTAGAATAGATTAGAATAGAATGGAAATTAGATTAGAATAGAATGGAAATTAGATTAGAATAGAATAAAATAGAATAGAAACTAGAATAGAATAGAATAGAATAAGGAATACAATAGAATAGAATAGAATAGAAGCTGGAAGGGACCTTGGAGGTCATCTAGTCCAACCCCCTGCTCAGGCAGGAAACCCTAGACCAGGGGTAGGCAACCTTGGCTCTTTTATGACTCGTGGACTTCAACTCCCAGAATTCCTGAGCCACCTAGACCATTTATAAGAGCCGAGGTGGCGCAGCAGTTAGAGTGCAGTACTGCAGGCCACTTTAGCTGACTGTGTTCAGCAGGTCAGCGGTTCAAATCTCACCGGCTCAAGGTTGACTCAGCCTTCCATCCTTCCGGGGTAGGTAAAATGAGGACCCAGATTGTTGGGGGCAATGTAAATATATATATATACATTGCTTACTGGTGTACACCGCTTAGAGAGTGCTTGCACTTAAAGCGGTATATAAGTCTCATAAATAAATAAATAAATAAATAAATAAATAAATTTCATACAAATGGCTGTCCAGTCTCTTCTGCTCTAAGACCTCTCTGCATGCTAACCAGACTACCAAAATAGGAATTTCAAACCCCGTAAAGGACTTTTGCCAACTTACCGGCCAAACAAACCAGGATTACGAATAACTCACCCACATCCACTTTGCAAGCCATTCAAGTCAACGGATTATTTGCACGTGGTCCAGAGAGAGGATAGGGCAAAGAGCAGCCACGTTTTCATGCGCCAAAAACGCCCACCCGAAACGCCAGCCTCGCAGCCTTCAACGCAATAATTGTGGGTTTTGCTTACCTCCTTCTGTTTGCGACGTTCCTCGTCCTTCTTGGGATCCGGCACGGGAATATCTAATTCGGCCCGGAGCGAAATGAGATCCTCCACGTTCAATTCAGGGGCCTAGAAACAGACAGCGGAAATATTTTGCTCCCTTGTTGACACGCTCTATCCCTTAATCTGAGCTTCGTCTTTTTTTAGATTGGGTGGCCAACGGGATTCACACTCATGACCCGCTTGGTTTTGCCTTCCCCTTAGAATCTTTTAGGAAGAAGACAATCAAGCAAGGTAGGAAAACTCATTCGACAGGTGTAATACAGGTAGTCCTCGATTTACGACTACAATTGGGAGCAGAACGTCCGTCGCTAAACAAAGCAGTTGCTAAGTGAGTTACGTCCAATTTTATAACCTTTTATGTTAAGTGAATAGCCCCCCCCCTGACTTTGTCCAAAGCTGGTTGGGAAGGCAATGCCACACAACGCCACAACTGTCATAAATATAGGAGAGTTGCCAAGCGCCCAAATTTTGATCACGTGATCCTAGAAATACTGCAACGGTCGTAGGTTTGAGGACTGGCTGTAAAACTTACTTTTTTTTTTTAGCATCACTGTAATTTGGAACGGCTACTATAGCAATAGTCGTAACTTGGGGACTGTCTATACCAGGGGTCTTCCAACTTGGCCCTTTGATGACTTGCAGACTTCAACTCCCAGAATACCTCAGCCAGCTGTGCCTGGTTGGGGAATTCTGGGAATTGAAGTCCACAAGCAGGGCTCTTCCAACTTGGCCCTTTTATGACTTGTGGATTTCAACTCCCAGAACTCCTTAACAAATGTCTCACTTAGCATCAGAAATTTTGGGCTCATTTGTGGTCATGACTTGAGGACTAGCTGCATGGCTCGGTTGCAGATTTTGAGTTTTGAGGGGTTTTTTTGCAGACAATTGTGTCTTCAACCCTTTCACCGCCCCAATAATTCATGGTTCTTTTTTAATCTTTTTTCATTTTCATTTCTCCATCCACCCAAAGGCCAGCCTCACCTTCAGAAAATTACTGAGCTCCACCACTTTCTCAGGAAATCTTCTGGCAACCAGTTCTTCAGCCTGAGGAAGAAAGGAAAGATTAAAAGTCTGAGTGGATTTCAAGAAGAAAAAAGGAAAAGAAGAAAAAAAAAGGGCGGGGTCCATTTCGTGGATGTGCCCAACATGGTCTTTTTACCCATGAAGTGAAATTGAAAAACGTTTTACCTCAAGTGAAAATGAAAACATTTTACATTCAACAAAATAAAAAAAAATGTACATTCAATGAAATTAAAAACATTTTACATTCAACAAAATAAAATTTTTTACATTCAATGAAATTAAAAACATTTTACATTCAACAAAATAAAAAAAAACATTTTACATTCAATGAAATTAAAAACATTTTACATTCAACAAAATTAAAAATATTTTATAATTGTAATGTTTTATGAGACTAAAACGTTTGGTGCCAATAAACCACACCTGCAACCATCTTTAAACATTAATATGGTTGATCGCACAATCAGCCAGATATTCAGAAAATATTATTACTATTATTATTGTTGTTGCTTTGTTGCTGTTTAATATTGTTTTGTTGCTATTTAATTAATATTGTTTTGTTGGTTTCTTGTTGTTATTGTTTGTGTGTTGCATTATTATATTACTATTATTATTATTATTGATTTCTGGCCCTTTCATCTGGTCTTATTTCCGTGTTTTATTTCTGTGTTTTCTTTCTTTTTTTTTATAAAGTTTCATTAAAATTTTTTATACAATTCAATAATAATCATTCAACAAAATGTGTTGTCTGTTTATCTTATTCACTAATACAAATTAAATTCCTAATCCCTAAATGTTTTCTCTAACCGTTGATAAAATAGGTCCCAAGTTTGAAAATGTTTCTTCTTTTTCTTTCAACCTTAAAGTCTGTCCATTTCCGCAGTCTTATTATTGCTGCTATTGTTTGTTGTTTTGTATTATTATTATTATCATTCATCGCACAGTCAGCCAGGTGTTCAGACTGGATTTGGCATTTTGTCTACCTATCGAGTCCTTACCCAGGACCTGGGATAGGCAGATGTGGATGTTTGATGGTATTACAGATATTGTCGCAGGATGGAAGCAGTTCCTAGTAAGGCCGCCTTTTGCAATTGACTAATAGCGAATTTGTCAATGCCAATGGTGTTCAAGTGGTGCTCCAGTTGTTTTGGGATTGCACCCAAGGAGCCTATGACTATTGGTACTACCCTTGCTTGCTTTTGCCACAGTCTTTCTATTTCTATTTGTAGGTCTTTGTATTTTGTTATCTTCTCCAGTTCTTTCTCTTCTATTCTGCTATCTCCAGGCACTGCCACGTCCACTATCCAGACTTTTTTGTCTTTCTTATCGACAATTGTTAAGTCTGGGGTGTTATGTTGCAGGTGCTTGTCTGTTTGAATTCTGAAGTCCTAGAGCAGTTTAATTTTATCATTTTCTATGACTTTCTCTATTTTATGATCCCACCAGTTTTTGCTTACAGGCAAATGATATTTTTTGCAGATCTTCCAATGCACCATTGTTGCTACTTTGTCATGCCGCTGCTTGTAATCAGTCTGTGCAATCTTCTTGCAACAGCTTACCAAGTGGTCCACTGTTTCTTCAGCTTCTTTGCATAGGCGGCACTTACTGTCTGTTGCTGTCTTCTCAATTTTGACTTTGTATGCATTTGTCCTTAAGGCTTGGTCTTGTGCAGCCAGAATTAGTCCCTCGGTCTCTTTCTTCAATTTTCCTGCTCTTAGCCATTGCCAGGTTTTATTATTATCTGCTTTCCCAGCTATTTTTTTCATGTATTGGCCATGTAGTGCTTTGTCTTCCCATGCCTCTATTCTGTTCTTCATTTGGTCTTTCTTGTAGGCCAGTTTGGTCTCTCCAGTAGTTAGTAAGCCTTCCTGATATACTAATTTCAGTGCATCTTCATCATTGTTCTTCAGATATTCTTCCAAAGCCATTTTTTCTTCTTCAACCATCTGATGTACTTGTAGCATTCCACGCCCACCTATTTGCCTTGGTAGATAAAGTCTATCAATGTCACTGCGTGGATGAAGGGCGTGATTCATTGTCATTATTTTTCTGGTCTGCCTATCCATTGCTTTTAGTTCTGCTTGAGTCCAGTCCACTATTCCAGCTGTGTACCTAATGACTGGATTGCCCAGGTGTTGATTGCCTTTATGGTATTTCCTCCATTGAGTTTGGATTTTAAGATCTTCTTCACTCTCTTGATGTATTCACCTCTAATCTTTTTCTTGACTTCAGTGTGCTTGATGTTGTCAGCTTGAAGGATACCCAAGTATTTGTAGTATTCTTCCTCGTCCAGACTCTTAATGTTATTTTCGTGGGGCATCTTGATTCCTTCAGTTTTCACTATTTTTCCTTGTTTGATAGTAAGTGTGGCACATTTGTCCAAGCCAAACTCCATTACAATATCTTGGCTATATATACGGACAGTGTTGAGCAGCGATTCTATTTCAGATGATGTTTTTCCATACAGCTTCAGATCATCCATGTAAAGGAGGTGGGATAGTCTAGCAGATGTTTTTGATGTTTGATAACCATGTCCTGAGTTATTCAGTATTGTTGACAGAGGAAACAGTGCAATAACAAATAGTAATGGTGATAATGAATCTCCTTGAAATATTCCTCTCTTGATATTAACCTCTCCCAGCCTCTCACCATTGATCTGCAACTGTGTCTTCCATTGTGCCATCGATCTTTGCACAAATTTTCTGATGTTTCTACTGACTCCTGTTATTTCTAGGCACTTTATTATCCAATCATGTGGCAGAGAGTCAAATGCCTTTTTGTAGTCAATCCATGCCACATTCAGGTTGGTCTTCCTTCTCTTGCAGTTTTCCAAGATCATTTTGTCTATTAGGAGTTGATCTTTTGTTCCTCTGCTATTGGGGCGGTTTCCTTTCTGCTCAGGTGGAAAGAGATTGTTTTCAACTAGATGCTGTTGTACTGCATCAGCTACCACACCAGTTAGTAATTTGAAAGTTGTTGGTAAGCAGGTAATTGGCCTGTAGTTACCTGGTGTTGCCCCTTTTGCTGGATTTTTCATTATTAGGTAGGTTTTCCCAGTTGTTAGCCACTTTTCAATTTCTCCTCCTTGTAGTATATTGTTGAACTGTTTGGCAATGAGTGGGTGTATAACAGTTAGATGTTTCAACCAAAACCCATGCAGTTCATCTTCACCTGGTGCTGACCAATTTTTGATTTTCTTTGCTCTTTTTTCTACCATTTTTGTTGTTATTACTAGTTCTTTCATTTCAACTTCTGTTTTATTTGCATCCACCTCTTTTAACCAAGCCGCATCCTTGTTGTATTTCTTTGGGTTATCCCATATCTGCTTCCAGAACTGCACTGTTTCTTCCTTGTCAGGTACTGACTGATTCCTTGCAGTTTCTCCATTGATGGATTGGTAGAAACGTTTCTGATTGGATTGAAATTGGAGGTTCTGCCTATAGTTTGCAATTCGAGCTTCATATCTACTGATTTTCCTGGCTATAGCTGTTATTTGTTGCTTTATTATTTCCAGTGCTTCCTTGATCTTCCTTGTTTCTAAGTGGTATTTCTTGATTAGGTATTCTTTGGTCTTCTTGTTCTTCAGCTTCTTTTCTTTCATCTGTTCTAGCTTGCTTGCATGTGATCTTAACTTGCTGATCTTATTTTCTAGTCTAACCTTCCATTTTTGTGGTGCACTGTTTGTTTTTCTTTTTTGTTGATATTATTATTATTATTATTATTATTATTATTATTATTATTATGGATCATCGCACAGTCAGCCAGATGTTCAGACTGGATTTGGCATTTTGTCTACCTATCGAGTCCTTACCCAGGACCTGGGATAGGCAGATGTGGATGTTTGATGGTATTACAGGTATCGTCGCAGGATGGAAGCAGTTCCTAGTAAGGCCGCCTTTTGCAACTGACTAATAGCGAATTTGTCAATGCCAATGGTGTTCAAGTGGTGCTCCAGTTGTTTTTGGATTGCACCCAAGGCGCCTATGACTATTGGTACTATCCTTGCTTGCTTTTGCCACAGTCTTTCTATTTCTATTTGTAGGTCTATTATTATTATTATTATTATTATTATTATTATTATTATTATTATTATTGATTTCTGGCCCTTTCATCTGGTCTTTTTAGTCCTGTGTTTTATTCCTGTATTTTCTTATTTCTAGCTGTTCTCTACATTTGCTGGAATGGGGGGGGGGGCATCATTAGAGGAAGCTACTAAGCGGAAGGCAGAGGAATTGAAGACCCCACAAGTTGCTGTGGACTCAGCAGGGCACAGATTTTCTCTCTCTGTGTGTGGGTGTGTTTGTGTGTGTGTGTGGGTGGGTGGGTGGGTGTGGAGAGGAGGAAAACCGTACCCCCCAATTTCTCACCTGGACGCAAAGGTTTTCCTTGAAGGAGTTCACCTGATGAAGAGAAAGAGAAACAAGGGTGGGGAAAGAAAGCAAAAACTGGGAAGCAGCGCAGCTGCTGGCGCAGAAAAGGACCCCGGGCGCCTGGCCAGGCGCCGGGACACCCGATCCCCCCCCCTACACCTGTTGGACGTCTCGCTCAGCCGGCCGTGTGACAGGAGACGGGATGGGGTGCCAAGCTAGCCCCTCCCTGCCTGCCTGCCGGCTTCTGAACTGGGGACCGTGATCTGATTCACACACCCACCTCATCCAGGCCCCCTCCCGCCTCCATTTCAGCCCCGGGGCTCCACAGCAATCCAACAGGTGAAGCTTTCTCCCTACTGACCCTCCTGCAAACACAGCCCGCCTACCCCCAAAACAGTCCAGTTCCTGAACTCTGATCTGGGATTCCTGTTCCGGTTTCTTTGCCCCTTCCCCCTTCTCCATTTTAGCAGGCTGCTTGGAACAATTCAACCGGTGAAGCTTTTTCTCCTCAAACAGGTCCCAACACCACCACCCCCCATCCTGCTCTGTTTTCTTTGCCCAATCCAAGCTCCCCCTCGCCCATTTTAGCAGGGTCCCTGCCTGGCTGCTTGGAACAATTCAACAGGTGAAGCTTTCTCTCCTCAAACAGGTCCCGAACCCCCCCCCCTCTCCCAGATCTTGCTCTGTTTTCTTGGCCCAATCCAAGCCCCCCCCCCTACCTTCCCCTTCTCCATTTTTAGCAGGGTCCCTGCCTGGCTGCTGGGAGCAATCCAACAGGTGAAGCTTTCTCTTCCCCCCCAAACACCCCCCAAAAAGAGCCGCGCTGGGCGGTTCCCGTTGGGAAAAAAGACCTCTTAGACCCGCTCAGTCACCGTCCAGGCTGAAGTCAAACAGGTGAAGCTTTCTCTTTCCCCTCCCCAAACACCCCAATCTCTCCCCCCCCAAACACCCCAAAAAGAGCCCCGTTGGACTGTTCCCATTGGAACAAAAGCCCCTTAAACCCGCTCAGCCACCCTCCAGGCGGAAGTCCCACAGGGGAAGCAGCTCCCACGCGGTTTACCTGCGCCTCGCACTCGGGGGAGATCTCCAGGGTGGCCATCGGAAGTGGGGGGGCAACGGGGTCTGGGTTTTTTTTTTGCACGTCTGAACGGCTGACCCGAGTCTGGGGGGGGGTTGCAAAGCCGACGGATCCGGGAAGCGACTGGAACAAGCTTTCGCACGAAGCGAAAACGAAAGAGAAGCGGGAGGAGAGAGAAAGAAACTGGGCAGGGCTTCCCGGCGCAGGGAGGCGGGGCCGGGGCCGGGCGGATCGGCAGGCCGACATCCAACCGGTGCAGCCGGCCGGCCAGCCTTTCCCCCCCCGCTGCAAATGCACCGGCGGCTTTGCAGGCTCCCCCAATTGGCAGCAACGGGGCGAGGCGGCCACGCGGGGCGATTCCTTGGTCCTGCACACACGCACGCACGCACAACCGCCTTGCGAGGTAGGCCGGGCGCTGTCCACGGCCCCCGCCCACCCGCGGGGCTGCCTTTGGCAGAAGCACTTCGGATCCTCCGCGATTGCAAAAGGAAGGAATTGGGGGAAGGGGACGTGGGGATTGGGGGGGGGGCCTTGCTGAGACCCGGGGTTCTGCATCCGTCGGGCGCGGTCCTTGGATTTGCCGGGGCGTTTCGTTTCGGTGGGATGAATTCTCTAGTCCAGGCTGAATTTCTCCGCTCTTGGCCCCTTTAAGAGCTGTGGACTTCAACTCCCAGAATTCCCCAGCCAACCAGATTGGATTGGATGGATGGCAAAATGCAGGTAGGTAGGTAGGTAGGTAGGTAGGTAGGTAGGTAGATAGATAGATAGATAGATAGATAGATAGATAGATAGATAGATAGATAGATAGATAGATAGATAGATAGATAGAAATGGAAATATAAAAAAATGGAGATAGATATATAGATAGTATAGAAAAATAGAAATCTAGAAAAATGGAGATAGATAGATGATAGATAGATAGATAGATAGATAGATAGATAGATAGATAGATAGATAGATAGATAGATAGATAAAAGGCAGATAGATAGATGATAGATAGATAGATGGATGGATGGATGGATGGATGGATAGATATGGAAAAACAGAAAAATGGAGACAGAGACAGACACAGACAGATATATAGAAAAATGGAAATAGATATAGAAAAATGGAGATAGACAGACACACAGACATAGATATAGAAAAATGGAAATATAGAAAAATGGAGATAGATATAGATATAGAAAAATGGAAATAGAAAAATGGAGATATATAGAAAAATGGAAATATAGAAAAATGGAGATAGATAGATAGATAGATAGATAGATAAAAATGGAGATAGATGATAGATAGATCGATAATGATAGATATAGAAAAATGGAAATACAGAAAAATGGAGACAGAGACAGACACACAGACAGATATATAGAAAAATGGAAATATAGAAAAATGGAGACAGACAGATAAATAGATATAGAAAAATGGAGATAAAAAAATGTAGATAGATAGTAAAATGGAGATAGACAAATAGAATTATATTTCTGTCTCTGTCTATCCCTGTGAAGAGAAATAAACAATATCATAAGGAAATGCAGAAGAATCTTCTTTGGCTGGACTTGCACCTAATACATTTTGTCCCAACTCCTTAGCCAGCTTGGCACCAAACTTGGAAAAAATATTTCCCACTTATCCTCTTTTCTTCACCATCTTCTCCTCCTCCTCCTTCTCCTCACCACCATTATCATTATGTTCTAGCTCAGTGTTCCTCAACCGTGGCCCCTTTAAGATCTGTGGACTACAACTCCCAGAATCCCCCAGTTTCCCCCACCCACCCCTTTCCAATTCCATCCCTGGAATTTTGGGCGTTGAAGTCCACCCATCTTAAAGGGGTCCAGCTTGAGAAATAAGTGTTCTAGTGGTAGCTGTAGTAAGTTCACTAATTACTTAAAACTACGATGTTAATTAAAAAAACAAAAAAACCAAAGTAAGATAGACTTGGGGTCCGAACCCCGTTTTGTGTCGTGGGACAGCAGAGAGCTCTACTTCTTCGGATCCCCCAGAAACCACAAAGAGAGCTTTCGAAAGCGTCCTCCCTTTATTTGGGCCAAACGACGGAGCGCCCCGACTTATGGCAGGCGTTCAGTTCTGCCTCAGGGCCTCTTTCGGGCTTCCCCGAAGAAAGAGGCCGGCCCCGGGTCTCCCCGGGGAGCACGGGCAGCGGTACCAACATCGGTAGGTGAGGAACCAGCACAGGGTGGCGAGGGCGGCGCCCACGATTTTGTGGCTGTAATCGTACAGGTAGACCACCGTGCATGCCAGCAGGAAGTTCCAGAGCAGCAGGAGGAAGACGTTGAGCAGGAAAATGAGGCGCAGCGGGACCCCAGCGGGGTGACCCTGCGCCAGGTAACGCCGGAAGATGGCCGTCTCTTCCACCATCAGCAGGCAACAGAAGGTCAGCAGGAAAGTGTGATCCGAGACGTCGTAGCCATGCCATTTGTGGCTATTGTGCAGGCAGGTCCACTTGTCCGGCAGGTTGTTGACCAGGATCCCCTCCGGCACGGGGTCGAAGCAGTAGCCCGTCAGGTTCTCGATCAACAGGAAGGCTTCGGTGGCGCCTAGCCAGAGACCGGCGCCCACCGCCAAGCGGGCCAGGTGTCGGAAGGTGAGCAAGATCTGGTGGGTGGCAAGGTAGACCACTAGAAGGATGAAGCCGCCGAGGAAAATGCAGCTCCAGCTCCAGGCGGATCGGACGAATTTTCTGGCCAGGGGTGGGGTGGGGGGTAGAGAAAAAAGAGAGCGTGGGATTGAGGAATCACAGATCCGAAGGGGCTCAGGATGATGGACGCTGTGTGAGGAGAGGAAAAAGAAGCCGGGATCTGCTGCACTAAGCTAAGGTGGCCAGGTGCCACCTGGATATTTTGGTTCCAGGGAAGATGCTGCGAATTACAGGTAATACTCGACTTACGATCACAATCGAACCCAACATTTCTCAGCGAGACGGATGTTAAGTGACGTTTGCCCCATTTTATGACTTTTCTCGCCGTGGGTGTTAAGGGAATCTCTGCAGTCATTCAGTTAGGACAGAGGTAGGCCACCTTAGCTCTTTTATGACTCATGGACTTCAACTCCCAGAATTCCCGAGCCAGCCATGCTGAGGGGAAAGGGAGAGGTTTCCAAGCTGAGCCATGCTGGCTCAGGAATTCTGGGAGTTGAAGTCCACAAGTCATGAAGGGGCCATAGTTCCCCACGCTGGCGGAGGAATTCTGGGAGTTGAAGTCCACCGGTCATGAGGGGGCCATAGTTCCCCCACGCTGGCTGAGGAATTCTGGGAGTTGAAGTCCACGAGTCATGAAGGGGCCAAAGTTTCCCCCATGCTGGCTCAGGAATTCTGAGAGTTGAAGTCCACCGGTCATGAGGGGGCCATAGTTCCCCCACGCTGGCTGAGGAATTCTGGGAGTTGAAGTCCACGAGTCATGAAGGGGCCAAAGTTTCCCCCACGCTGGCTGAGGAATTCTGGGAGTTGAAGTCCACGAGTCATGAAGGGGCATAGTTCCCCCATGCTGACTGAGGAATTCTGGGAGTTGAAGTCCACGAGTCATAAGAGCCAAGGTTGCCTACCCCTGAGTTAGGAACATGGCTGTTAAGTGAGGCTGACTTCCCTGTTGACTTTGCGTGTCAAGACACAGAAGGGGAATCATGTGACACCATCCCCCCTCCGGACACTGCAACCGTCATAAATAGGAATCGGTTGCCAAGTGTCTGAATTTTGATCACGGGACCGTGGGGATGCTGCAACGGTTGTGTAAAAAAGTGGTCCCAAGTTACTTTTTTCAGTGCCGTTGAAACTTTGAACGGTCACTAAATGAACTGTTGTAAGCCGAGGACTTACCTGTATAGATTTTTTTTCGTTCAATTTATGAAGATGCAGTCGAGTAAGAACGGTGAGACTTTACACCAACTAGAGAATGGATTAACGGGAAAACAGGAATGAATAAATGCTGAAATCAAGGGCGGGTAGTCCTCAGCTTACGACTGTTTGCTTACCGACTATTCGAAGTTTCAGGGCCACTTACGATCTGGATTCGTCATGTGATCGCATTTGGAGTGCTCTGCAACCTGTCTACATTTACGACCCTTTGCAGCCATTCGCCCAATGATTTACATGGTTGTTTTGCTGGAAACTGGCATTTCCAGCATAAAACCCCCATTGGTGGGCAATAATTTTAACGACTGCTGTAAAAAAAGGCAGTAAAGAGTCACTTAGTTGAGTTGGGTGGCCATAGAAACTGAATGACTGAATTAATTTTTTTTTTAAAAATCAGGCATGGCCATTTGGTGATCTGCCTAACAACCAGCACGGCTTACGGCCATAATTCAGGCCTCAATTACAATCCTAAGTCGAGAACTTCTTTTGTCTGTTATATGAGGCTGTTAAGGATGGAAGAATGGAATGCAGCAAGCCCATTTTTCCTCTGCTAAGCGTCGTAAATGAGAGTCAGTTGCCGAGCGGCAGAATCTGGATCACGCGAGTGCTGCAACCGTGTGGGGAAAAAAAAAAGTTGTAAGCCTCTTTTTTCCCCCAGAGTTGTTGTAACTTTGAACGGTCACAAAAGGAACGGTTGTGAGGAACTACCTGCAACTTTGGGTAACCTCACGCAAAGCAGAGTTTAAGAAAAAGATGCAAAATGTGTTTTGGAATTAGTCCTTTGTTGAGGTGGGCAACTATAGAAATCTAATCAATAAAATTTAATGTCCTGTTTCCTCCCAAGCTGATGGCTGCCCCCACCATGCTCGCCCCTCTCCTCCTTAGGACCCAGACCCCCCCAAGACACCCCCCCCAATCACTCACATGTTAAAGAAGTTGTGATGGTTGGCAAAGATGGCCCGGGGATTCACGTAGAACTGAAGCAAGGGCCCAAAAATGACCACGACCGCCAGCCAGAGGTGGTAAGCCCGACGGAGGCCTGGCACGCCCAAAAGCCAAGCATACTGGTTGCTCCAGAAAATCACCAGCGCCTGGGCCCAGCCCAAGCTTGTGGCCAGCAGCGAGAAAGGCCTCTTGGGGACCGGTCCTTCTGCCATCCTTTTCCCCTCGGATCGGCCCACCTTAAGGAGGTCGCCGGTGGTGAGGAACGAAGGAGAGAAGAGTCAACGGAAGGGGGGAGAGAGAGAAAAAAGTCATGTAAAAATGATGCCCAGCGACAGCTGCGGCCACGTTGATGAGCTTGGCTGGAACAGCTGATTGAAGGACAGAAGGGCATAAGGATTAGGGGACCGGGGAAAGGGAGGTGGGGGCGCTGGGGAGAACACTTGGAGTATGAGAGCTGGAAGGGACCTTGGAGGTCTTCTAGTCCAGCCCCCTGCTTAAGCAGGAGACCCTATACCCGTGGTGGCGAACCTATGGCACGGGTGCCAGAGGTGGCACTCAAGAGTCCTCACTGTGGGCACGCGTGCCGTCGCCCCAGTCCTAGGCCTTCAGCTGGGTTTTATAAAATGGTTTCTCTTTAGGCCTCCGCTGCCATGTGCAAAAAGAAAAAAAAAAGGTTTAATCAATCACTTTCTGCAGGGGAAAAAAAAGATCTCGCAAAATAGGAATTGATTGAACTTTTTAATTTCCACCCAGTCTGCCGTTACCACCGCAGCCACGCCCACCCAATGGGCCACACCCACCAGGCACCCGAGGATACGTCAGTGGGTTTTGGGTTGCAGTTTGGGCACTCGGTCTCTAAAAGGTTCACCATCACTGCCCTATACCAGGGGTAGGCAACCCAAAACACTCAAAAGAGCCCTTTCAACCCGTTTCCCACCGAAAACAAAACACCGGGAGCCGCAAAACCCTTTTGATATCTACAAGGAAGGTAACATTGCATATATCCTTTTTTATTTTTATTATAGGTGTGTGTGTATAAAATAAAGGTAAAAAAGGATATATGCAGTGTTATCTTCATTGTAGATGTCAAAAGGGTCTCTCTCTCTCTGTCTCTTTCCTCTCCCCTCCCTTTCCTTTTTTTCTTTCCTCTCCCCTTCTCTCCTCTTTCCTCTCCCCTCCCTTTTTCCTCTCCTTTTCCTCTTCCTTTCTTTCCTTTCCCCCTTTCTTCTCCCTCTCTTTCTTTCCTCTTTCTCTCTTTCCTCTCTCTCTCTGTCTCCCACTCCCTCCAGGTGAGGAGAGAATGAAAGGGGGAGGACGACGGGAGGCAGCAGCTCTGTTGGCGGCGGCACAGTGGCGGCCATTGCAGCATCGTTGGGGGTCCCTGCTGCCCCCGGCCCGGCCGTATCCTCGTCCACTTCGCCGTCGCAAGAGAAGGGCGCCAAGGGGACGCTGCTCTCCCTGCAGCGTGGCCCCGCCACCCTCGCAGCCCAAGTCTCCTTTTCCTGCAGCACCGAGGGGGACAGCTCCCCGAAAGCAGCCGAGGAAGGCGCCACCGATGGAGCCAAGGTGGGGCTGGGTGGTGGAGGGCCCCATGGCCGCCAGGCGAGCTTCATGCAGCAGCAGTTCACTGCGATGCTCCAGCCGGATGTCAACAAGTCCTCGCGACCGGCAGCAGCGACGGCAGCAACAGCGGGAGGACAGCGAAGGGGCGTGGCTGCCCGGTCACCGCGGCCTCTCCAACCTCGCTCAGCGCGACTGGCAGTGGTGGTGGCGGCAGTGGGAGGACGGCAAAGGGGCATGGCTACCTGGTCGCTACTGTTGTGATTCCGCACCAGCCTGTCCTCCCAACAGCTGAGTCTGAGGAATCTGAGGAGGAGGTGGTGGAGGCATTTGAAGGGCCATCGGGGGCAGAGGGAAGCTCCGATGAATTTCAGGACTCACGGTTTGATGCAGAGCCTGGGCCCTCCAGTCGTGGTCCTGATGAAGCTCAGCTGTATGAGGAAAATGAGTCAGACTTGGAGGACTCACACCTGATGGACTTGCTAATTGATGCTCGCACATGTCGTCAATTAGCGAGAGTAAATCAGCAGCAGTCAATAAGGCAACTCCAGGGTAAAAGGAAAGGCACTGAGAGGCAACGCCTTGGGACTGCAGTATAAAAAGAGGAGGAATGGACAGTGCTGGTTGCTGAAGGCAACCGTTTGCAAAGTACTTTTTGGAATCCTGGTCTGTTCGTCTTGCTTCTGTTTGCACCATGTTTCCTGTGGACTATTTCCTTCCTTTGGACTTGAGTTTTGCTGTTTGTGTTTTGGACTATTTGGCAGGTTTGTCGCTCATATTAAAAGGAGTTTGTTTTGTTTTAAAGCAGTGGTTCTCAACCTGTGGGTCGGGACCCCATTTGGGGTCGAACGTCCATTTCACGGAGGTCGCCAAACAACGCAGTCCGCCATTTTTTCCCCCTTTTCCTTAGCTGTGCTACTCCCTTTTATTCTATTGGCTTTTGAAAGCCAATAGAATAGGCTCTCTTGAATAGAGTCTAATTCTATTGGCTTTCAAAAGCCAATAGGAATTGTCCAGGCTGTCTCTGCCCTGCCGAGCCCATCAAAAGTCCCATTCTGCAAACGGTGCTGCACCAGTTGAGTAGTCCTCAACTTACGACCGGTTGGGGGTCGCAGCATTAAAAAGGTTGAGAACCACTGTTTTAAAGTCTCCAGCCTATTTCATCAACAAGGGTTTGGTCCTTGTGCCTTTAACAAGGACGGCTATAGGCTGGGATAGAACAGCCGCTGCCGCTCCGGCCTTGCTCAGCTGGAGAGACATGTGGCCAGCTTGGCTTCGCAGCAGTGCTCCATGGACTCAGACCCCCCTCCCTACCCCCGCCACTGACCCTGTCTCTGCTGATGCTTGGCCAACGGTCACACCAGCTGGGCATCGGAGGGGCTGCTCTCCCTCGGGGACGCCATTTGCGGAAGAGCTGGCCCGCTCAGCGGAGGCTCAGGCGGGCCGTTCCCAGCGGGGATCTTGGGGCTTCCCGGCACAGCTCCCCAGACACGTGTACCCCGGACGAGGCCAGCCTGGGAAATAGACTTCGTGGCCGCCCTTTTCCCAGGGGTGGTGGGGCACCTGGGCGCAGGGCCAATCATACGAGCCGAGGTGGCGCAGCAGTTAGAGTACAGGACTGCAGGCCACTTTAGCTGACTGTGTTCAGCAGGTCAGCGGTTCAAATCTCACCGACTCAAGGTTGACTCAGCCTTCCATCCTTCCGGGGTAGGTAAAATGAGGACCCGGATTGTTGGGGGCAATGTAATATATATATATATATATGTAATATATGTGTATATGTATGTGTATGTATGTATATATATATATATATATATACACACACACACACACACACACACACACTGCTTACTGGTGTACACCGCTTAGAGAGTGCTTGCACTTAAAGCGGTATATAAGTCTCATAAATAAATAAATAAGTCGCCCTGCGAGGGGGCAAGTCCACATGAGAGAGAGGGGAAGTGCAACTGCCTCTTTCTCTCTCCTTGTCTCTCTCTGCAAATGGCAGAGGCAGCTCCGGAGCTGCAGGGGATGGCTCAGAGCCGTGGGTTGCCGACCCCTGCCTTCTACCATTTCAGACAAGTGGTTGCCTCCACAACTTCTGGTGGCCAGCTGTTCCACTGGTTAATTGTCCTCACCGTCAGGAAGTTTCTCCTTAATTCCAGGTTGCTTCTCTCCCTGGATCAGTTTCCATTCGTTGCTTCTTGTCCTGCCTTCAGGCGCTTTAGAGCAGTGGTTCTCAACCTTTTTAATGCCGTGACCCCCCCCCCCAACCGGTCCTAAGTCGAGGACTACTCAACTGGTCGTAAGTCGAGGACCACTCAACTGGTGCAGGACCGTTTGCAGAATGGGACTTTTGGCGGGCTCAGCAGGGCAGAGACAGCCTGGACAATTCCTATTGGCTTTTGAAAGCCAATAGAATTAGACTCTATTCAAGAGAGTCTATTCTATTGGCTTTCAAAAGCCAATAGAATAAAAGGGAGTAGCACAGCTAAGGAAAAGGGGGAAAAAAATGGCGGACTGCGTTGTTTGGCGACCCCCGTGAAATGGTCGTTTGACCCCAAATGGGGTCCTGACCCACAGGTTGAGAACCACTGCTTTAGAGAATAACTTGAAACACCCCCCCCCCTGCTTCTCTGGAGCAGCCCCTCAAATATTGCAACGTTACTATCGTGTCTCCCCTAGTCCTTCTTTTCAAAATAACAAAAGAGTTGGAAGGGACCCTGGAGGTCTTCTAGTCCAACCCCCCCCCCCACTTGAGCAGCAGATGCTATGCCATTTCAGACAAATGGCTGTCCAATCTCTTCTTAAAAACCTCCAGCGTTGGAGCACCCACAACGTCCGGTGGCAAGCTGTTCCACCGGTTAATTAAGTCCTCCCTGTTAGGAAGCGTCTCCTTTTTTTCTAGGTCGAACCTCTCTCCTTGATCGGCTGAGCAGAAATCCAAACCGTCAAATTCGAACCACTTTTATTAAGACGGACAGACGTTTCCATCGCCCCTGAAACGGGAGAGGGCCGGGCCCTCCCCTTCTACAAAAACCTAGATTTGGAAGGGAGCCTCAGCACGGCACCCGTACCCCCCCCCCATACCGCAGAAGGCCGGACCCCGGGGAAAGAAGGGGGGGGTCTCCTTCTCCAACTGGAGAAAACAAACAAGGATTTCTTCAGCTCTCACACACAGAGAAGCGACACGTGGCACTTCTCGCTCACCCCTTCCATCATTTAAAAACACACACACACACACACACACACACACACACACACACACACCCCCCTTGCAGAAGCCTCACTGTTATATTTATAGAGCAGGCGAGACCCCCGCCTGTGAGCGTTTCGGAACAAGAGCCGAGGATGTAGTTAGCCCCCCCCCAGAAAGGGCCAAGTTGGGGGACATCTTTTAAGGCTAAAGATGACAGCAAAGCTTGCCCCCCCCCACTTCCAAGGAGGGCTGCCCCCCCCAGAGAAGGGAGAGAAAGAGACTCCTGATTTTGGGGGGGGGGGCTAACAATCTCTAGAAGCTGCTGACATCTTTTGTGCGGCCCTACGAATATCCCGCAAGCCCGCCCCCCCCCCCGAGCCTCCTAGGGGGTCAGCAAGAATGGGGTGGGGTGGCTTTCAACTGACCCCAAAGGAAAACTTCGGAGCGCCAGGGATCTTGCAGGGAAATCTCCTGTATCGGCAGCTGCCAACTGCAGCTGCCCTTAACGCCAGTGGGCCTCTCGGTAGCTCAGATCCGGAGGAAAAAGTGGATTTATTATATATATATATTTTCCCATTCCCTGATAAGCTCCAGACCGAGGTTCAAGTCTTGTAACTACTGAGGTGCGTTGCATCCCCCTTTTTTTTTTTTTTGCCAAGGTGGCCAACGAATCCTGGCTTTGCTGAGAACATCTAAGGGAGAGGGAACTGGCCAGGCTAGCTAGGACCGACCGCTCTTGGGGTGACTTCCCCTTCATGATTCTGTGCACCCCCCAAAAAATAGTAGGTTCCCTTCCAAGGACCCTCAGAGGCAACCGGCGCCAGGCTCCCCCCCCCCAGATGTGAATGTCAATGGCAGCCATTCTCTCCTCAAGACCAGGATTCGTCCTCAGCTCATCCGGAGGGCTGCAGAACCCAGGCCCGGCGCAGACGAAAGACCTCCGGAGGAGTCGCTATCCTTGGGATCCGCGCACGGAAGGACGATCCGTGTCCTGGAGCCGGTTTGCGCCCAAGGTTTCGGCGAGGGAAGAGTGGTCAGTTCCAGAGGGGTGGCAGGGTTCGCCCAAAGCTTTCCCCCCTGCCCGGGCAAAAACCCCTTGAACTATTGGCAATGCAAGACGTTAATTCCCCCCCCCCCACTCTCGGCCCTGAGCGAGTCCCAAACTGGAGTCCCAACCGGCCAGGGGAAAAGGCTACTGGTGTGGGGTGCCAGCTAGCCTGGGGTACTTTTCTCGGGCGCTTAAAAGCTGCTGGGGGTCGCCGAGATCGTCTTCATCGTAGTCTGTTTGGTGATACTCCCAGAGGCAGATGTTTCCATCCCACTGTGAGAGAGAGGGAGAGAGGGAGGGGGGGGACAGAGGGAGAGAGCAGAGGAGAGACAGGAGGGAAGAGAAGGGAGGGGGAAGAGAGGAGAGGGGAGGGGAGAGAAGGGAGAGAGAAAAGGAGAGGTGCAAGAGGAGATGGGGAGGGGAGAGAGGGGGAGAGGGTGGAGGGGAGGGGAGAGAGAAGGGGAGAGGGGGAAAGAGGAAAGGGAGGAGAGGGAAGAGAAGGGAGAGGGGGAAGAGAGAGAAAAGGGGAGAGGGGGAGGGAAGAGAAGGGAGAGGGAAGAGGAGGGGAGAGAGGAGAGGAAAGGGGAGAGAGAAAAGGGGAGAGGGGGAGGGAAGAGAAGGGAGAGGGGAGAGGAGAAAGGGGAGAGAGGAGAGGAAAGGGGAGAGAGAAAAGGGGAGGGGGAGAAGGGAAGGGAGAGGGGGGAGAGGGGAGAGGAGAAAGGGGAGAGAGGAAAGGGGAGAGAGAAAAGGGGAGGGGGAGGAGAGGAGGGGAGAGGAGGGGAGAGGGGAAAGAAGAAAGGGGAGAGGGGGGAAAGAGGGGAGAGAAGGGAGAGGGGAGAGAAAAGGGGAGGGGGAGGGAAGGGGAGAGAAAGGAGAGGGGAAGAGAGGGGAGAAGGAAAAGGAGAGGGGGGAGGGGGAGAGGAGAGGAAAGAGGAGGGGGAGGGGAGAGAAGGGAGAGGGGGAAGAGAAGAGAGAGAGAAGGAAGAGAGAGAAAAGGGGAGAGGGGGGAAGAGACGGGGAGGGGAAAGAAATTTATTGTTTGTATTCAGAGATTACAGGTAGTCCTCGACTTATAACTTTGAGCCCAACATTTCTGTTGCTAAGTGAGCCATGCGTTGAGTGGGTTTTGCTCCACTTTACAACCTTTCTTGCCGTAGTTGTTGAGAGGTTCACCTGACCCCAGGAAGCGGCAGCCATCATAAATACGAGCCAGTTGCCAATTTTGAATGCCGCCGTATCAGGATAATAATTTCATAGCTAAACGGCCTATGTAACGATGTAGTGCAATGTAAGGTGGATGATGCACTAATAGGAATGACTCAGCAGGCGTGTGTATCCCTTTAAGAGTCTGAGTATAAAAGGGAAGGGTTTTTTTTTGCTGGAGTCTCTCTCTCTCCTCTGTATTCTGCTGTGATTGCTGTGTGTTGGAGTTTGCTGTTTCACCAGCTGTATGTATTTTATTTCTACGGTATATTTGTAGATAGAGTGTAATATGAACCACACTTAATACAAACCACTGTTTACTGTTATTTACTCCTGGGTTACCTCAGCGCAAGAAGACTTGTGCATGCTCTGACACCCCGTCACTTCAAACGGGTCGCTAAATGAAACGGTTGTTAACGCGAGGACAATCTCTAAAGCAGGGGTCCCCCAACCGTGGCGACTTTTAAGACTTGTGGACTTCAACTCCCAGAATTCCTCAGCCAGCCAGGTTGGGGAAACCCTGCTCTAAAGAATTTGGAGCGCTCCGGCTAGACCAGTGGTTCTCAACTTGTGGGTCGGGACCCCATTTGGGGTCGAACGACCATTTCACGGGGGTCGCCAAACAACGCAGTCCGCCATTTTCCCCCCCCTTTTCCTTAGCTGTGCTCCTCCCTTTTATTGTATTGGCTTTTGAAAGCCAATAGAATAGACTCTCTTGAACAGAGTCTGGTTCTATTGGCTTTCAAAAGTCAATAGGAATTGTCCAGGCTGTCTCTGCCCTGCTGAGCCCGCCAAAAGCCCCATTCTGCAAACGGTGCTGCACCAGTTGAGTAGTCCTCGACTTACGACTGGCTGAGTAGTCCTCGACTTAGGACCGGTTGGGGATCGCGGCATTAAAAAGGTTGAGAACCACTGGGCTAGACAAAGAGCGAACAACCACAAACACAGCAATTCCTCCATCACCGCCACTGGACCGGAGCGCCCGATACTTGCCGAGGTGCTGACGATCTTCTCCTCGTACGGATGCCAACTCACATCCCGGACGCAGGCTTGGTGATTGATCAATTTCTTCACAATGAGGCCGCTCAGGAGATCGTAGACTGGGGGGGGGGGAGGTGAGAGGAGGGGGTGGAAGAGAGAGGAGTAGCATTAGCAGCAACGTAGAGTAAGAGAGAAAAGGAGAAGGCGGCACCCGGTCTTGGAGGATTTGGGAGGGGGGGTGTACCTCCAACGTCTGGGTGAATTGGCCAATGAAAAAGGGTCTCTCCAAATCTTAAAAGTGTAAGTAAAACTGGGCATGTCTACATTCTCGCTTGCCCTTTACGTCGGCAGGATCCCTGGGGAAAGATCCTCATGGTTTCCCAAAGCCCGACTTAAAGGAAGGAAGCAAGAATATGGCAGAGGATGTTTTGTGGCTTTACATTTTTTGTGGCTTTACATTTTACCACACATACACACACACACACACACACACTCTCCTAACGGTCTTGGGACAAATTATATATTTGGATCCCGCCTTTATTATTTTGAAAAAATTACTCAAGGTGACGAATGTGTGCAACACACCTTCCTCGTCGTATTTTTCCTATGACAACAAAGGTGTGGGGTGGAGTGGGGTGGGCCGAGACAGAGGGACTTGCCCAGTCACCACTTGGCTCTTAGGTTTAAGACGGGACTAGAACTCACCGGCACCTGGAGATAGGCCCAAAGTCACCTACTCGAGACTTTCATGCCTAAGGTGGAACTAGAACTCACCGGTACCTGGTGATTGGCCCAAATTTACCCAACCAGCTTTCATGCCTAAGGCGGGACTAGAACTCACCGGCACCTGCTGATTGGCCTAAATTCATCCAGCAGGTATTCATGCGTTAAGGCGAGACTATAACTCACCAGCACCTGGTGATTGGCCCAAAGTCAACCACTCAACTTTCATGCCAAAGGTGGGACTAGAACTCACCGGCACCTGGTGATCGGTCCAAAGTCAACCACTCAACTTTCATGCCAAAGGTGGGACTAGAACTCACTGGCACCTGGTGATCGGTCCAAAGTCAACCACTCAACTTTCATGCCAAAGGTGGGACTAGAACTCACCGGCACCTGGTGATCGGTCCAAAGTCACCCAGCCGGCTTTCACGCCTCAAGCGGGACTAGAACTCACCAGCACCTGTTGATTTGCCCAAATTCACCCAGCCAGCTTTCATGCCTAAGGCAGGACTAGAATTCACCATCTCCTGGTGATTGGCTCAGTCACCTAGCTGGCTTTCATGCCTTAGGCGGGACTAGAACTCACTGGCACCTGCTGATTTGCCAAATCCATTCAGCAGGCACTCATGCCTAAGGCGGGACTAGAACTCAGCAGCACCTGGTGATCGGCCCAAAGTCACCCACCCGGCTTTCGGGCTAAAACGGGACTAGAACTCACACAATCTCTTGCTTTTTAGCCGGTTGCCTTAACCACCAGACCAAACTGCCTCTTGACTTTTACGTGGGAGGTCTGCGCCAGCAATCCCAAGTCGATCCCGGGATCTCCTCTCCTACCCAATCCCGCTCCTCCGCTCACATGAATTGCTTTATGTCTTCTCCTTGTGCTCGGAGGGCGCTCCGGTTCCGAGCCACTTACCTACCACCCTCCCGGTGGAGCAGCCGCTGTAAATATACTGCTGCCCAGTGCTGTGAGGAGGGGAAAACCGGCAGCGGATCAGGGTGTGCAGGACTCCGTGGCCCCGGTAGGTCATGAGAGATGTGTCACCTGGAAGTTTTGATTTACGTCGGGCTGTGAGGGAAGGAAAGAAGGAAGGGAAAGCTCAATCAGAGGTATCTAACTCCGACAACTTTAAGACCTGTGGACTTCAACTCCCAGAATTCCCCAGCCAGCATGCTTTAAGACAGGTGGACTTCAACTCCCAGAATTCTCCAGCCAGACATGCCTTAAGACCTGTGGACTTCAACTCCCAGAATTCCCCATCCAGACATGCTTTAAGATGGGTGGACTTCAACTCCCAGAATTCCCCAGTCGGCATACTTTAAGACGGGTGGACTTCAACTCCCAGAATTCCCCAACCAGCATGCTTTAAGACCTGTGGACTTCAACTCCCAGAATTCCCCAGCCAGCCATACTGGCTAGGGAATTCCGGGAGCTTGTCCACAGGTCTTAAAATTGTCAAGGTCAGGCTCTTCTGGGCTAGATTAAGGTTGTCCTTGCCACACAGGTACAGGGAGCCCCCGACTTACAACGATTCATTTAGCGACTGTTCAAAGTTACAATAGGACTGAAAAAGGGGAGTTACGCCTGTTTTGCACACTTAGCGACGGCGGCAGCGTCCCATGTGGTCAATAGGCAGACACTTGGCAATTGGTTCATATTTACGACCGGCGCCGTGTCCCGGGGTCCCGTGATCCCCTTTTGCGACGTTCCGCCGAGCAAAACGGGGGGGAGGAAGCCAGATTCACTTAACGACCGAGTGACTCGCTTAACAACTGCAGGGATTCAACTTAACAGCCGTGACCGGAAAAGTGGTAAAATGGGGGGCAAAACTCGCCGAACAAACGTCTCGCTCGGCAACATAAATCTGGTGGTTAATTTGAGGACTAGCGGCATAGCCTGCCCTCGCTCCGGCTTCTCCCCTTCCAGAGGTGGAGCCTACCTTTTTTGGGCACCTGCTGCCAGCGATAATCCCAAATCTGCTGCGTGACAGCGTGGCGGGAGGCTTCCAAGCCCTCCTGGCCCGAGAACTTGCGCATGTCCCACAGCTTAATGGTCTGGTCTTTGGAGTTGGAGATGAGGTAGCGCGCATCTCCCTGAGGGAAACAACAGCAGCAGCTGAAGGGAACCTTTTTGACTTTCTCCATCCTAAACCTCCAAACAAATCGAAGCCTTTTTTTTCCCCTTAAGGCTGTCTCTAAAGCAGTGTTTCTCAACCTTGACCATTTTAAGGCACGTGGACTTCAACTCCCAGAATTCCACAGCCAGCAACGCTGGCTGTGGAATTCTGGGAGTTGAAGTCCACGTGCCTTAAAATGGTCAAGGTTGAGAAACACTGCTCTAAAGGACCACATCTGGAGTGGGGGGGAGGAGGGTGTATCGGAAAGGACCCTTAATTTGGGATTTATTTTTTTTTCCCCCTGCCTGAAGCAGGGTTGCTTCCAAACCAGACAGGACTGCAATACGACATGATGCCGAACAAACCAGCCGGCTGGTTAGCTGCGTACCCAGAAACGTGATGCTGGCTAACCGCCTCCACGGGTGAATCATTGATACACGGAGGTGTCTGGCTGTGCCTGCCTTTTCTTAAATCGACAAGGATCACTTTAGTTTTTCCTATGTTTAAAACAAGGCTGTTTTTGTTTACACCAGTTCACCATATTTCCTTGCAGTAAGCACCCTTGGTAAGCATAGGAATAGAAAAAGGAACAGAAAAGTAGGTAGAAATGGAACCGGAACTGGAACCGGAAGAGTGGAGTGGAGTGGAGTGGAGTGGAGTGGAGTGGAGTAGAGTAGAGTAGAGTAGAGTGAATAGAAATAGAGCTGGAAGGGACCTTGGAGGTCTTCTAGTCCAGCCCCTTGCTCAAGCAGGAGAACCTACACCATCTCAGACAGGTGAATGTCCAGTCTCTTCTTAAAAATCTCCAGGGATGGAGCGCCCACGATTTCTGGTGGCCAGCTGTTCCACTGGTTGATTGTCCTCACCGTCAGGAAGTTTCTCCTTAGTTCCAGGTTGCTTCTCTCCTTGATCAATTTCCAACCATTGTTTCTCGTCCTTCCCTCTTGTGCTCTGGAGAACAACCTGACCCCCTTCTGCCTTGTGGCAGCCCTTCAGATACCGGAACGCTGCTATCATGTCTCCCCTATTTCTTCTTTTCTTTAGACCAGCCAAACCCAAGTCCCGCAGCCATTACTTGTATGTTTTGGTCGCCAGGCCTTTGATCATCTTTAGAATAGAGTAGAGTAGAATAAGAATAAAATAGAATAAGAATATGAATAGAATAGAATAAGAATATGAATAGAATAAGAATATGAATAGAACAGAGTAGAGTAGAATAGAATATAGAATAGAATAAGAATAACAGAATAAGGATAACCATAGAATACAATAGAATATAGAAAATAGTAGAATTTGTTGTTGTTGTTAATTGCGAAGTCGTGTCTGACCCATCGCGACCCCATGGACAATGTTCCTCCAGGTCTTCCTGTCCTCTACCATCTTCTGGAGTCCATTTAAGTTCACCCCTCCTGCTTCAGTGACTCCATCCAGCCATCTCATTCTCTGTCGTCCCCTTCTTCTATTGCCCTCAATCTTTCCCAGCATTAAGCCCTTCTCCAGGGAGTCCTTCCTTCTCATTAGGTGGCCAAAGTATTTGAGTTTCAACTTCAGGATCTGGCCTGAAGTAGAATATAGTAGAATACAATACAATACAATACAATAAATATAATAGGAATAGGAATAAGAATGGAAATAATAATAACAGAGTAACCATAGAATACAGTAGAATATAAAATATAATAGAATGTAGTAGAATACAATACAATACAATAAATATAATAGGAATAAGAATAGAAATAGAATAATTCCATTCCGCTCGTGGACTTCAACTCCCAGAATTCCCCAGCCAGCCAGCTAGTTGGGGAATTCTGGGAGTTGGAAGAACACAAATCTTAAAAGTTATCAGGGTTGGACCTTTCTGCTTTAGGCTACAAGCAGGAGCAGCCGGGCTTACTTTGCTGTCGATGAAGGTGATACCATCCTGGTGGCCTGCCAAGATCCCCACAGGCCGGGGGTCGTCCTCTCGCATGGTACGCCGGTCCCACACTTTGCAGATGGCGTCGTCGCCCCCCGAGAAGACAATGTGGGAGCTGTTGTCTGCAAAGGCGACGGCATTCACGTCGTCTTCGTGGGCTTCGATCTGGAGGGGGGGGAAGGGAGCCAAGTAAACCGAGGCGACGAAGGGCCGAGATTTCAGCGGGAGAGCACAGATACACCGTCTATTTCCCAAACTGGATGGGGTTCCCTTGCCCCAAAAGGCAGCTAAACTCAGTTAGAAGCCACACTGGGCAAGCCAGAAGAGGTCTGGAGGACCCCCGCTCAACCTTGTTAGGCACTCAAGCTCTGGAGCCTCCGATGAGGCTTCCCTTACTTAGCCTGAAGGACAATGAGCTGGTCCTTAGGGAGAGAATCATGCTGGCTGCATAGACCGGCACTAGTATCGGGGGGGGGGGAAGGGAGTGGGTGGTTTCATGCACCCACCTATTTCCACACACTCATGTGCTTGCCTGCCTTTTATGCGGCCCGGTTGCCAATGGGGAATGGAGTGGAGTGGAATGGAATAGAATAGAAAATAGAATAAAATAGAAAATAGAATAGAACAGAACAGAAATAAGGAATAGAATAGAATAGGAAAGAAATAGAATAGAATAGAATAGAATAGAATAGAATAGAATATAGAATGGAAAAGAATATCGAATGGAATAGAATATAGAATGGAATAGAATAAAATAAAATAGATACAGAACAGAATATAGAATAGAATATAGAATACAACAGAATAGAATAGAATATAGAATAGAATAGAATAGAAATAAGGAATAGGATAGAATAAAATATAGAACATGGAATATAGAATAGAATATAGAATGGAACAGAATAGGGAATGGAATAGTAGAATAGAGAATGGAATAGAATTAGAATAGAATAAAATAGAATAGATACAGAACAGAATATAGAATAGAATATAGAATACAACAAAATAGAATACAACAGAATAAAATAGAATAGAGAATAGAAATAAGAAATAGAATAGAATAAAATATAGAATAGAATATAGAATAGAATAGAAATAAGGAATAGAATATAGAATATAGAATAGAATAGAATATAGAATGGAATAGAATATCGAATGGAATGGAATGGAATAGAATATAGAATGGAATAGAATTAGAATAGAATAAAATATAATAGATACAGAACAGAATATAGAATAGAATATAGAATACAACAGAATATAATAGAATATAGAATAGAAATAAGGAATAGAATAAAATATAGAATATAGAATAGAATAGAATATAGAATAGAATAGAAATAAGGAATAGAATAGAAATAAGGAATAGAATATAGAATAGAATAGAATAATAGAATAGAATTCCACTCGTGGACTTCGATTTCCAGAATTCCCCAGCCAGCCAGCTAGCTGGGGAATTCTGGGAGTTGTAAGTCCAAAAGTCTTAAAGTTACCAAAGTTGGACATTTCTGCTTTAGGCTAAGCAGGAGCAGCAGTAGTATCGGTGTGTGTGTGTGTGTATTAGGGTGGCGGGGGGGGTAGATGGTTTCGTGCACCCAACCACCTATTTGCACACACTCATGCACTTGCCTGCCATTTACGCGGCCGGGATCCCAATGGGCCACGGACCAGTACTGGTCTGTGGATCGGGGGTTGGGGAACCCTGTGCTAAAGAAGTCAAGGTCCCAACCCCGAGTACCTTAAGCGTCCGCTTATTCTGCTCCATGTCAAACACGTAGACACAGCCGTAGTTGGCCCTGTGGAGTGGACAGAGGATAAAAAATAAAAATGTCACTGCGTGGGATTGACACACCCAATGCTCACACTGGGGGACTTAGGCAACAACCCTGCACGAAAGAAGACTAAAGCTGGCCCTTGACTTACGACCAAAATGTATGCGAGACATTTGTTAAGTGAGTTTTGCCCCATTTTTACGACTTTTCTTGCCGCAGTTGTTAAGTGAATTCCCGCAGTTGTTAAGTGAATCCAGATTCCTCCATTGACTCTGCTTGTCGGAAGGTCACACAAAAGGCATCGTGCGAGTGAGGCTCAAGGGCCTGCAACGCTCACTCGACGAGGCTGCGAGTCTCAAGGCTAAGTGTGAGTGAAGCCCGAGTGCCGATGCTGGTGCGAGTGAGGCCCCAAGTGCCCGCCATGATCGAGCGAGTGAAGCCCGAGCGCTCGCGCAAGGCCCCCGAGAAACGACACTCATGTGAGTGAGGCTCAAGTGCCTGCAACGCTCGTTCGAGGAGGCTGCGAGTCTCAATATTAGTGTGAGTGAAGCCCCTGAACGTCGACGCTGGCGTGAGTGAGGCACCAAGTGCCCGCCATGATCGTGCGAGTGAAGCCCAAGCGCTCGTACGAGGCCGAAAACTGAATTCGTGTGAGTGAGACTCAAATGCCTGCAACACTTGCTCAACAAGGCTGCGGGGCTCAACGCCCGCGCGAGTGAAGCTCCTAAGCACCGATACTGGTGCGAGTGAGGCTCCAAGTGCCCGCCATGATCATGCGAGTGAATCCCGAGCGCTCGAACGAAGCCTCTGAGAACTGACACTCGCGCGAGTGAGACTCAAGTGCCTGCAACGCTTGCTCAACGAGGCTGCGAGGCTTAACGCTCACGCGAGTGAAACTCCTAAGTGCCAATACTGGTGCGAGTGAGGCCCCAAGTGCCCGCCATGATCGTGTGAGTGAAGCCCAAGCGCTCGTACGAGGCCGAAAACCGACACTCGTGCGAGTGAGACTCAAGTGCCTGCAACACTTGCTCAACGAGGCTGCGGGGCTCAACGCCCGCGCGAGTGAAGCTCCTAAGCACCGATACTGGTGCGAGTGAGGCTCCAAGTGCCCGCCATAACGAGCGAGTGAATCCCGAGCGCTCGAACGAAGCCTCCGAGAACTGACACTCGCGCGAGTGAGACTCAAGTGCCTGCAACGCTTGCTCAACGAGGCTGCGAGGCTTAACGCTCACGCGAGTGAAACTCCTAAGTGCCAATACTGGCGCGAGTGAGGCCCCAAGTGCCCGCCATGATCGTGCGAGTGAAGCCCAAGCGCTCGCACGAGGCTGAGAACCGACACTCACGCGAGGGAGACTCAAGGGCCTGCAACGCTTGTTCAACGAGGCTGCGAGGCTCAACACTCGCGCGAGTGAAGCTCGTAAGCGCCGATACTGGTGCGAGTGAGGTCCCAAGTGCCCGCCATGGTTGAGCGAGTGAATCCCGAGCGCTCGCATGAGATCCTCAAGAACCAACACTCGCGCGAATGAGACGAATGCCTGCAATAGTCGCTCGATGAGGCCGCGAGTGCCGGGCACGCACTCGTGAGGGGGGTGTGCGCACACGCAGCAGCCGGCCACTCACACGGCACAGTTGTGAATAGGCCACAGACTGATCGTGGGCCATGGGGACCCCTGAGCTAGAAGGCTTTGCTTTTCTCCAAAGAAAAGATTTGTGGAGAAAAAAGACCTTTTCCGAACAGCCAGCTTACCCGCCAAGCACTTCCCTTCCCTCTGAGGAGACCGCCAGGGAAAAGACGGCGAAGCGGCGTTCGTCGGGCCTGCAAAAAAAGAGAGATTCATTATACCAGTTGCGGGGTCTCGGCCGTTCAACGGGGCTGGCCAGGGTACCCCTCTTTACCTCAAGTCCAGGGCTGTCTGGGTCTCGCTCTCCCCGTAGATGTTGCAGATGTGAACTAAGAGAGAAGAGAACAAGGGAATCTGCTAGTACGGACTTCCTGGAGGCAACCCAGTTCCCCGTGGTGCTATAACTCACTGTAGTCAGACCAGCTGGAGTAGAGGAAGTGGGTCCTGTCAGGGGTGAAGGCGACGTCCAGCACGCTCCAGCCTACGTCTCGGGCTTTGATACTCCGGATGTTCCGGAAGGCTCCGTAGGCGCAGTCGTACAAGCGGATTCGCTGGTCTGAAAGGAGGGGGGGGGGGAAGAAAGGGAACAGAAAGTATGCTCTTGAGCCAAGCAAACGACCACGTCAGTTTTCCTACCTTCCCGCATACGTCCTCGACTTAGGACGGTAACCGAGCCTGTTCGTCCCAGTTCCGAGTCGTGACGGTTGTAAAAAAAAATGGTTTTGAGTTTCCATTTCTTTGTTTGTAGACCGTCTTTTATTATTTTTACGAGGAGCGCGAATGGTGCCTCGAATGCCTGGAATGCTGGCCAGGTTAGCAAAGAAAGGGGGAAAAGATTAAAGGAGTCCCCAAACGGGGCGTCCCCAGGGCAACGGTGACGTCCCTGGCTAGTCGTCCCAAAGGTGCTTTTTCACGAGGCAACCGGAACTTCTTGTTGTTTTTTTTTAAACCATTTTTGTTTTAAAAAACAGTTTGCCAGGTACCTTGACAAGCAGACATAAAGAGTTGCCCATCGCGGGAATAGATTCCGCAGAAGGCTTTCTGCGAATAGGAGTCTGTGATGGTCAGGTGATTGGGAAGGAAGCTGGGAAAAGAGCAAACGGGAGGCTCAGATTATTCTGGCAGAGATTCTCTTCTAAAACCACTTTCTTCTGTTTCTTGCCGGAGAGTTTACATTTAACACACACACATACACACATCTCTCTCTGATCAGATGCTTACTGTGACACGATCCGCGAACATTCCCCGGCTGAGAAGCTGCTGTTATGGCAAAGGCCTCGCTCCCTCTGCGGGAAAGGAAAAGAGGGAGCGTTACATTACACCGTCTCACGATCTCTTCTAAGTTAGCGTTACGGTTGATTCTGCCCCAGAACGTGGATGGCAGAAGACTCTTTTTTTGAGGGGAACCAAAATAGCCCAAAGACATGAGTTCGGAAATCTTCCTCTCAATTTCTTGCCAAAATGTAAGATTCTTCCTCACGAATAAGGACGTCACTGACCTATTCTGAAGCCCCAAAGCACTTTTAGGGCAAAAGGAGAAGAGAGGAGAGGAGAGGAGAAGAGAAGAGGAGAGAAGGGAAGAGAAGAGAGGAGAGGAGAGGAGAAGAGAAGAATAGAGAATGGAATAGAAACAGAATAAGAATAGAATACAGAATAGAATATAGAATGGAATAGAATTAGAATACAGAATAGAATACAATATAGACTATAGGATAGAATAGGATACAGAATAGAATAGAATAGAATAGAATAGAATAGAATAGAATATGGAAGGGATCTTGGAGGTCTTCTAGTCCAGCCCCCTGCTGAAACAGAAGCACCGATAGTACCATCCCAGACAAGTGTCTAGCCTCTTCTTAAAAATCTCCAGTGATGGAGTGCCCACGATTTCTGGTGGCAAGCTGTTCCACTGGTTGATTGTCCTCACTGTCAGGAAGTTTCTTCTTAATTCTAGGTTGCTTCTCTCTTTGGTTAGTTTCCAACCATTGTTTCTTGTCCTGCCCTCTGGTGCTTTGGAGAATAATTTGACGCCCTCTTCTTTGTGTCAGCCCCTCAAATACTAGAACACTGCTATTATGTCTCCCCTATTTCTTCTTTTCTCTAGACTAGCCAAACCCAAGACCCGTAGCCGTTCTTGTATGTTTTAGTCTCCAGGCCTTGGATCCTCTTAGTTGCTCTTCTAAAAGCTATTGATTTAATAGAAAATAGAAAGCAGACTTGACCAGCAACCTCACAATCAGACTGAGGAAAGGAATATGGTAGTCAGATCAGAGGCTTTTCTTCCGTAGAAGACCCATTTTAAATGAGGGCTTCCTTCTGTTTCCACCCTGATTATTTAAGGCAAAACGAACCAATTTGTTTCCAGCATCTTCGAACAGCGAAAACAGGATACCTGGCAAAGTAGCCTTGGGATGCTACAGGCGCCTCGCCCAGGCCCAAGTCTGCCGGTTGCTAACTGGATGCGTGTTTTGATCTCGTTGTACTCCAGTTCCCGTGTGTCTGGGGTCAAATCCACTGCAGAAGATCAAAAGAGAGAGACCGCGTTACACAATAAACCCCAGGCAAACTTTGGATCTTTTTTTTTTTATGGATATCTATGTAGTTTCAGTCTGATGACTGTCTGAAATGTCGGGAGTTCTGCCTGACGCCAAATTTAGCGTTTCGACAGAATTCTGGATCACTAACAGCCCTGGCGGGCTAAGGTCGAGAGTTTTCAGAGCGAGGAGGGGAGAAATTACAACATTCAGAATCCTGAGATCTAATCTTGCATAGCCAGCTTTTCCTTAAGTATGAATTTTTGTTTACTGCTGCTATCCGAGGTGGCGCAGCAGTTAAGAGTGCAGTACTGCAGGCCACTTTAGCTGACTGTGTTCAGCAGGTCAGCGGTTCAAATCTCACCGGCTCAAGGTTGAATCAGCCTTCCATCCTTCCGAGGTAGGTAAAATGAGGACCCAGATTGTTGGGGGCAGTGTAAAAATATATATACACATTGCTTACTGGTGTACACCGCTTAGAGAGTGCTTGCACTTAAAGCGGTATATAAGTCTCATAAATAAATAAATAAATAAATAAATATCCACATTAGGAAAACGACTCTTGGTTTCTCGGCGATACCTGGGGGTTTGTACTGGTCTCCTAAACGTCCTTCCCAAGCGCTGTCAGTGTCGTCGTCGGAATCCGAAACAGCCTGGAATACCCGGGCGCTGGCTGCCCCCCCTCCCTGCATGAGGTGAAACTGTCCTCTGGGGAAAGCAGGAAGGAGACAAAGAGAAGCGTTAGCCATTGCAAACCCGTTGCTCCGCGAACGTATTGACCCACGTACTAAAGTTCTTCGAAACCGTAGAGTTTGCACGTCACTACAGTCCATTCATAGGAACGGAGCAATATTTTCGCTTCCTGTTTTCTCTCATTTTCCAATAATTTTAACCGAGCAGCCGTGGGACTATTTCACCTGAAGCAAACCCTGTTCTGAAGGCTTCCAGGAGAAGACTTAAGAAAAATATGAAGTCTCCGTTCAAGCTTTCAGAGGCAAGACAAGAGTTCAACCCGGACTGGTCCTTGGGATCAGAGTTTTAAGCCTTCTGAGCTTTACGACTCCGTGCCGAAGCCTATCCCTAGGAACTTTTCTCTACCAGAATTATAGAGTCTACATTCCAGTGGAGAGGAAGAGTCTACAAGACATATTCTCCACACGAAGTTCAGGCACTAAAATGGAAGCTGGTCTCCAACTTTGTAGTGATATAAACCCATGACAGCAAACTGGAAAACACGGAATTATCCTAATTTATTTAGTGCCTTGTAGGCACACCCTGCTTTTGAAGCATGCTCAGAACTTCCATGCCCAGGAAACTGAACACACACAGGCTTTCTTGACAGAAAGCTAATTAATCAGAAAGGCTTCTTGGATTTGGCACGACCAATCAGCTGCTTTGATTCCTGCACATCGCAAGTTGAAAAGACAGGAAGGATGGCCGAGATCTTTCCGACTAACCAAGATCACGAAAGGAATCAGTTTAGAGAAGTGCCAAGCCCAAATGTCTTCCTTCTCAGTCAGGCCATTGTCCACAAGGAATGGTTATTTCTCGTACGTATTTGATCCCTTGGTCCAAATTCTTAAGTGTAACAGTACTTCATATGCTTAAGAAGTTCTCCTATCCTATGCAATGTAGCTTAGAGGGGCATGCTTTATCAAAACTGAACGCAAGAGTGGGTACACAGGCACAAGCAAAATTCTTTGTAAGAAAACATAACCATGTTAAGGGATTGAGGATTTTAGGGTGCACGGTCACTGCAAACAACAGAACACGGCATAAACACCAATGGCTTCTGGTGAGAGTTCAACTCAACCCTTAGGAAGGCAGTTAAATCAAAGTTATGACTCTTGTGACCATCATGGATTCTTTCTATGATGTATGTGTCTTCTGGGAAATACATAAACCTCACTTAGGCTCAGCCAACAGTATTAAATGCACCCTTTAGTTCAGTGGTTCTCAACCTTTTTAATGCCGCGACCCCCTCCCACCGGTCGTAAGTCGAGGACTACTCAACCGGTCGTAAGTCGAGGACTACTCAACTGGTGCAGCACCGTTTGCAGAATGGGACTTTTGGCGGGCTCAGCAGGGCAGAGACAGCCTGGACAATTCCTATTGGCTTTTGAAAGCCAATAGAATTAGACTCTATTCAAGAGAGTCTATTCTATTGGCTTTCAAAAGCCAATAGAATAAAAGGGAGTAGCACAGCTAAGGAAAAGGGGGAAAAAATGGCGGACTGCGTTGTTTGGCGACCCCCGTGAAATGGTCGTTCGACCCCAAATGGGGTCCCGACCCACAGGTTGAGAACCGCTGCTTTAGTTCCTTGTGGAAAAGATTTGTTACAGGTAACCCTTGATTTTTGATCACAGTGGAGCCCAGCGTTTCTGTTGTTAAGCGAGACAGTTGTTAAATGAGTCTTGCCCCCGTTTTATCAGCTTGCTTGCCAGTTTCTTAAATGAACCACTGCTGAATCACACAGATGTCAACACTTAACACAGTTTGCTAACTGAATTTGGCTTCCCCCATTGACTTTGCCTGTCAGGTCGCAGGACTCGATCACGTGACCCAGGACACGGCAACTGTTGATAAATAAAGTTGCCAATTTTGATCACGTGACCACAGGGGTGCTGCGACGGTCACCAGTGTGAAAAACGGCTGTACGTCACTTTTTTCAGCGCCGTTGTTACTTCGAACAGTCGTTAAATGAGCTACCCTGTACTCAGCACACCGTTCTGTTACTAGCCTGGTTTAACCAATAAAGGAGAATTTTGTAGCTCAGGGTTGAAATGAGGGGTTCCTAGGTGCTCTCTGTGCTTGGTTGGTTTTCTTGCAGACGTTTCATGACCCAAACTAGGTAACATCATCAGTGCTAGAAGGCAGTAGGGTTTGCAAGGAGGACGAGGAGGAGAAAGAAAGAAAGAAAGAAAGAAAGAAAGAAAGAAAGAAAGAAAGAAAGAAAGAAAGAAAGAAAGAAAGAAAGAGTCTGTGAAGTCCTTGATGCTCTCTGAGCTTGGTTGTTTTCTTGCAGACATTTCATGACCCAACTAGGGAACATCATCAGTGCTAGAAGGAGTGGGGTTTGCAAGGAGGAGGAGGGGGCAGGAGGATGGAAGAGAAGGAAAAGGGCTGTGGGGTCCTTGATGCTCTCTGAGCTTGGTGGTTTTCTTGCAGATGTTTCATGATCCAGCTAGGTAACATCATCAATGCTAGAAGGCAGTAGGTTCGCAGAGGGGAGGAGGATGACTAGGGAGTCCTTGGTGCTCTCTGCCTGGTTGCTTTTCTTGTGGATGTTTCATTACTCAAACTAGGTAACATCATCAATGCTAGAAGGCAGTAGAGTTTGCGAGGAGGAGGGGGGGGCATCAAGGACCTCACAGCTCTTTTCTTTCTCCTCCTCCTCCTCCTCCTCGATGCTCTTTGAGCTTGGTGATTTTCTTGCAGATGTTTCATGACCCAGCTAGGTAACATCATCAGTGCTAGAAGCAGTAGGGTTTGCAGGGAGGAGGAGGGGGAGAAGGAGGAGTAGGACTATGGGGTCCTTGGTGCTCTATGTGTTTGTTTGGTTTTCTTGCAGATGTTTCATGACCCAAACAAGGTAACATCATCAGTGCTAGAAGCAGTAGGGTTTGCAGGGAGGAGGAGGAGGAAGAAGAGTTGGAGGAGGAGGAAGGAGGAGGAGGAGGAGGAGGAAGAGGAGGACGACGACTATGGGGTCCTTGGTGCTCTCTGTGTTTGTTTTGTTTTCTTGCAGATGTTTCATGACCCAGCTAGTAACTTCATCAGTGCTAGAAGTTCACTCACACCTCCCTCCCTTTTAGCACTGATCACGTTCCCTAGCTTGAGTCACAAAACGTCTGCAATTCTGATCACGTGACCACAGGGATGCTGCAGCGGTTGTAAGCGTGCAAAAAGTCAGAAGTCACTTTTTTCAGTGCCGTTGTCACTTTGTACAGTCACTAGACAAACGGCTGTAAGTTGAGGACTACCTCTATTCTCTTCTTGGATGAGCAGCAGCATTTTTTTTTCCAAAGAAAGAAGCCAAGGAAGTCCAGTTTCCTTTTGGAAAAGCCCCTCTCGGGACCTCCCCCCCCCCGGGGAAGCTGCTTTCCCCCAAGCTAGGATTGGACAGGAAGGGGGCAGGGGGGAGGTGGAGTTACCTGCGCAGTAGGTATGCCAGTACCTGGGCCAGATCCACATCCTCGTCGTCCTCGTCTTGGCCGCGCACGATGCCCGAGTCCCTCTGAGACCAGCCGCCTTGGTTCTCCCGGCCCCCAGAGCCAGCGTTGCTACTGCTGCGGGAGCCCATGGCTTATCAGGGCATTCTCCAGCTTGGCCCCACACTCACACTCTGCCCCTCCTGGGGTTCAGAAAGGAGAGGGTGGTGAAAGAGGAAAGCCACCCAAAAGAAAGCCGAGGAGGGGCAGGGAGGAGAGGACACGGTGCGCTTCCTCCAAAGCCCATCCAGGCCCTCCTTACTGAGGACTAGCGCCTCTGAGCCGCCCCAGAAGCATCCAGAAACCTCCCTGTTCAACCCTCCCCCCCCACATAGCTGTAGAGGACATGGCGGGCTTCCTGCAAAGCCCACCGAGTCCCTTCTTATTGAGGACTAGCACCTTTGAGCCAGTTCAGGAGTGCCCAGAAACCTCCCTGTCCAGCCCTCCCCCCCCCCAGAGCCGTAGAGGACATGGGCTTCCTCCAAAGCTCATCAAGTCCCTTCTTACTGAGGTCTAGCGTCTTTGAGGCACCTCAGGAGCGTCCAGAAACCTCCCTGTTCTGCCCCCCCCCCCAGAGACATAGAGGACATGGCAGGCTTCCTCCAAAGCTCATCAAGTCCCTTCTTACTGAGGACTAGCGTCTTTGAGGCACCTCAGGAGCGTCCAGAAATCTCCCTGTTCTGCCCTCCCCCCCAGAGCCGTTGTCCAAGCCCATCAAGTCGCTTCTTACTGAGGACTAGCGTCTTTGAGACACTTCACGAGTGTCCAGAAACCTCTGTTCTGCCCTCCCCCCTCGCAGCCATATCCCAAATTTTGCCCCCCCCCCAATCCCAGCATTCCAGGCTGGACAAGGCTTACGGGCTCCCCTAAGTAAACAACCCATGCCGGAGGGGCCTCAGGAGCAACTGCCCCCCCTCTAACCTTTCACCTCCGCTCGTCCACAGCTCCCACCAATCGAAAAACAGCTTGTTAGAATGTTTCCCCCGACCGCCGCCTTGTCTCCGCCAATGAGAGGCGCGCTCGGGCCACGCTCCTCCAATCAGCAGGCGCCATACTGGGGGGACACTCTGGCTGCCCAACTGCCCTTTCTTGCCCACCAATCAGGAGGGTTCTTGGCATTTTTTATTTCTAGCCCCCCCTTTTTGGTGCTGTTTCCCCCCCCACTACCCCCTCCTCGGAGTGGTGTCAGTCAGCCAATGAAATGCCTCCCGCTGTTCCTTCGGCTGCTCTTTCCTCCCCCCGCGGTGAGCGCAAGACCCTCCTCACCCGCTAACGGTCGGAGCGCGAGGCCTTGTTTACATCTTACAGGGGCCGCCGCTCGAATCCGAGTGGAACAGGGGCCGAGGGGCGGGGCGAGCCGACTGCGAAGACGATTGGCCGCCCCTCGTGTCACCTGGTCGTACGTGAGGCTTTAAAAAGAGGCCTGCCCTGCTTTGATTGGTTGTTGCTACGGCCCTTCCTCGTCCCGCCCATTCTGTAAACTAGGTGATAAGGTAAAACGCGTCACCGGCTGCAAAACACGGGCGGAAGGCGGGCGATGGGCGGGGGAGTGGCTCTCCGATTGGCTTCCTTAAGATTGACCGACAGCTTCCGTGGAAACGCTCTGCTCGGAGTGATGAAGTCGTAGGTGGAAGGCGGGCTCTAGAGGAACTTTCTCGCTGATTGGACAATAGTGAGGCAGGTAATGTTATGGCGGTTCTTGGTCAAACGCTTATCAGGGAAACATATTATCATTATTTGCTGCTGACGTATTTAAATGTCTTTTAAATTGCAATAAAAATTTCTCAACCATGGCAACTTTAAGAGGGCTGGACTTCCACTCCCAGAAATCAAGAGGAGTGGACTCCAACTCCCAGAATTCCTCAGCCAGACATGCTGGCTGAGGAACTCTGGGAGTTGAAGTCCACTCATGCTGGATGGAGAATTCTAGGAATTGAAGTCCACTTATGCTGGCTAGAGAATTCTGGGATTTGAAGTCCACAAGTTGCCAAGGTTGAAGAAACACTGCAGCAGAAGAGCAGCCTCACAAAATTGTGAAACTTTGCAAATTGCGCATTCGTAACATACACACTTAACTCCTTTTATGCCATGCTGGCACCTGAGCTTGTAGCCAGCAAATGCATGGACATTTTTGCTGTAATTTTCCCCTATTGGGATTCTTCCAAATATATTGGATGCCTTTGGCTGTGGATTAAGGGGGTTGTAATCCAATAGAACCGAAGAATATCCTGAGAACATAAAGAGCTTCTGGGAAGAGATACTTAAGCATCCTGCAAAGCAATTGCTCACACTAACTGGTCGGGTTCCTACAACATGCTTAACCTGCTTATAAAACTTGGCCTTTTGATGACTTGTGGACTTCAACTCCCAGAATTCCTCAGCTAGGTACACTGGCTGAGGAATTCTGGGAGTTGAAGTCCACAAGTCATCAAAAAGCCAAGTTTGAAGACCCCTGCCCTAAAGTGTCCAAAGAAGCCAGCAGTCAAACTAAGATTAGTTTAAAGGCTGTGAATCTATATTTATTGACACACAAATCCAGACAGCATTCTTTCTTATCTCTGCAACACACACAACACAAACACAAACACACCCCGACATGTACACAGCCAGACACCATTCTTTTTCCAGTCTGCAAATCATACATATACACCACAAAATGTTTACCATCAATTAACTTCTCAGCAACAACCAGCTAGCCAGGAATTCTGGGAGCTGAAGTCCACACATCAGTTGGCACAATTGTTTATTTCTGCTACTCGCCAGGATCTTCAAATGTGGCCCTTTTATGACTTGTGGACTTCAACTCCCAGAATTCCTCAGTCAGCCATTTTGATGAAACCACGGGCTTAGATCCAGACCAGGGGTCTTCAAACTTGGCCCTTTTATGACTTGTACACTTCAACTCCCAGAATTCTTCAACCAGCATGCTTGGCTGAGGAATTCTGGGAGTTGAAGTCCATAAGTCATAAAAGGGCCAAGTTTGAAGACCCCTGCTTGTGGACCAACTCCCAGAATTCCTCAGAAGCATGCTTGACTGAGGAATTCTGGGAGTTGAAGTCCACAAGTCATAAAAGGGCCAAGTTTGTACACCCCTGTGCTACTGTTTCTAGCGCTCCTTTGCACACACTTCCAAGTACACACAAATCCTGCCACTGACTTGGAATAACAATGAAAAAACCAACAACCACCAGTTATCATTATTTGGGTTTATTATTAATAAAATATGTTTTTTTTTCTGTTTCAGAATCCTCCCTGCCAAGGACAACAATTACATTCCAATCAATCATTTATTTTTCTGGGTTTTATTTGCAGATGTTGGCTTGTTTCTGGTCAAAATGCCATCATAAGAACTCTACCCAAAAACGTTGACCAGTTTTATTTTTCTCGGCCTTTTCTCTTCCACAGCGTGTCTTTCTCACCGTAACTGTAAAATCCAGCACATTATTGGAAATTTTAAAAAGGCAAGACATATAAACCTGTTATCTGGGGTCTAGATGTACTAGGAATGTACAAAAATAAGAAAAAATTGACTGTCATATTGAGCACCAATTCTACTAACATTCTCAACTGATTAAGTGTAACAGGCCCATCATTTTAATGTATAAAGAGTAGGCACACTTTATAATTTATTCCTCTCACTGGATGTAATATTCATTAGGCTAAAAAGTGAATTCTTCATTAGCTATTGCGTGCATTGTTGTGATGTCATGAAAACATGACATCATGTTTAAACTTAAAACTCAAACTTTAAGATGTTTGGACTTCAATTCCCACAATTTCAAAGGCAGCCATGCTGGCTGGGGAATTCTGGGAGCTGAAGTCCACAGATCTTTAAGAGACCATGTTTGAGAAATTCTGATCTAAACATTATTTCCCTTATTTCAATGCAATATTAAAAGACACAGATCCCTCGCCCTGATCTGAATCCCATCCAGGGCTGATAATCATGGGGGATTAGGTTATTTCCCATCTGATTAGTCCTCACAACGACCCTGTAGGGTAGCTTTTGTCTGAGGCCACATGTCCTGAAAGAGCTGAAGACTCGAAGCCATATTCGTGTTAAGAGGAATGGCGAACTTAAACCAGGGGTCTTCAAACTTGGCCCTTCATGACCAGGCATGCTGGCTGAGGAATTCTGGGAGTTGAAGTCCACAAGTCATCAAAGGGCCAGGTTTGAAGACTCCTGACTTAAATCTTTCAACCAAATTATCAACGCTCCTCAAGCCAATGTGAATTTAGCTCTTTTGAAAGGAGAAAACTTTATTCAGCTTTATTATCCTCAGTCCACTTTGACAGGACTTTGGTGAGCGAGTCATGTCGTTGCTATAAACTTCTGCTTTTGGGGTCACTCCTCTTCTGTAGACAATCTTTATCGGTCTTATAAAAATCAAAACCCGTGTCCTCATGTGATCAAACACTGACAAACTTTCTAACATTGATAGGAAAGCTGGAGAACAGCGAGAGAGGGTTGAAAATACAGATGAATCTTTTTACAGACTCTTTTACGTCTGATTAGTAGAAAAAAAACTTCAACAGATAGCAACGTAGTTCTGCTTTTGCTTAAGAGCTGGACAACCTGGGGGTAAGGTTGCTCAGATTAGGGGTGACATTATAGCAGCGTTCCAATATTTGCCACAAAGAAGAGGGGGGGTCAACTTATTCTCCAAAGCGCCTGAAGGCAGGACAAGAAGCAACGGATGGAAACTGATCAAGGGAGAGAAGCAATCTGGAATTAAGGAGAAACTTCCTAAGAATGAGGACAATTCACCAGTGGAACTGCTTGCCACCAGAAGTTGTGGGTCTTCAAACTTGGCCCTTTGATGACTTGTGGACTTCAACTCCCAGAATTCCTCAGCCAGCGTACACTGGCTGAGGAATTCTGGGAGTTGAAGTCCACAAGTCATCAAAGGGCCAAGTTTGAAGACCCCTGGGATAGGATCTCCTGCTTGAGCAGGGGGTTGGACTAGAAGACCTTCAAGATCCCTCCCAACTCTGGATGGGTGGGTGGATAAGTTACAGATTGTCCTTCACTTATGACCTACAATGGAGATCAGAATTTCCATCGCGTCATCACAGGACTGCCCCCAATTTCATCACCTTGTTTGCCAAGGCCGTTAAACAAATCTCATGTGCGTTAAGCCAATCGGACGGCCGTTAAGTGAACCCAGCTTCCCCCGTCAATTTTGCTCATGGGGAAGGGCGACCAATGGCAATCACGTGATTCTGGGATGCTACCAACCCCTTGTCAACACATTTCGGTTGCACCCAAAATGATCTCGGGATCGTGGTGGGGGGAGGGAACACGCTACGATGGCCGTAAGCGCGAGGACTTGTCACGAGTCACTTCTTTTCAGCACTACAAGGGTGAGGTGACTTCATTGCTTTGATTCAACATCATGCCAGCTTCGGTTTTTTTGGCTTTCCTCCAGCGTGCAGAAAACCACGATTTGTCTCGATTCGTGAGGAATCTATAGATCCCGAGGCAATCCGCAACCATCGTTCACACACCAGTCGGGCAAGGTAAGGAATGGATCAGGTTAAAACCTCGGTTTCATATCACAAACAGCCTCTGGGCTTGAGCAAGGAATCTTGCCTTGAAGACAGATCAACTTCAATCTCAGGCAGTGTGAATCATGAATCCAGGTTGAAAGAGACAGAAGGACGAAGGCCTGGACCATATTCTAACTAACATGGATGTTAACGACAAATGTAGGACCTGCAAATGAGGTGAACGGATGTCCTAATCACGGTAGGATTGAGAAGTTCTCATAGGTCACGCCTGTTCCTGCCTCCAGAAATGTAAACATTGGAGAGACATCTTGGAAGAACCCTCCGTGTCAGCCTCAAATGTCTTTTTTCCCCTTCATCGTTCCTTCTTCCCTCTCTTCCAATGATTTTTCCAATTTTTTTTATTATTGTTATTATTTTTATTATTAAAAAGACAGCTAGTCAAAGACCCAACCCTCTCAGAAGCTCCGATAGAGAAGATGCAGGGAGGAGAAGCAACATCTGAGGAGGCATCACCATCCTTAACAATAGCTTTCAAGATGCAAGGCCACCCGCCTTCCCGTCTCCCCAGAACTGAAAGAAGGACAGTGTCAAGGAAGAAGGAAGCGAAAGAGAGGTATCAAGCAAGGCGACGCTGGTCAAAGACGGTAGACAAGGCCGAAGAACGCTAGGTGGCCATCAGCTGACCTAGGAAACATGATATGGGACACCTGAGGCTGGAGAGACTTTAGCTGGTAAGAAAAGAGGAATGGGTTGTCTGTAAACAAGGCCCCTGATATCTCCTTCCCCCCCCCACCCCAAAAAACAGGGGAAGAATCTTTGGACGTCTTTGACGGTTGAGGTTCCTCACATCTTCTTCACCCGGGTCTCCAAGGCTTCCAGTTCTTTCAAGACTTCCTTGGGCAAGTCCTGGGGTACTTGTTCCGTCAGATATTGTCTCACTTCTCGGACCTCCTGTTCCCAGAATTCCTTGGGCAGGGAAAAGAGCTCCGAATGGTTCACCTGGCTGAGCCCTGACAGGTCTAAGGCACCTTCTTTGGGGACGTACCCGATGGGCGTCTCCTTCGCGCTCTCTTCTCCGTCCGCCCGGCGGAAGATCCACTCCAGGACCCGCGAATTCTCCCCGAAACCTGGCCACAGGAAGTTCCCGGCGGCATCTTTCCGGAACCAATTGACGTGGAAAATTTTGGGGAGGCGGACGCCTTTCCGCCCTTCCATGCTCAACCAGTGCTCCAGGTAGCGGCCGAAGTTGTAGCCGAAGAACGGGCGCATGGCGAAGGGGTCGTGCATGATGACCTTGCCTGCAGAGCCAGGTTGGAGAAGGGAGAAGAGAACGGGAATGGCAGAGGTGAAACATTCAGGCCCCAAACCCAGCAAAACGGGACTGCTAAGCAAAGGGGTCGTTAAGGGAAGCGCAACCCATTCTATGACATTTTTGGGGGGGGTGCAGGGTTGTTAAGGGAATCTCGGAGGACTAGCACTGACGTTCTTAGTATGGGTAACAAAATGTCTGCAAGAAAACAGCCAAGCTCAGAGAGCACCGAGGATCCCACAGTCATCCTCCCCCCCTCCTCCTCCTCTCTGCAAAGCCCACTCCCATCTAGCACTGATGAGGATACCTAGTCGGGTCATGAAATGTCTGCAAGAAAAACCACCAAGCTCAGAGAGCACCAAGGACCCCATCGTCGTCTCCTCCTCCTCCCCCCATCTCACACTGATGATGTTCCCTAGTTGGATCATGAAATGTCTGCAAGGAAAGCCGCCAAGCTCAGAGAGCACCAAGGACCCCACAGTCCTTCTCCTTCTCCTCCTCCTCCCTCCTCCTCTCCACAACCCCCTCTAGCATTGATAACAGTCCTTAGTTGGGTCCTAAAACATCTGCAAGAAAATAACCAAGCTCAGAGAGTACCAAGGACCCCATCGTCTCCTCCTCCCCCTCCTCCCCCCTCCCCCTCCTCCTCCTCACACTGATGTTGTTCCTAGTTAGGTCATGAAATGTCTGCAAGAAAAGCCTCCAAGCTCAGAGAGCACTAAGGACCCCACAGTCCTCCTCCTCCTCTCTCCATAAACCCCCCCCTTCCTTCTAGCACTGATGATGTTCCCTAGCTGGGTCATGAAACGTCTGCAAGGAAAACCACCCAGCTCAGAGAGCACCAAGGACCCCACAGTTGTCGTTGTCCTCCTCCTCCTCCCATTCCACAACCCCCCCTCCCTTCTAGCACTGATGATGTTACCAGTTTGGCTAACGAAATGTCTGCAAGAAAACCACCCCCCCTCAGAGATCACCAAGGACCTCTCATCCCTTTGGTTGTTAAGCGAGTCGGCTTCCCCCCCCCCACTGACTTTCCTTGCCAGAAGCCAGCTGGGAGATTAACAAAGGGGGGATCATGTGACCTCGGGATATGACAACTATCGTCTAGGCCAGTGCTTCTCAATTATTTTCTGTCATGCCCCCCTAGGAAGAAGAAAACATTTCGCGCCCCCCCGCGCGACTGTCTATCCAATCGGGTCCTTTGCGTGTGTCACGTGCGTCCAATATGACAGTATTTGCCGAGGTCAAACGAGCCCCCCTTTACGGAGCCTCGCGCCCCCCCTGGGGGGCCCGCCCCACTATTTGAGAAGCACTGGTGTAGGCCAAGGGTGGGCAACCTTGGCTCTTTTATGACTCGCAGACTTCAACTCCCAGAATTCCTGAGCCAGCCACACTGAGGGGAAAGGGAGAGGTTTCCAAGCTGAGCCATGCAGGCTCTGGAATTCTGGGAGTTGAAGTCCACCAGTCATCAAGGGAGCCATACTTCCCCCATGCTGGCTCAGGAATTCTGGGAGTTGAAGTCCACGAGTCATAAAAAGGGGCCATCGTTCCCCACCTCTGGTCTAGGGCAGGGGTAGGCAACCTTGGCTCTTTTATGACTCGTGGACTTCAACTCCCAGAATTCCTGAGCCAGCCACGCTGAGGGGAAAGGGAGAGGTTTCCAAGCTGAGCCATGCAGGCTCTGGAATTCTGGGAGTTGAAGTCCACCAGTCCTAAAAGAGCCAAGGTTGCCCACCCCTGGTCTAGACATGCCGGTTGCCAAGCTCCCGAAGTCTGGTCACCTGACGTGGAGATCCTGCAATGGTCATTAAGTGTGAGTCCCTTTTTTCAGCACCATTGTGGCTTTGAACGGTCACTAAACGAACGGCTGTAAGTCGAGGACTCCCTGTAGGTGCGTTTTCGGCCCCTTTCCATATATATATCTAGAATGCTGTATGTTACACCCTAACCCTAACCCTAACCATATCATGTATGCACGCGCGCGCACACACACACACACACACACACACACACACAGGCCTCAATTCGAAGGCGAGGGGCTGGCTAGAACGCTCAAGCTTATCAGCTTATCTTCCTTCTGATCAATATGGGTCAATTCCTTTCTTCTTCTTCTTTTCATTGCTATTAGGATTAACTTTTCTCTTCCGACTTCGCAAACGACGGGAAGTCGTGCCCCGTTTTGAACCCAGAGCCCCCACCTTTGTGCTCAGCCGCCGCCGTGGACTCCGACCGCATGGCGCTGCCCACGAAGACCCCGTGGCGCCAGTTGAAGGCCTCGTATACCAAAGGCACCCCTGTGGAGGGAGGGAAAAGACACCAAGAGGTGATCTTGAGAACATCCAAAAGTCCAGAGGTCTGGGAAGACCATCCGGTGGGGGTGGGTGGGGGGGAGGAAGGGGGGCAGGGCTCCTAACCTGCTGGTCTCCTGCCTCCAAAAATGATGGCGTCAATGGGGACCCCTTGCGGGGATTCCCAATCCGGGTCCATAATGGGGCACTGCCGAGCCGGGGCACAAAAGCGGGAATTTGGATGAGCAGCAGGCGACGGATCCCCTGGGGAGGAAAAAAGAGAGAAAGACGGAAGAATTGAAACGATCAGATCCCGACAATGATCCACTGCAGGAATCTAGGTAGGCCTAGGCTGCTTTATGATTCGTGGACTTCAACTCCCAGAATTCCTGAGCCAGCATGGCTCAGCTTAGAAACTCTCCCTTCCCCTCAACATGGCTGGCTCAGGAATTCTGGGAGTTGAAGTCCACGAGTCATAAAAGGGCCACGTTTGAAGACCCCTACCCTAGGCCTAGAATCTAGACCAGGGGTAGGCAATCTTGGCTCGTTTATGACTGATGGACTTCAACTCCCAGAATTCCTGAGCCAGCATGGCTCAGCTTGGAAACCTCTCCCCTCAGCATGGCTGGCTCAGGAATTCTGGGAGTTGAAGTCCACCAGTCATAAAAGGGCCACGTTTGAAGACCCCTACCCTAGGCCTAGAGTCTAGACCAGGAGTAGGCAATTTTGGCTCTTTTATGACTGGTGGACTTCAACTCCCAGAACTCCTGAGCCAGCATGAGGGAAACTTTGGCCTCTTCATGATTCGTGGACTTCAACTCCCAGAATTCCTCAGCCAGCATGGGGGAACTATGGCCTCTTCATGACTTGTGGACTTCAATTCCCAAAACTCCTGAGCCAACATGGCTCAGCTTGGAAACCTCTCCCTTTCCCCTCAGCACAGCTGGCTCAGGAATTCTGGGAGTTGAAGTCCACGAGTCATAAAAGAGCCAAGGTTGATTACCCCTGAGCTAGGACCTTGTAGGCTCCCACCATTGGGCCCCCCTCCTTTGACTCCAGCCACCCAACTCAGCCCATTTACGGCCAGCTTTCCTTCTCCGCTGGACCTCCTCCGGCCATCCTTTTTTAAAAAAATATATTTTATTGATTTTTTTTTAACATAAACACCTTAATATTTTAGTAAACAGTGTGTTATCCAGGCTTATATTTACAAAGTAATCCCTAACAATCAGTTTTTATTTTCCAAAGTCCACCTAGATTTTCTCTCCTTCCAATAATATTCCCCTTGCCCACCTCGACTTAATGCGATTCTGATTAGTTTAACACAGTGTTTCCCAAACTTGACAATTTTAAGGCATGTGGACTTCAACTCCCAGAATTCCACAGCCAGCATTGCTGGCTGTGGAATTCTGAGAGTTGAAGTCCACATGCCTTAAAATTGTCAAGTTTGGGAAACACTGGTTTAACAGGTAACCATTTAAATGTGAAGATTTTTTTTTTCTAAAATTTCTCCCCAGAAGCATCAGATGAATATCATGCTTCTTTTCTATCTTGGTTGCCTCGTCACGAATCCTCTTTTACCATTCTTACTGAAATTTGTTTTCCCCTATAATGTTCAAAACATTCTTACTGGATTAAAACTTTTTCAAGGTTAATTGCGTTGAAGTATTTAAATCTATTTTCATGCCTTAAAAAGGAAGTTAAAAAAAAGAAAAAAATAAGAAAAAAAGGAGAGGGAGAGAAAGAGAGAGAGAGAACGGAAAAAAAGGGAGAAAAAAATAAGAAAACAATATACTACTTAAAATACACATCCCTCTTAAACTAGCAAACATTTGTTTCCATTTTTTTTCTATTCCTTTTAGCCATAATTCAATTTAATTTTTAGATGTCTTGGTAGCCGATGGGCCCCTGGCCTTCCACCCCTTTTGCCCTTTGGTCCGGCCCATTTGCCCAAAAACTTGACATTTGCCCAGATACTTGAGACTTGACAAGCCTCCTTTTATTGATTGATTGATTGATTAGCTCTTGGGCCGTATCAAAGTGCAAAGTTCCAGAAACAAATTATTACTAAAATTTGAGAAAAACAAGTTACTGATTGATTGATTCGTGGATTGATTAGCCCTTGGGCCGTATCAAAGTGCAAAGTTCCAGAAACAAATTATTACTAAAGTTTGAGAAAAGCAAGTTAAAATGGAATTAGATAAAATACAATTTAAAATGAAATTGGAATACAATAAAATGAAATTGGAATAAAGTATAGAAATAGAATAATTCCATTCCACTCGTGGACTTCAAATCCCAGAATTCCCCAGCCAGCCAGCCAGCTATTCTATTCTGTTCTGTTCTGTATTTTATTATTCTATTCTATTCTATTCTGTATTTTATTATTCTATTCTATTCTATTCTATTCTGTATTTTATTATTCTATTCTATTCTATTCTATTCTATTCTATTCTATTCTATTCTATCCCACCCCATCTCATAATTCTATTCCATTCCATTCCATTCCATTCCACTCCACTCCACTATACTCTACTATATTCTATTCCTGCTTTAAGATGCTTAGACTTCAACTCCCAGAATTCCCCAGCCAGCATGCTTTAAGATGCGTGGACTTCAATTCCCAGAATCCCTTAGCCTTGATTTGAACTGTTTCTCATTAGCTGGTCCTCTCTCCTCCAAGCTCCTTCTGGCCCACCCTATGCCCTGCACAGCCGTGTATCCATGTATGTGTTTGTGTGTTTGTGTGTGTTCGTGATTTTGTACCCAACAGCTGAACACACCTGGCTTCCAAGGTTTTCCTTGCCAGGTGCTGATGGTGACCCCTTCCGGAATCCTCTGATCGATCCCCTCCCAGTAGACGCCCCCTTCGCTAGTCTCGGCCACGTTGGTGAAGATGGTGTTGCGCTGGATGGTGTGCATGGCGTTGGGGTTGGTCCGAGTGGATGTGCCCGGGGCCACCCCAAAGAAGCCGTTCTCGGGGTTGATGGCCCGTAGGCGGCCTAGAAAAACGGAAGAAACACCAGGCGGTTGGTTATTCTTAATAATAATAAAGTCGGAAGGGACCTTGGAGGTCATCTAGTCCAACCCCCTGCTCATGCAGGAAACCCTAGACCATTTCAGACAAATGGCTGTCCAGTCTCTTTTTAAAAAAGTGTTGGAGAAGGAAGGGAGGGAGGGAGAGAGGGAGGGAGAGGGGAGGAGGAAGGAAGGAAGGAAGGAAGGAAGGAAGGAAAAATAACAGAATAATAAAGCTGGAAGGGACCTTGGAGGTCATCTAGTCCAACCCCCTGCTCAGGCAGGAAACCCTAGACCATTTCGGACAAATGGCTGTCCAGTCTCTTCTTAAAAACTTCCAGCATTGGAGCATTCACAGCTTCTGGAGGCAGGTGGTTCCACTGGTTAATTGTTCTGTCAGGTAGTTTCTCCTTAGTTCTAGGTTGCGTCTCTCCTTGATTAGTTTCCACCCGTGGCTTCTTGTCCTGCCTTCAGGCGCTTTGGAGAATAGCTTGACTCCCTCCTCTTTGGGGCAGTCCCTGAGATATTGGAAGACTGCTGTCATGTCCCCCCACGTCCTTCTCTTCGTTAAACTAGACATACCCAATTCCAGCAACCGTTCTTTGCATGCTTTAGCCTCCAGTTCCCTAATCATCTTTGTTGCTCTTCTCTGTACTCTTTCTAGAGTCTCAACATCTTTTTTACGTCGTGGTGACCAAAACTGGATGCCGTATTCCAGGTGTGTCCTTACCAAGGCCCTGCAGTAAAGTGGTATTAACGCTTCACGTGATCTTGATTCTATCCCTCTGTTCATGCAGCCTAGCACTGAGTTGGTCTTTTTGGCAGCCGCAGCACACGGCTGGCTCCTTGCCAGGAAGATCTCTGGATCTCCTCGCAAACTCACACCCAAATCCTTGGGCCCAAATTTGTGCCCTGAGGGCCCCTGAGGGGAGGGTGGTTAGAAACTCAGTTTATGTTGTTGCCAGAACAACATAATCTTTGGGCAAAATGGGTCATCTTTGCTGTATCACTGCTTCACTTAATGACGGACATCCCACCGACGTAAAGCGAGGACTGCCTTTTTCCCCTAAAACAGCAGGCCCCCAACTTTTCGGGCACCAGGGACCGGTTCCGTGGAGAAAGGTTTTTCTGTGGACCGGAGGGGGGCGTGGTTTCGTGCACTGCCTGTATCCCGCGGACGGGCCTTCGTTCTAGCGTGCCGCGCACCGGTGTCGGTCCACAACCCCGGGGGTTGAAGACCCCTGCCCTTAAAACACACCTCCCGCCCGCCCTCTCAGCCCCAACACCCCGGGTCACCTTCGCTGTCGAACTTCATCCAGGCGATATCGTCCCCCACGCACTCCACGCGCCAGCCCGGCAAGGTAGGATTCATCATGGCTAAGTTGGTCTTGCCGCAGGCGCTGGGAAAGGCGGCCGCCACGTATTTTTTCTTGCCTTCCGGGTTGGTGAGACCCAGGATCTGCAATAAAGCGAGAGGGGAGCGTGCCACGATTGGACAAGATGCCAAGCCCAGAGGCAAAAACGGTTTCTTCGCAATAAGCCAGGTTTGCACGGCATGGGCCGCCAGGTGTAGCTAACCCAAATCCAGGTAACCATCATAGTTAGAGGCTTCTGCATCTCTCCGTTAGCACGGAGGTCTCTCCCAGTTTCCCAGTCCAAAAGTGTGAATTCAAAGTGTTTTGCAAACTTGGTAAGTTTAAGACGGGTGGACTTCGTCTCCCAGAATCCCCCAGCCAGCCATGCTTAAAGCATGCTGGCTGGGGAATTCTGGGACTTGAAGTCCATCCATCTTAAAGGACGCTGGCTGGGGAATTCTGGGAGTTGAAGTCCACCCATCTTAAATCATGGCTGGCTGAGGAATTCTGGGAGTTGAAGTCCATCCATCTTAAAGGATGCTGGCTGGGGAATTCTGGGAGTTGAAGTCCACCCATCTTAAAGCATGGCTGGCTGAGGAATTCTGGGAGTTGAAGTCCACCCATCTTAAAGCATGGCTGGCTGAGGAATTCTGGGAGTTGAAGTCCACCCATCTTAAAGCATGCTGGCTGGGGAATTCTGGGAGTTGAAGTCCACCCATCTTAAAGCATGGCTGGCTGAGGAATTCTGGGAGTTGAAGTCCACCCATCTTAAAGCATGGCTGGCTGGGGAATTCTGGGAGTTGAAGTCCACCCATCTTAAAGCATGCTGGCTGGGGAATTCTGGGAGTTGAAGTCCACCCATCTTAAAGCATGCTGGCTGGGGAATTCCCATCTTGAAGCATGCTGGCTGGGGAATTCTGGGGGTTGAAGTCCATCCATCTTAAAGGATGCTGGCTGGGGAATTCTGGGAGTTGAAGTCCACCCATCTTAAAGCAGGCCGGCTGGGGAATTCTGGGAGTTGAAATCCACCCATCTTAAAGCAGGCCGGCTGGGGAATTCTGGGAGTTGAAGTCCACCCATCTTAAAGCATGGCTGGCTGAGGAATTCTGGGAGTTGAAGTCCACCCATCTTAAAGCATGGCTGGCTGAGGAATTCTGGGAGTTGAAGTCCACCCATCTTAAAGCATGCTGGCTGGGGAATTCTGGGAGTTGAAGTCCACCCATCTTAAAGCATGCTGGCTGGGGAATTCCCATCTTGAAGCATGCTGGCTGGGGAATTCTGGGGGTTGAAGTCCATCCATCTTAAAGGATGCTGGCTGGGGAATTCTGGGAGTTGAAGTCCACCCATCTTAAAGCAGGCCGGCTGGGGAATTCTGGGAGTTGAAATCCACCCATCTTAAAGCAGGCCGGCTGGGGAATTCTGGGAGTTGAAGTCCACCCATCTTAAAGCATGGCTGGCTGAGGAATTCTGGGAGTTGAAGTCCACCCATCTTAAAGCAGGCCGGCTGGGAAATTCTGGGAGTTGAAGTCCACCCATCTTAAACTCGCCGAGTTTGAAAAAACACTCTGCTAGCTGCATGTTTCATGAAGTGGGTGAAGTTATGTGGGTAAAGCACTTTTCTCAGGCTTGACCACTTCAAGATTGGCAGACTTCAATTCTCAGAATTCTGCGAGTTAAAATCTTTACGTCTTTAAGTGGCCAAGCTTGAAAAAAACGACGAGTTTAGGGTTTTTAAATACAGTCTGGGGAAGAGTTTCACCTTCTTTCTTCACATCTATTCTGACAAGAAAGAAGTGAAGACTGCGCAATGCGATTTATTTTCCTCAGAGAGTTTGTGTTCAACTGACATGCTGCCATTTTAAAAACAGAGCTGTTCCTTTCTCTCCGATTCCAGCCTTTTCGTCTTAAATCTTTTGCTCTACGCATGACTAAAATGTTAACCTTCACGGTCGTTGCTTTCCCTTAAAGGAAATACTCATGTTCCTTACTAGGAAACGGGGGATCAGCGGGAAAACGCTTTCCCACGGTACATTATTATTATTTTTTTAAAAAATAAAATTTAAATTCCAACTCCATGCTTCCACGTTGTACGACACGCACTTGAGGTCAAAACCCTTCAAGGCTTCACAGCCAAGCTTGCTCCACAAAACTACGTTGACCTGGATTAATGTTATTTTTTTTCTTCTCCGTGATGTAAGCTCAGCCTGTTCAATTTGCTGAAAATTCAACATCCTGGGCCGAAAATCAGAAGACCGATGAATTAATTCGTGAATTCATGAATGCTCTGAATCCTGGCAAATCCACAGCGAATTACTGTATCCCCCAAAATCTCTCCTCTCCTTCCCACAGCCTTTGCACTGCCCCACCCCTTGCAGGTCTTTCCTGAGACTGGGGGTCCTGCTGCAACCCGGACTACGGCTCCCATCATCCCCTGATTGTGCCATCTTGTGCACGATGGGCGTTGCAATCCTGCTCAGGGAGATGGCCACCCAGTCAGCTGGGAAGCTGTTTTTTCCAAAACCAGCAACTCCTGCCCATCACCCGCCAGTCCTCAGGAGAATGCCCCCCCCCCTGTCACTCATTAACCCATCAATGTTTGCTCGTTAAATATCACTCCCAGGCAGTGCAAACAGGCCTCTGTCCTTTGACCTGGTGGACCCAGTTTTCTGCTCCCCCCTCCTCACCTCATCGCCGGCTTCATCCCAGCAATCAAGCCCTGTGCCCCCCCCCCCCCGTGCTCCTAATGCACCACACAACCATTTGCACCCGTCCCCCAAATTCCATGGTCCTACTTTGCAATGCCCCAGCGAGACACCCCCCTGATGCAAAACCCCGGGCTGCATGCTGGACTTGCTCCATGGTTAGGTGGCTTCGATGGCAGATCAGAACAAATAAACCAGTATATCCCAAAGATGCTTTTTTTTTTTTCCTTTCAAGAGGCAACTGGAATTTCTTGGGTTTTGCCTTGAAGAGGTTTCGCTTCTCGATCCAAGAAGCTTTCTTCAGTTCTGATCGCATGGTATAATAATAATAATAACAACAACAACAACAACAACAAAACAACAACAACAACAATATAGTTGGAAGGGATCTTGGAGGTCATCTAGTCCGACCCCCTGCTCAGGCAGGAAACCCTATTCCATTTCAGACAAGTGCCTGTCCAATCTCTTCTTAAAAACTTCCAGTGTTGGAGAAGGGAGGGAGGAAGGAAGGAAGGAAAAAAATAACAGAATAACAGACTCGGACGGGACCTTGGAGGTCATCTAGTCCAACCCCCTGCTCAGGCAGGAAACCCTATCCCATTTCGGACAAAGGGCTGTCCAGTCTCTTCTTAAAAACTTCCAGTGTTGGAGCATTCACTGCTTCTGGAGGCAGCTTGTTTCACTGGTTAATTGTTCTAACTGTCAGGAAGTTTCTCCTTAGTTCTAGGTTGCTTCTCTCCTTGGTTAGTTTCCACCCACTGCTTCTTGTCCTGCCTTCAGGCGCCTTGGAAAATAGCTTGACTCCCTCTTCTTTGGGGCAGCCCCTGAGATATTGGAACACGGCTATCATGTCCCCCCTCGTCCTTCTATTCATTAGACTAGGCCAGGGGTAGGCAACCTTGGCTCTTTTATGACTTCAATTCCCAGAATTCCTGAGGCAGCCATGCTGAGGAGAAAGGGAAAGGTTTCCATGCTGAGCCACGCTGGCTCAGGAATTCTGGGAGCTGAAGTCCACGAGGCATAAAAGAGCCAAGGTTGCCTACCCTTGGAATAGACATCCCCAATTCCAGCAACTGTTCCTTATACGTTTTAGCCTCCAGTCCCCTGATCATCTTTGTTGCTCTTATCTGCCCTCTTTCTAGAGTCTCAGCATCTTTTTTTACACCGTGGTGACCAAAACTGGATGCCGTATTCCAAGTGTGGCCTTACCAAGGCCTTGTAAAGTGGTATTAACACTTCACACGATCTTGATTCTGTCCCTCTGTTAATGCAGCCTAGCACTGTGTTGGCTTTTCTGGCAGCTGCAGCACCCAGCTGGCTCCTGTTTAAGAGATTGTCCACTAGGACTCTGAGATCCCTCTTTTTTGAAGACTACACTTTGAATATTGCGTCCAGTTTGATCACCACAATATAAAAAAAAATAAAAAATGTTGGGATTCTATAAAGTGCAGAGAAGAGCTGCAAAGATGATTGGGGGGGGGCTGGAAGATAAAACATACGAAGGAATTATTAGAAAATAAGAATATGATACTGTACTATTAATTGATGGATGTAAGATGCTGAGAATTCAAATAGATCAGATGTGTATCCTGAACATTAAACCTTGTGGTGAATTTTGTGATGAAGGGAATTGGGATTAATTAAAACTTGGAAATTATAAAGACCCAACGTGAAATTTAAATATGAATGGGGAATGAAAAATTGGGGAAAACTAACCAGGACATTGATTGTCTAAAAAAAAAAAAAAAAAGATCGAATGTTAAAACAACTGGGATATGCGTAAACAAAAATTATTGATAAATGCAAGAAAGTTATCGGCTCTTATCGAAGGGATTGTCCACTAGGACTCTGAGATCCCTCTCGCAGTTGCTGCTATTGAGCAAATAATACCGGTGGAGGATGAAAGGGTTTATGTTCCTTTGCAGTCATGCAGTCATTAGTACTCTCTCTGAGAGTTATTAATTTCTGCCTTCAGGGTCATCTGAAGGGTGCAAATGGGTGTGGAGCCTTCTTGGGACTGCTCAAAGGATGGTGTGGTAAACCTCCAAGTGGCCTCAACGACTCTCAGAGGGAGTACCAACGACCAGATGACTGCAAAGGCATATCAATCCTTCCATCCTCCGCCATTCGGCCAGAACTGAAGAAGCTTCTTGGATGAGAAGCGAAATGTCTTCAAGGAAAAACAAAGACAGTCCAGTTGCCTTTTGGGAAAAAAAAAGCACCTTTGGGACAACCAACGACCCTGGATGAATCTCCACAAACCGGTAGATCAGCCCCCGACAGAGGGAAAGAGCGATCCCGAGCGCGTGCAGAAAGCGCAAAGGGCGCCCGACGTCCCCCTCCGAGCCGCAGACGAGAAGGAAAATTAAAAAAATAGAAGAGTTTGCCGCTTCGGACTACAGACCGTCCTCAAACTTATAACAATTTCTTTTGAGGACAGTTTGAAGTCAGGGCGTGTGACCGTTTTCAACTCTTACGACCGTCGGGATCACGTGATCAAAATCCGGACACCCGGCTACGGGCTCGTATTTACGACGGTTGCTGCGTCCCCTCCCCCTTGGGTCACCTGATCCCCTTTTGCGACCTTCCGGATGGCTACGGCGACGGGGAAAGCGAGATTTGTTTAGCGACCAGCTTATACTAACATCAGCGGCAGCGACTCACTTCACAACGGAGGCAAGGAAGGTCGTAAAACGGGGCAAAACTGACGCCACAAAGGCCTCGCTTAGCTATAGAAACCTTGGGTTCAGTTTTGGTCGTAAGTTGAGGACCCACCTGTAAAATGCTTGGCCCTGACCAGCTTTTTGGGGGGATGGGGGCAGAAAAGTCAAGATGGCCGCTGAAGCCACGCCGTCAAAGACCCCCCCCCCCTTTGAGCATTCCGAAGAGGCAAGGGGGCAATTCTGCAAGCAGCTGGGATCCCCGGGTCTGCCCCCCCTTCCAATGCAGAAAAAGGCACCCCCCCCTTCAACCTCAACTCTTCCCCCCCCCCGCTTACCAGCATGTGCTCGGCCAGCCAGCCGTCGTCCTTCGCAATGCAAGAAGCGATCCGGAGGGCGAAGCACTTTTTCCCCAGCAGGGAGTTGCCCCCGTAGCCGCTCCCGAAAGAGACGATCTCCCGGCGATTCGGCACGTGGGCGATTAAGGTCTTCTCTGGATTGCAAGGCCAGTTGTTCACGAGGTCTTCTGCAGAAGAATAGAATAGAATAGAATAGAATAGAATAGAATAGAATAGAATAGAATAGAATAGAATAGAATTATGGCATGGGATAGAATAGAATAGAATAGAATAGAATAGAATAGAATAGAATAGAATTATGGGATAGAATAGAATAGAATTATGGGATGGGATAGAACAGAACAGAACAGAATAGAATTATGGGATAGAATAGAATAGAATAGAATTATGGGATAGAATAGAATAGAATAGAATTATGGGATAGAATAGAATAGAATAGAATAGAATTATGGGATAGAATAGAATAGAATAGAATAGAATAGAATAGAATAGAATAGAATAGAATAGAATTATGGGATAGAATAGAATAGAATAGAATAGAATAGAATAGAATAGAATAGAATAGAATTATGGGATAGAATAGAATAGAATAGAACAGAATAGAATTATGAGATAGAATAGAATAGAATAGAATTATGGGATAGAATAGAATTATGGGATAGAATAGAATAGAATAGAATAAAATTATGGGATAGAATAGAATAGAATTATGGGATAGAATAGAATAGAATAGAATTATGGGATAGAATAGAATAGAATAGAATTATGGGATAGAATAGAATAGAATAGAACAGAATAGAATTATGGGATAGAATAGAATAGAATTATGGGATAGAATAGAATTATGGGATAGAATAGAATAGAATAGAATAGAATAGAATAGAGTAGAATAAAATAGAATAGAATAGAATAGAATTATGGGATAGAATAGAATAGAATAGAATAGAATTATGGGATAGAATAGAATAGAATAAAATAGAATAGAATAGAATTATGGGATAGAATAGAATAGAATAGGAATTCTGTCCAGTCTTTTCTTAAAAACCTCCAGTGATGGAGCGCCCAAGAAGACACGTTAGGGCCCGCACATCAGGATTTTAACTCAAAAGATCTTCTAGCATGTTTGAATCCCCCAGCATGCTGGGGATTCCAACATGTGCCTGGCCCTAGAAACATGGAATTCTGGGAATTGAAGTCCCAAACCTCTGGAATAATGGCCTCCAGCTTTGCACATCTGGAAAATGTGGGTATCCATAGCCACAATTCCCAGTAAGCTAGTTCAGGAATTGTCTACCCCAGTGTTTCTCAACCTTAGCAATTTTAAGATACGTGGACTTCAACTCCCAGAATTCCCCACCCAGCCTGCTTTAAGATGGGTGGACTTCAACTCCCAGAATTCCTTAGTCAGTATGCTTTAATAAACATGGACTTCAACTCCCAGAATTCTCAGCCAGCATGATTTAAGATGCATGGACTTCAACTCCCAGAATTCTCCATCCAGAATGCTTTAAAATGGGTGGACTTCAACTCCCAGAATTCCCCAGCCAGCCTGCTTGAAGACACTGGCTGAGGCATTCTGGGAGTTGAAGTCCACGCCTCTTAAACTGGAGAAAGCCGAGAAACAGTGTCCATTGTGAGGAACAAATTCTTCTTCTTTTAGTTTTTTTTCACGCCTCCTCTTTGCTAGCCTCGTGGCGCACCCACGCATCCACTTTGTGCCCCCTCCCGCCTTCACACACGTCGCACAAACGGAGAGACCCCCGAGAAAGAGGGGCTTACCGCTAAGGGGCAGGGGCCGTCCCACCGAATGCAGGCACTTGACGAACTCGCCGTCCCCCAGCGCGCGGAGGGCCGCGGCGCCCATCCGCGTCATGATGCGCATGCTGGCGACCACGTAGGCCGAATCCGTCAGCTGGATCCCGATTTTGGAGAGCGGCGAGCCGAGAGGCCCCATGCTGTAGGGGATGACGTACATGGTGCGCCCTGCGGAGAGGCGACAGAGCCAGGACAAGAAGAAGAGTTGCGCGAAGGACGAAAGAATAAACAAAGAATAAAAATCTGCTGGCCTGGGTGTGTTTCAGCGTCTCTTTCGATTAAACACAAGTCAGTCCTCGCTTTACGGCCACAATTTCGCTCAACATTGCCACTGCTGAGCGAAACAGTCGCGAAGCGAGTTTTGCCTCGTTTCACGACTTCTGTTCCCACCATTAAGTGAAACCCTGCAGTTGTTAAATTAGTAAATCCAGCTTGACCCCCATCTTGACTTCAGAAGGACGTAAAAGGGTAACACACTCACACACGGGATCGTCGTAAATAGGAACCCCGTTGCCGAGCGCCTGAATTTGGATGGCATGACCATGGGAGACGCCAGGACTGTTCGTTCGGTGTGAAAAACGGTCACGAGGCCCCCCTTGTTTTTTCCAAGCGCCGTCGTCACTTTGGACGGTCACTAAATGAACCGTTGTAAGTCAAGGGCCACTTGTAAGGTCACGGCGTGGCTTCTCTGTGGAATCACCACTTCCGTGTGGCTCCCACCCCCGGCGACGTTCAAAACAGTCCGTGAAATCCTGAAAACTCAACGTACGACCGTAATGGGAGTTGGGCCCATTCCGGTCGTACGTCGAAGACGGTCGTAAAATGGGTGGGTCCACAGCTTGCCTTCTGGACCTGTACAGAGAGTTCTTGACATACGACCGTGAGGATGTCCAAAGGCCGATAAACAGTGCCCATGTTGCTGAGCGCCCATAGTCTGGTCATGTGACCTTAGAGCAGGCCGAACCTTCAGAACTGGAAAACTGGGTTGTACAACCCCCCCCCCACGTTTGGGGTCAGTGTTAACTTTGAATGGTCACAAAATGGCTGGTCGTAAGTCAAGGACTACGAGTTTGAGGTTTTCCCCTAGTTTCTAAACACTTATTTTTAAACGTAAGTGCCAACTGGAAGATAAAAGTAACAATAATAGAGCTGGAAGGGACCTTGGAGGTCTTCTAGTCCATCCCGCTGCTCAGGCAGGAGACTATCCCATTTCAGACAAATGGCTGTCCAGTCTCTTCATTTAAAAACCCTCCAGTGATGGAGTACCCCCGACTTCTGGTGGCAAGCTCGTTAATTGTCCTCACCCTTAGGAGGTTTCTCCTTAAAACTTCCAGGGTTGGAGCATTCACCGCTTCTGGAGGCAGGTTGTTCCACTGGTTAATTGTTCTAACTGTCAGGCAGTTTTTAGAAAAGGGTTTTTCAAATTCGGCAAGTTTAAGACTGGAGGACTTCAACTCCCAGAATTCCCCTCCTCTTCCTCCTCCCTCCCTCCCTCCCTCCCTCCCTAACTTCCCCTCCTCCTCTTCCTCCTCTCCCCCCATTCTCCACACTCTCTTCCTCCTCCTCCTCCTCTTCCCTCCCCCCTCCTCCTCCTCCCAGAATTCCATCTCCCAGGATTCTACGGCTGGCTGGAGAATTCTGAGAGTTGCAGTCCCCCCATCTTAAACTCGCGGCGTTTGAAAAACACAGCCTCCAAAGGGCATCAGCGAATTCACCGAATGAAGAAATCACAAACAAGGAAGTGAAACGGTTTAGCAAGGATGGATAAATCGATTCCGTTCTCTCCAGGGGAGAAAGTCGGGAAGAGGCATTTGAATCTGGCCTGGATCCAGTTGATCCATCAGGGAAATGGCTGGACAGGAATTGCCCCCGGGGTTCAATTCCCCCCCCCCATTGATCCTTGGCTCGGTCTCCAAACCGGAGCCCAATTTGTAACTCGTATTTTTATTTTTATTTTTTAAAAAGGAACTTTGTTGGGAAAACACACACACACACCGTCCCATTCACCTTTCATGCAACCAGGAAACCGATCAGCCACTGCCTCTTCAAAGGTTTGGGGGTTCATCCAGTTGCCCAGCTGCCCTTTGACCCCCGGGGCCGTGACGGGGATCGTGTCCCTCTGGTTCTCCGTAACGATGACCGTCCGGCTCTCCACCCTGGCGACATCCTTGGGGTCGGTTTTCGCCAGCCAGCTGCGGAAGGAAAAGGAAGGATTTCCGAATTTCGGGGGGAATGTTGGCTGTCGGCGAGCCGGACTCCAATACCCATCCTCCTCGGGGAGGATGAGAACTGGCACACTCCCCACACCCCAAGAGATACGGGAGAGGCGGCTTACCAGTTCTCGTATTTGGTCAGCGGCTTGATGACGCCTTCGGATTCTAGGAAATTCAGGATTTTGCTGTTCTCCTTCTCCGTCCCGTCGCAAATGTGAAGGCTGTCCGGCTGGCAGAGGCGCACCCCTTGCTCGACAAACTCCTGGGCCCGGCCGGAGAGTTTGGCCAAGTCGCCGTGGAGTACGCGGGGAGCGTGGGCCCAACGCACCGGCACGGTGGACCATCTCCTCAGCGAGAAGGCTCCTCGGCTGGAAAGAGGAAAGAGCGTGAAAAGAAGGGAAGAGGAAAGAGGGTGAAAAGGAAAGAGGGTTAGAAGAAGGAAAGAGAGAAGAAGAGGGTTAAAAGAAGGAAAGAGGAAAGAGAGAAGAGAGTTAAAAGAAGGAAAGAGAGAAGAGAGAAGAAGGAAAGGGTTAAAAGGAAAGAGGGTTAGAAGAAGAAAAGAGGAAAGAGAGAAGAAGGAAAGGGTTAAAAGAAGGAAAGAGGAAAGAGAGGAAGGAAAGAGGGTTAAAAAAAGGAAAGAGGAAAGAGAGAAGAAAGAAATGGTTAAAAGAAGGAAAGAGGAGAGAGAAGGAAAGAGGAAAGAGAAGAAGAGGGTTAAAAGAAGGAAAGAGGAAAGAGAGAAGGGAAGAGGAAAGAGAGAAGAAGGAAAGAGGGTTAAAAGAAGGGAAGAGGAAAGAGAGAAGAAGGAAAGAGGGTTAAAAGAAGGAAAGAGAGAAGAAGAAGGAAAGGGTTAAAAGGAAAGAGGGTTAGAAGAAGAAAAGAGGAAAGAGAGAAGAAGGAAAGAGGGTTAAAAGAAGGAAAGAGGAAAGAGAAGAAAGAAAGAGGGTTAAAAGAAGGAAAGAGGAAAGAGAGAAGGAAAGAGGGTTAAAAGAAGGAAAGAGGAAAGAGAGAAGAAGGAAAGAGGGTTAAAAGAAGGAAAGAGGAAAGAGAGAAGAAGGAAAGAGGGTTAAAAGAAGGAAAGAGGAAAGAGGGTTAGAAGAAGGGTTAAAAGAAGCCAGAAACCACCATTAGCACCTCTCCCCCCCCCCCCACAATACAGGTAGTCCTTGATTTACAACATTCCGTTGAGTGACGGAAAAAAGGGACCGAGGGCCATTTTTCACGCTTACGACTGTTCGCAGCAACCCCCTGGTCACGCGATCAAAATTCGGATGCTTGGCAACTGATTCCTATTTATGACGGCTAACTGTCCCGGGGGTCACGCGATCCCCTTTTGCGACTTTCCGACAAGCGAAGTCAAGGGGGGGGAGAAGCCGGTTTCACTTAACAACCACGTCACTGGCTTAACAACTGCAGTGATTCCTTTAACAACTGCGTCCAGAAAGGGTGGTAAAATGGAGGCAAAATTCATTTAACGCATGTCTCCCTTAACAGCAGAAAGTTTGGGGCATCACAGAAGCGGTGAATGCTTCAACACTGGAGGGTTACCTGCCTGAGCAGGGGGTTGGACTAGTTGACCTCCAAGGTCCCTTCCAACATCATCATCATCATCATCATCATCATCATCATCATTATTATTGATCATCGCACAGTCAGCCAGATGTTCAGACTGGATTTGGCATTTTGTCTACCTATCGAGTCCTTACCCAGGACCTGGGATAGGCAGATGTGGATGTTTGATGATATTACAGATATCGTCGCAGGATGGAAGCAGTTCCTAGTAAGGCTGCCTTTTGCAATTGACGAATAGCGAATTTGTCAATGCCAATGGTGTTCAAGTGGTGCTCCAGTTGTTTTGGGATTGCACCCAAGGAGCCTATGACTATTGGTACTACCTTGCTTGCTTTTGCCACAGTCTTTCTATTTCTATTTGTAGGTCTTTGTATTTTGTTATCTTCTCCAGTTCTTTCTCGTCTATTCTGCTGTCTCCAGGCACTGCCACGTCCACTATCCAGACTTTTTTGTCTTTCTTATTGACAATTGTTAAGTCTGGGGTGTTATGTTGCAGGTGCTTGTCTGTTTGAATTCTAAAGTCCCAGAGCAGTTTAATCATCATCATCATCATCATCATCATCATCATCATCACCACCACCACCACTACTACTACTACTACTACTACTACTATTATTATTGATCATCGCACAGTCAGCCAGATGTTCAGACTGAATTTGGCACTTTTGTCTACCTATCGAGTCCTTACCCAGGACCTGGGATAGGCAGATGTGGATGTTTGATGGCATTACAGATATCGTCGCAGGATGGAAGCCGTTCCTAGTAAGGCCGCCTTTTGCAATTGACTAATAGCGAATTTGTCAATGCCAATGGTGTTCTAGTGGTGCTCCAGTTGTTTTGGGATTGCACCCAAGGCGCCTATGACTATTGGTACTACCCTTGCTTGCTTTTGCCACAGTCTTTCTATTTCTATTTGTAGGTCTTTGTATTTTGTTATCTTCTCCAGTTCTTTCTCTTCTATTGTGCTGTCTCCAGGCACTGCCACGTCCACTATCCAGACTTTTTTGTCTTTCTTATCGACAATTGTTAAGTCTGGGGTGTTATGTTGCAGGTGCTTTTCTGTTTGAATTCTGAAGTCCCAGAGCAGTTTAATTTTATCATCATCATCATCATCATCATCATCATCATCATTATTATTATTATTGTGGTCCTGCCAGCCGTGGAGTTGTTGAACCGAACAACCGCAGTGCGCTCCACTCTCAAAAGCCCTGAGTCTCTTTGGCGAGAGTTGTGTCTTAATCTTGCCCAACTTTGCACTGGCTTGGAAAACCAGGATGTGAATTTTGTGCGTCCTCAAGAGAGTGAGGCAACCTCACTTGAAAGAGTTTTGTATGTGTGTGTACAAACCCAGACCGGAGGCTGCAAATGGACACGTAGAAAGGAGGATAAACCAACCAACAAACAAAAAAAACACAACTCGGCAGGCTTAGATAAACAGCCTTCGATTTAAATTTAAATCCAATTTAAGTAAACTGATCCAAGGAGAGGCAGCGAGCGCAAGAGATAGCCAGCATCTGCAAATATGCAATTTAGAAATCATTTTACTTTGTGCGTGTTCCATGTACACGCAAGAGTATTGTACAGTCTCCTTATAGTCTAATTCTGTGGTTTTTCCGTCAGAAAAACACACGATTGCAGGGTTTGGCAACTTTAAGACGGGCGGACTTCAACTCCCAGAATTCTGGGAATTGAAGTCCGCCTATCTTAAAGGGGCCAAGGTTGGAAAAAAAACACCGCATTATTGTGTTCACGAAGGTCCAGCTTTGCAACACCCTTAAAAGCACCAGAGGGCAGGACAAGGAGCAACAGATGGAAACGAATCAAGGAGAGAAGCAACCTGGAATTAAGGAGAAACTTCCTTAAGGGTGAGGACAATTAACCAGTGGAACAGCTGGCCACCAGAAGTCGGGGGTGCTCCATCACTGGAGGGTTTTAAAAGAAGAGACTGGACAGCCATTTGTCTGAAATGGGATAGGGTCTCCTGCCTGAGCAGGGGGTTGGACTAGATGACCTCCAAGGTCCCCTTCCAGCTTTATTATTATTATTCCTCCTCCTCCTCCTCCTCCTCCTTTTTAAAAAGAGACTGGATACCCACTTATCTGAAATGGCATACGGTCTCCTGCCTGAGCAGGGGGTTGGACTAGAAGACCTCCAAGGTCCCTTTCCAGCAATATTCTGATTTGTCACCCGCCAGAAGCACGATTCAGCGTTACTGCATTCTGCACATGCTCTATAAATGCACGGGCGTGTTTCAGCTTGGCCCACGTAGTTCTGATCTACGGGCCCCATCCTGAGCAAGCTGAAACGCAAGGGGGGGGGGAAACCCTGAGAAAACTGGAGGTTGGCAATAGCTAAAAAGTGTCTCCTTAATTAAATACACACAACACCAGATTTAATCTGTCTTTGGGGAGGCTTTGAGGAACAGGGGCAAAGTTTGAGATAAGACTTTGGCAGAGTTCCTCACACTGCACAATTCTCACAACGGGGTGGGGGGGGGGAAGGGAAGGGGTAGGAATCCCTAGCAGGCACCCTTTGCTCGTGGGGAAGTTTTCAGGTGGGCCTCGTGGGGGTGTCAACATTGGTATATGTCCTCCCCCCAAAATTGTTATCTCGGAGTATTATTATTTTTTTTCAGAAGAACGGAACGAGATGCACAAATTGCACACACAAATTGCCTACACCAGTACGAACACGCAGCGGCAAACCTGCCACGTTGGCAGGCCCGTTCCCAAGAGGGCGTGCAATTCCCACGCCCGCTGCTCAAGGCTGCCCACGGATCCGGGGTGCTTTTGCAGGTCGTCCTCAACTTACGACCACAAAAATTTCAGCCCCAAACTGTGGTCGCTAAGGGAGGCTTTTGTTAAGTGAGTTTTTGCCACAGTGGTTAAGTCAATCACTGCAATCGTTCATTTAGTAACCTGGTTGTTAAGCGAATCCGGTTTTCACCAGGGCGTTTTGCCCCACTTTATAACCGTTCTCGCCCCCGTTGCTAAGTGAGTCGGTGCCATTGTTATGCAAGCCACACGGCCATTAAGCGAATTTGCCTTCTCCCGTTGACTTTACTTGTCACAAGGTGACTCCGGGACGCTGCGACCGTTGTAAATATGAGTCAGTTGCCGAGCGTCTGAATTTTGATCAATCTGTCCACGGGGATACTGCGACGGTCGTAAGTGTGAAAACACGGTCATCATAGGTCACTTTTTTCAGTGCCGTCGTAACTTTGAACCGTCACTAAATGAACTGCTGTAAGTTGAGGGCTTCCTGTGTTTTTAATTTTAATTTTAATCTTGTTTTCGGGGGCCCAGCTCTAGAAGAACGCCGGACCCTTTTTTTGCCGCTCAATTGCACTCCAGAAAGTCCTGCACTTACAACAGCCCCCTTTAGCGACCGTTCAAAGTTACAACGGCACTGGGACCCTTTTTTCACCCTCACGACCGCCACAGCCTCACCCTGGGCCCGCGATCCAAAATTCAGACACTGGGGCAACCGACTCGTGTTTACGACGGTCGCAACCTCCCCGGGACTCACATCATTTCCCTTTTGCGACTTTCCGATGGGCAGAGTCAGAAATGTCGGGCTCCATTGTGGCCGTAATTCGAGGACTCGCAGGCTGTATAGGGCACGCTGAGCCGTGACACTCGTTTCCTGCCCTCCAGGATCTTCGGAAGGGGGAGGAATCCACGCCACGGATCTGCTGGGACCGGTCGTGCTTGCAACCACTCCTTGCACGCCGGATCCTGGTTTAGCAGCGAGCTGTCGTCGTCGTCCTTCCTCCCGTTCCCATTGGCTGCCTGCCCGGGAGGGACGCAGGTTTGGCCAGGCACCAAGAAACCAAGTTAAGAGCAAGGGGCATCGGGTGGACTTTCACCCCAGGCAAACAGCTCCACTGCAAACGAGACCGTGTTCCACGGCAAGCGGGCTGATTCCTGAGATCCAGGAACATGTTGTTCCCAGTTTAACCAGAATTCCCGTATACCCCCCCCCTTCGTGAATTAAAAGGAAGCTGGCATCCCGCCACGCTTTGCAATTACACACAATGCTTCAGGGCAGAGGGGATCTGTTCTGCTGGCGTCTTCCTTCGCAGGCTGCCGCCGTTTGATTTTTTTTTTCGCAGGAGGATACACAGGCCGTCCTCAAGTTACGACCGCAACGGAGCCTCAGGTTTACGTGGCTAAGCGAGAAATCGGTGCACGGAGTTTTGGCCCCGTTTGACGATCCTCCTTGTCGCGTCCTTAAGCGATTCAGTGCCGTTGTTCAGTCAACCACTTAACACAAGGTTGTTAAGCCAATCTGGCTTTCCCCCCTCATGAGGAGATTGTAAAAGGGGACGCCGTGACCGTCGTAAATATGAATCACTTGCCGAGCGTCTGTTGTAAGCCGAGGACTGCTTGTAAAATTTTGTGGATGGCTCTTTCGCCTTTGCAGCTAGGCCCTTTACAAGCCGTCCTCGACTTACAACGGTTCACAAGCGCCCTGGAAAAAGGGGACTTATGACCGTGTTTCACACTTACGACCGCTGCAGCATCTCCCACGGTCACGTGATGAAAAATCAGACACTTCGCAACCGACTCGTATTTACGGCGGGGATCACGCGATCCCCATTTGCAGCCTTCTGACAAGCCGAGCCAACGGGGGAAGCCAGATCCACTTAACGACCGTGTGATTCCCTTAGCAACCACGGGGATTCACTTAACAACGGTGGCAAGAAAGCTCGTCAAATGGGGCAAAAGGCACTTCACCACTGTCTCGCTTAGCAACGGAAATTTTGGTCGCAAGTGGGGGACTATCTGCACGTAGGGCCCCTTAAACGGAGAGTGGGGGATCCATTCTCGTGGCAGTCTTCGCAGGCCACGGATTTTTTTTTTTTGGCAACAGGATATAAATCTTGTCAAGGGATTTACGTTAAAGCGTTTATGGGGGGAAAAAAACACAGGACAGCTGAGGAGGAAAAAAATTGACTCAGATAGAAGTCAGTTAGATAGGATTAGCTCAACCTGAGCAACCTGAAGCGGGGCAGACTTCAACTCCCAGAATTCCTGAGACAGAATGGGGATTAGAACCCTGAGCCGCTTTATGAGAGATGGACTTCAACTCCCAGAATTCCTGAGGCAGAATGGGGATTAGAACCCTGAGCTGCTTTATGAGAGATGGACTTCAACTCCCAGAATTCCTGAGGCAGAATGGGGATTAGAACCCTGAGCTGCTTTATGAGAGATGGACTTCAACTCCCAGAATTCCTGAGGCAGAATGGGGATTAGAACCCTGAGCTGCTTTATGAGAGATGGACTTCAACTCCCAGAATTCCTGAGGCGGAATGGGGATTAGAAACCTGAGCCACTTTATGAGAGATGGACTTCAACTCCCAGAATTCCTGAGGCAGAATGGGGATTAGAAACCTGAGCCACTTTATGAGAGATGGACTTCAACTCCCAGAATTCCTGAGGCAGAATGGGGATTAGAACCCCGAGCAACTTGAAGAAGGGTGGACTTCAGCTCCCAACATTCCCCAGCCAGCATGGGGATTAGAAACTTGAGTTAAGTTTAAGAAGAGTGGTGATCAACTCCCAGCTGGCTGGGGAATTCTGGGAGTTGAAGTCCACCCCTCTTCAAGTTAATCAGGTGGAGAAATACTGAATTAGCAACTGTAAAAGGAGACCACCAGGAAATATTTTGGCGCTACATTCTGTTCAAGAGTCAAAAAAACATTGCAGAAGACTGAGGCACACCCTTGGCCAGAAGATGATGATGATGATGATGATTATTATTATTATTATTAAATTAATTAATTAAGATGACACATCTGTGCAACCAGCTCGCCCCCGAAAGAGACATTTATTTCCTTTGCAAATTTCATACAGCCCATTAGGATCGCCCACTGAATTGAAGCATTAGGAAAGCCCCAATTGCAGGGCGCAAAGGTCTTCCGGACAGGTTCTGCAACATTGGTGCCTCTTCGACCCATTTTACAGCCTGGGAAACTGAGGCTCGACAGCCTCCCCCCCTCCTGTTCTTCCCTGCTCCACTTGGCTGGCTATATTTTTCTCTCTCTCTCACTTTTAAAACAAAGTTTTTGTTGTTTTCCCCTCTCCAAAGATTGCACAACTGCCTTGGCTAGGAATTTTGCAGCCAAAGTGTACTTCGGCTGCAGATGACAATGTCCAAGTTGGGCCATCGCCTTTGTGTAGTTTTGTGTCCAAATGCCACACCGCGGATGAGGGCGAAGACTAAGATTTTAGGCGCAAGCAAACCCACCCACCCCCCAAAGTCATAACTTACGGGGTTCAAACTGAGTGCAAAGGAATTTGGGTGCAAAGCTGAGGTGGCAGGGTGAAGAGTCGTTTGTGTGTGTGTTTGTTTGTGTGTGTGTGCGCGCGCGCGTGGGTGTAAATGGCGCGAGAGGGACGAGGAGAAGAAGAAGGAAGTCAAAGTATCTTCCGGCTTTTATATCCAACCCAGATTAACTGTATCCAAACTGGAGAATCATTGCAAAGAAAATCATTTTGAACAAGAGGAGGAGAGCTGACAAGACTTTAGGAATGAATTTGTGGGTGAAAGGTTACGAAAGAGGGGGGGGCTAGTCCCTGGTGAGGAGGGTGACGTGGAGAAGAAGGGAGGCTGAGCGGTTGTAGCAAACCGAGCGGGCATTTCTTTAAAAAAACAAAACAAAACAAAAAAAACAGCCAGATGTACAGACAGCAAACCGGAACAATCTAGCTTCCAGTTCTCTCCTTCGGGGCTATTCACCTATTCACACAACCCCGGGTTTTCTCCCTGCACCCTCAACTTTTCTGAGACCTGCCTACAGCACCCAGCAGCGGGGAGGGAGGAGAGCGGAGCATGCAAAGAGGGCAGAAGCTGGGAAAATAGGCAAGGAAGGAGGCCAGCTGGGCAAGTGAGAAGGGGAGGTAGGAGGTCAGGTCGAGGGAGGACGGGGGGGGGCAAGAAGCCCCTGAAATGAGGAGTGGGGGGGGGCAAGGTGCCAGAAAGGACACTGGCAGACCTTCTGGATCCTACCGGACATCACAACATTGTTGTGCCCATTTCACAGGCAGCAAACTGAGGCTGCAGCACAGAGGAGGGAGGGAAGGAAGGAAGGAAGGAGGAAGGAAGAAGGGACGGAGGGAGGGAGGGAAGGAAGGGAGGAAGGAAAGAAAGGAAAAAGGCAGGCAGGAAGGAAGGAGAAAGAGGGAGGAAAGGAAGAAAGAGAGGGGGGGAAGGAAGAAGAAAGGGAGGGAGAAATTGGGGAAAGAAGTAAGGAAGGAGGGAGAAAGAGGGAAGGAAGGAAGAAAGAGAGAGAGGGGGGGAAGATAGAAGAAAGGGAGGGAGAAATTGGGTAAAGAAGGAAGGAAGGAGGGAGAAAGAGGGAGGGAAGGAAGAAAAAGACAGGGGGAGGGAAGGAAGAAGAAACGGTGGGAGAAATTGGGGAAAGAAGGAGGGAGGGAGGGAAGGAAGGAAAGAGGGAGGGAAGGAGGAAGGAAGGAAAGAAGAAAGGAAAGGACGGAGGGAGGGAGGGAAGGAGGAAGGAAAGAAGGAAGGAAGGAAGAAGGGACGGAGGGAGGGAGGGAAGGAAAGTAGGAAGGAAAGAAGAAAGGAAGAAGGAAGGAAAAAGGCAGGGAGGACGGAAGGAGAAAGAGGGAGAGAAGGAAGAAAAAGAGAGAGAGGGAAGGAAGGAAGAAGGAAAGGAGGGAGAAATTGGGTTAAGAAGGAGGGAGGGAGGAAGGGAAGGAAGGAAGGAAGAAAGAGAGAGGGAAGGAAGGAAGAAGGGACGGCGGGAGAAATTGCGGAAAGAAGGAAGGAAGGAGGGGCGAAAGGAAGGACAGCAGTCTGACCCGGGTCAAGCGCGCCGTCTGAACCAGGCAGATCTGCACGCAGCGCAGCAATGCCAGCAAACCGCGGGACCCCCCCCTCCGCTCTGCCCACCCCCGGGAGGATGCAAGCGAGCGGGGGGGGGAGGCGAGGGGACCCCCGAAAGAGGGAGGGGGCGCTTGGCTCACCCCACGATCCGCGTGTAGGGCGCCGGCATCGCGTCCCCCGGATCTGCAGCAGCAGCAGCCCGCGCGGCTCCGGCTGGCGCGGGGCGTCGGGGCGCCGGGTTAAGAAGGCGAGGGCTGGGCAGGCAGGGCCGGGCCGGGCCGGGTCGGGCGGGGAGGCGCGAAGCCCGGCCCGGGCTCCGGAGCCCGCCCGCCCGTCTCATAGGCTGCCCGGGCCAGGCCCCCCGCCGGCCCCCCTCCCCGCGCACGGCGGCCGCGTCGGCATCTGATGTAACCCCGCCCGCCTCTTGCTCGGCGATCGCGCTCCGGAAAAGGGGGACTCCTGCCCACGTGCAGAGGGCAGGGCGCCTGTCTCCGCCAATACAGGCAGCCCTCGACTTAGGGCCGCGAATGAGCGATCTCACCAAAGGAAAGGAGAAAAGTCAGGTTCTGCATTTAGGCGAGGAAGCAGAACAGAACAGAACAGAATAGAAATATAGAATAGAAAAGAAATACAGAATACAATACAATACAATACAATAGAAATACAGACTAGACTAGACTAGACTAGAATAGAATAGAATATGTGGAATTAGAAGGAATAGAATAGAATATATGGAATTAGAATAGAAATAAGGAATAGAATAGAATAGAATAGAATAAAGTGAAGAATAGAATACAATAGATAGAATAGAATTACAGAATAGAAATACAGAATAGAATAGAATAGAAATACAGAATAGAATAGAATAGAATAGAATAGAATTGAAAATATGGAATATAATAGAATAGAATAAGAAATAGAATAGGATAAGGTAGAATAGAATAGGAATAAGAAGGGTAGAATAAGAATAAAATAGAATAAGGAATAGAATAGAATAGAATAGAATAGAATAGAATAGAATAGAATAGAATAGAATAGAATAGAATAGAATAGAATAGAAGCGGTGAATGAGCAACATTGGAAGTTTTTAAGAAGAAACTGGACAGCCATTTGTCAGAAATGGCATAGGGTTTCCTGCCTAAGCAGGGGGTTGGACTAGATGACCTCCAAGGTCCCTTCCAACTTTATCATCATCATCATTATTATTATTAGAATAGAATAGAGTAGAGTAGAGTAGAATAGAATAGAATGGAATGGAAATACAGAATAGAATAGAATAGAATAGAATACAATAACAGACTTGGAAGGGACCTTGGAGGTCATCTAGTCCAACTACCTGCTCAGGCAGGAAACCCTATACCATTTCAGACAAATGGTTCTCCAATCTTTCCTTAAAAACAGCAAGTGTTGGATCTTGGAGTCCTAGTGGACGATCACTTAAGCATGAGCCAACCGTGTGCAGCAGCTGCCAAAAAAGCCAACACAGTGCTGGGCTGCATTAACAGAGGGATGGTATCAAGATCATGGGAAGTGTTAATGCCACTTTACAAGGCCTTGATAAGGCCACACTTGGAATACAGCATCCAGTTTGGGCCGCCACGATGTTAAAAAAAGATGTTGAGACTCTAGAAAGAGTGCAGAGAAGAGCAACAAAGAGGATTAGGGAACAATTAACCAGTGGAACAGCTGGCCTTCAGAAGTTGTAGGCGCTCCATCACTGGAGGTTTTTAAGAAGAGACTGGACAGCCATTTGTCTGAAGTGGTCTAGGGTCTCCTGCTTGAGCCGGGGGTTGGACTGGAAGACCTCCAAGGCCCCTTCCCACGCTCTTCTGATTGAGGATTACCTGTAACTCCCAGCATCCTTCTTTGAAAATTAAAATGAGGAAGATGGGGAAGGAGAAGAGAAAGGAACAACAGGGCGGGTGGTTTGGTAGAAGATTAAGCAAAGATCAGCGGTGGTCAACCACGGCCGCTTTATGACTCGTGGACTTCAACTCCCAGAATTCCTGAGCCAATTGGCTCAGGAATTCTGGGAGTTGAAGTCCACGAGTTATAAAGGGGCCGTGGTTGACCACCCCTGGCTTTGATGATCTTCAGGGAATCAGGACAGCCCTCAACTTGCCAACTGTTCATTCTGTGACTGTTCAAATTGTTGAAAAATAGTGACAACTGTCTCACTTAGCAACGGAAATTCGGGGTCGTAAGTAAAGGACTGCCTTGGACCGACCATGTGATGGCTGTTTTGGTGCTGCTGATGAGCCCAGTCGCGTCATGATTCGCTTAACAATCCCATCGCTTAGTGACAGGAGTTCCGGTCCCGATTGTCATAAACCAGGGGTAGGCAACCTTGGCTCTTTTATGACTCGTGGACGTCAACTCCCAGAATTCCTGAGCCACCATGGCTCAGCTTGGAAACCTCTCCCTTTCTCCTCAGCATGGCTGGCTCAGGAATTCTGGGAGTTGAAGTCCACGAGTCCTCAAGGGAGCCATAGTTCCCCCATGCTGGCTCAGGAATTCTGGGAGTTGAAGTCCACGAGTCATAAAAGAACCAAGTTTGCAGACCCCTCAGTTAGAGGAACATATGAAAGCATAATTAATGTTAATTAATGTAGACTTTATTAGTTTAGAGCAGGGGTAGGCAACCTTGGCTCTTTTATGACTCGTGGACTTCAACTCCCAGAATTCCTGAGCCAGCCTGGCTCAGCTTGGAAACCTCCCTTTCCCCTCAGCGTGGCTGGCTCAGGTATTCTGGGAGTTGAAGTCCACCAGTCACGAGGGGGCCATAGTTCCCCCATGCTGGCTCAGGAATTCTGGGAGTTGAAGTCCACGAGTCCCGAGGGGGCCATAGTTCCCCCATGCTGGCTCAGGAATTCTGGGAGTTGAAGTCCACCAGTCATGAGGGGACCATAGTTCCCCCATGCTGGCTCAGGAATTCTGGGAGTTGAAGTCCACCAGTCATGAGGGGGCCATAGTTCCCCCATGCTGGCTCAGGAATTCTGGGAGTTGAAGTCCACGAGTCATGAGGGGACCATAGTTCCCCCATGCTGGCTCAGGAATTCTGGGAGTTGAAGTCCACCAATCATAAAAGAGCCAAGGTTGCCTACCCCTATCATAAACGGAGGAGTACTTTTACGGTTCTGGCCCAAATATTCAAATTCAAAGAAATTTCCAAAGAGTTTTGCTCAAAGACCCCCCCACCCCCACCCCCTTAAGCGGGCCGTCTGAACAAGGAAATGATAAGCAGCGATAGACTGCCCCTGTCTAGGGAGGCTCTACTAAGGCTCATGTAGAAATTCACTTCCAGGCTAAATCTTTTTTTTTTTTTTTCCCTTCCTTTGGAACGGTTTAACGATCTCCTCCAGGATTTCCAAAGTCACTTAAGGCAAGATTTTTTTAACCGAAATACGAAGCTCGGCCCTGTTGCTTGGGCCAGGTTTGCCGTGACAAAAATAAGAGAGAAAGAGATAACCGTGATCCCCTTTGATCTCTTGATTCAACAATGCCAAAGTACAGCAAACAAACTTCTTCCTAAGCAGGATATTTTTTTGTGCACGGTTTCAAACAAGCCCAGTCCAGAAAAACAGAACAGGGGCCGTTGGGCGGGCGGACGTCACGGAGATGGGCAAAGTCTACAAACGCCAGAGGACATTTCTGGCCATGTTTATGGAGTTCTGTGCGAAGCAGACGGAGACCCTGTGGCCCAGCGGTAAATCCCAGGGTGTTTACTTCCAAAATGTCCTTGGGTTGACCACCATAAATGGGTCATGGAGTGAAGGGGGTGAGCAAAACCGTGAGGCCGCCCAGAGTCCTTTGCGGAGATGGGAGGCTGTAGAAATCACAATCAAATCAAATCAAAAATATCGGGAAGGGAAGAGCCCCATGAAAACCAGAAAATCTACGAGGATTCGGCATGGTCCCAATCTCACATGGAATAGAACAGAACAGAACAGAACAAAATAGAATAGAAATGGAATAGAGTAGAGTAGAATAAAATAGAATAGAAATGGAATAGAGTAGAGTAGAGTAGAATAGAATAGAGTAAAATAATAATAATGGAATGGAATAGAATAATAATAATAGAATAGAATAATAATAGAACAGAATAGAATAATAACAAAACAGAATAGAATAGAATAGAACAGAACAGGACTAGACTAGACTAGAATAGAATAGAATAGAAATGGAATAGAGTAGAATAAAATAGAATAGAAATGGAATAGAGTAGAGTAGAATAGAATAATAGAGTAAAATAATAATAATGGAATGGAATAGAATAATAATAATAGAATAGAATAGAATAATAATAATAGAACAGAGTAGAATAATAACAAAACAGAATAAAGTAGACTAGAATAGAACAGAACAGAACAGGACTAGATTAGACTAGACTAGACTAGAATAGAATAGAATAGAATAAAAATAAGGAATATAATAGAATTAGAATTAGGAAATGGGGAATAGAATAGAATAGAATAGAATAGAATAGAATAGAATAGAATAGAAATAAGGAATATAATAGAATTAGAATTAGGAAATAGGGAATAGAGTAGAATAGAATAGAGTAGAATAGAATAGAATAGAATAGAATAGAATAGAATAGAATAGAATAGAACAGAATAACAGAGTTGGAAGGGACCTTGGAGGTCTTCTAGTCCAGCCCCCTGCTCAAGCAGGAGACCCTCTATCATTTCAGACAAAGTGGCTGTCCAGTCTCTTCTTAAAAACCTCCAGTGATGAAGGACCCACAATTTCTGGTGGCAAGCTGTTCCACTGGTTAATTGTCTTCATTGTTAGGAAGTTTCTCCTTAATTCCAGGTTGCTTCTCTCCTTGGGTAGTTTCCATTTGCCTTCTGGTGCTTTGGAGAATAATTGGACCCCCTCTTCTTTGTGGCAGCCCCTCAAACACCAGAAGACTGCTGTCATGTCTCCCCTACTTCTTCTTTTCTTTAGACTAGCCAAACCCAAGTCCCGTAGCCGTTCTTCTTCCTATGTTTTAGTCTCCAGGCCTTGGGTCCTCTTAGTTGCTCTTCTCTGAACTTTTTCCAGGCGGAAAGGAAAACTTTTTCCATCTTTTCTCACGGGAGGTTAACAGCCTTCGCAAGGTTAAAATACGTGGACTTCAATTCCCAGAATTGCACTAGATAATTTTGACTGGTTTTAAGCCAGCTCGGATGCATCATTTCTTCAGCTAGGTGGGTGATCTGTCAGAACAAACACGCCTGCAGAAATATACCTATTTTTCGGCTTCTGAATTTGAGCCCTCAACCATTTTTTTGCAATTTTCGTTCCCAAGCAATTCAGTGACCTTTCGAAGAGGGGGAAATAAGTAAG